TTCGCGGCATAACAAGTCCAACCGTGGCTCAATGTTTGTTAATGCAGGCCCAAATGAAAATAAATTACGATGTCTGGCCACAGACTGCATGATTCCTCTCCGGCATTGTTACTCACTCTTATCGTAATATTGTTTATAAACAATATTACCGTTTGCCGCATGATATGCTTTTGGTTTTAATATTCCATTGGAGTCAGGGTACATAAAAATGATATGTGGCCATCGCCTCACATTTATACAATTTCCGAACTGAGTATTAATTTTGTCAGAATTATTGTAATAGTCTTCCAAATAATCGATTGCTGCACTCAAAAAATTGTTAATCGTCACTTCAGATTTACAGCCGTCGTGTCCACCCTGACCAAGTAGAATAACTGAACCAACTTTCCTGCCAACTTTTTTACCAAACTTAAAAATTCATTTGCAGAAGCGTGATTTATATATTCATTTATACTAATAAGTGGCGTACGAGGTCCACAAAACGGAGTTTTGTCAACGAGCATGTCTAGTATATTTCCGCCACCTGTTCTGCATACTGTCCAGTAGAATTGATCAACACCTACACATAATTTTTTGAACTTATCATCGTAGCGTTCCAGTAAAAATCCATACGCTGGATCGGTCTATATGGTCAAAATAAAACCTCGTGACATTTTTTTCACAAAAGAATCACCACCAAAATATATTTGAGAGAATCGATTGACAACTTCACAAGCTTGGGCTGCTGTGTAGTTCCTTCGACGACATGAAGAATCAAATGGAATCCAATCACTTATTTCAGCGTAATATATCTTCCCGGTATCAACGCAACTGAAATGTAATTGTTTTGCGTTCTATAAAATTTAAATTTGACAAAATGAATTACTACCCATTACCTACCCGGAGCAGTTATAAATGTTCCCACATTGACCATCATATATGTCGCTGCAACAGGGTTTATCACTTTTTACATCGAACCAACTTCCAGCTGGAGCTGCCCACGCATTTCCTTCCGGCTTTGACTGAACACTAGAAATTGAATATTTTAAATTAATATTTTGAAAACTTCCTAACCTGGCGTTCATTTAATAACCATGTCAATATATATATACGCATTGTCAATAAAGATGTTAGATACTGTTGACACAAACAAACCGTTTGGGCTAGCTTATTATTGAAATTTGGTCAGCAAATAAATAAAACATAGATACGAGACTAGGAGTAATATTTTGAAAATATATTCATTTGAGTTTTTCCGACTCTGCGGATTGCCATGTTTTATTGATTTTAATATTGGGATGTTATCAACAATACAAAAAATTTTAATCGGGGAAAGGACTATTTTGCAATATCAAGCTTAATCAATATCTCAAATGATGTACTGCAAGTCAGTCAGTATTTTTATTGAAATACCCCTTGCATCGACGCGAAACTACGCCAAAACGTTGCATTCTGGCAGCTGCACACGCAGCCGGAATTATAATTTTAAAAATTTAAGTAAAAATTCTTATTATGGCTTTTACTTCCATTAAGTACATTTATCACCACTTTTGTATCTCCACCAAAGTCATAAGATTTTAACCGGAATGTTTATCCGAGATATCAGAGAGACGTTTCGAGTAAGAAAAATCATGAAACTTAGCCCACGAGCGTATACTACAAGATCAATAAGATCAAGGGCAGCCTTCGGCAACACGAGTGGGTTGCGATATTGAAGAATATGGTTACTTCGGCGGCAATCTACTGATATAAACGATGAGACACCCTAGCATTGCCTATGCTAATTGTAAGAGTCCTCTGATACAAAGACGCCACAACTAATATGGTATGAAGTCTTGATATGGATTTCGAGTTCATGTATTGGCATTTTTCTCATGAAATAGAAAATATATGTAATATTATTACGGTTAATACTGTTCGGTTAGTTTATGCTTAGCATACTTTGTTTTCAAGGTTGGAGTGCTAGAGTTTTTAAAGGTTATACAAACTCATTTATTCGATCGCATTTCAATATTCGCAATCGCAAGGTGGTTTCGTAGTAGCAGGGTCGTTCACGTAATGGCTTATCGGTTGCGTCTTACTGCGCAAACCACTGAACTATACAGCTTGAGAAGGTGTGTATGATCCTTTATCGATATTTGTGGCGTTTGACGGATTTATGGCAAATAAGGAGCGCTTGGCAAGTTTTTACATCCATTTTTCTTCAACCTATTTAATACAAAAAAATCAAATAGTACAGCCATTTTGAACAAAACAGGCAAAAAAAAAATTGATTTAAAACAATTCTTTTCGAACAAATCCCTATGTATGAGGATAGACAAATAACTACAAACCCAAAAATAAACCGACCAAACGTTGTAACATTGTATATTTTTTGGAATGGTAGAAAGAGAAATTCAAAATAGATGTTGTGGAAGGGACAATATAGTTAATCATAAAAAAATTGTTATATTTATGCATAGCTACAGCGTTTTAGATCTTATGGACCAAAATGGAGTCGGGTTTAATCTTTCCGGTATCAAATTAAATATATGTAACTGCAGATATTTATTATTCGAAATCTGCTCTTTGATGAAATTATGTCAGCCCAAGAACGTATTGCATCGCTTAAACCTTTTTTACGCTACTAGTGCTCGAACACATGTTCAATTTGACAAATACAATGTCCACAATTCTACAAAAATGACGAAATCGAGCGCTTATAACATGAAATGTGTTTAAATAAAGTTTTTTTTTTTTTGCTATTTTTATTAAGCTCGGCCTTGGATTTGGACCTAGGGTTTGAAAACTGGCTTTTTTATATTCACGTTTGTCGATGATCCTCAAATCCGTATATCTCCCCTGGAGAAAGTTACTGTTCATAAATAATTTCATCTTTTTCAACGGGTGTTCCAACTCGAAAAGTTCACTTTGTGCATTAACTATTTAGTTTTTAGATGTAGATTCCAATAAATTTCTAATTCATTTAGCATTGTGTATAAATTAACGGATAGGTAATTTTAACCAATACTCCATAATTAAAATGATAATTGGAATGGAAAATAGCAAAACACGTCTTATTTTTGATTATGTACATTTGTTCCGAATGCCACTGGTAAAATGGCACGTAAGCATGTGTGGATTAGAATTTGACGAATGAATTTGATTGAAATATTGACCTCGCAAATTTTTTTCTTTTGGCTGTGGAATCCTAACTGTTGTAATGGAAGGCTGTCTTGATTGCCTATTTTAAATTTTTATCTTAAAATGTAGGTACGTTGAGGACACCAACCTTGACTGAACCAAACATTTGCAAACAAATTTCCTTACTAACAATATGTATTTACTAGTATAATTGACTACCTCGTTTAACTCAGCAACAACTGTTCATTGAAACATGTGAATGTAGTTTAACAATAAATAGAGAACTATACATCCGGTAACTTTTCAATTAAACGGGTTCCGAAATATATTTTTTTTTATCACCATTGTTTTTTTGGTTAATTTGTATCATCACATTTTCTCACTTTTCGAATTGTATTCCGACCGGAGTTTGGAATCAGCATGAATCTATAAATCCATTTTCTGATTAAGTTGCTGAAAACTTAGGATTTGATTTCATTGTAAGTTTGGGTTATCCATATTTGTTGGGCATTCTCAAGAACGTCGGCAAATTGTAAAACTCAATAAAATGTACATTTCATTTTTGCCTATTGCAAAACTGTTATAGAAAAATGGAATTAAAAACGAGAATGCAATCTATTGCGTTGGTATGACGTTTAAGTCAATAAATACTTTATTTATTCCTTAAACATATAATTAAAATCCTATAATAGCAACAGAATTTTATTATCTGTAAGTGTCAATCACAACGTCCTGTAAAAATAACAAAAACTATGACCAACAACGACAAATTCATTCTTGATGTTTTGTTTTACTATATACCGACCGGGAATTAAAATTCTATCATCTACATGTCTTTTACCTGGCCATGTTAAAATTATAGACGAAGTGATGATATCTGACCTTGCGATTCACCAGCAGGGTCTACTTAAGCAAAGAATAAAAAAAAACATTTCTGATATTTTAACTAACATAAAGGATTACGACAGTCAAAAAACATAACCTTTTGTACACTTCCCTTTTACACCGTTTAGTGTCGAACTTAAATTTGAGCTTTGCTGTTTCATCAGAGATTTCGACGGATAAGTTTTGTCTCTTAATTAATGATGTGTATCATAGGCATATCAAAATGCTACGCTCACAACCGTGAATTTTATATATTGCAATATATTTTATATATTGTTTTATTTGAGCCATTGTCATTTTTATGTTTTGCAAAAACAAAAATAGTTTGCATTATATTTACAAATTCCCTGCAAAGAAAGTGAGTGTTCTCTGTATCTTTCTCTCACACTACTTTATAATTATTATCTGTGACCCAATTCTGGTGGCCACAGCGTTTAAACAAGGCCTAGCTCAAAGGTTGTCTTTAGGAATTTTGTCATAATGAAAACAATTCATAGATTGGCTAACCAAGTATAACTAACCATCAATAAAGTGTTTGTTTAATTTTTTGAAACGTCGCTATACAGGTTTTGGGGTAGCATTTTACGTCCGCATGCAATTGAAATCATGAATGCGTCTTCATCTTGCTTTGACTCACATCGACGTTTGCGCAAAGAGTTGGAGATGTTATCTAGCTTTTTCAACGCCCATATAAATCATAGTGTGAAAGAAAGTAGACATTGAATGCATAGCCATTGGAAGCTATAGCAAATAAAAGATGAGAATCTTATATTATATGATAACTTCAACAACGAAACGGTCGCATCGTGGTTGATATTCGTCTGTGAACCAAAATGTAAATTCACCAGATAAGAACCACGAGAAATTTTAGCTGGTATTGTTAAGTTTAACTATACAATATAAACCAACCTGATGTTTTATTCACGAATCGTAACACCTTAAAACATACAAATCATTCCCCGAGACGGCTATGAAAACGACAAAACTAACAATCAAGTATATATGAATAGATATATGACATACTTTTGCGTTTATTAAAACAACATAATATAAAAAACAGATATAATATGTACAATTGCTTGTAAATAAGCGTGATTAGATTACGGGTGATTCGAAAATAGGCCACGGTGCGTATCCGGTGACAGGAAATTAGACACACAGGCAGGAAAACAGCAACATGAGTATGAACGCGTTACTACAGATATAGCAACATGTTCAGTAACAGCATGATATAAAAACGAATCTTGTTCATCATATTACAAGTTTTACCAAATTTTTTAGGAGCGTTGATAAGATTTTTTGAGTCTGTTATTGTCTATATATATACATATTTATACATCTGTATGTATGTGTACGTGTGTACACAGAAAAGATTTTTTTGAATTTCCTGAAAAAATTAGAGACACATAAATGGGATGCTATACATGCTTTACACCGACGTAATAGTTTAACAGCTGATGAATGTGTTAACTATGCTGTTATGTTTTATTCATCAGATGCGCAAAGCAAGTTGGTAAACGTGTCACTGACAACAATATTAAAATAGTTTTTCAGAAAATCTAATTGAAACACAATTTTCTACAAAATATGTACAAATGAGTGTACAGACATTATAATAAGGTGGTTCACTTCAGTACACAATACCAAATTGGCACAGCTTTTGAACCACTTGGTACATTGCATAAACGTGTTGATAAAGAGTCAATACCTAGACCCAAAACATGGTGTATCCTCTCAAAAAAGGAAGCTAAAAAGACTATAATCAAATATTATGATCATACAAATTAAGATATTACAAGATAAGTAGTTCAATTGTGCTACTGTGATATGTAATCAAGGTAATTGAGTAAAAGTTGTACTTTCATAATATTTGCTCCTAGACCGTGATGTGCTCCATCATAACTATGAACTCCTGATGTAAGACTGTAAAAATCAAGTACAGGAATATTATGAGCATCGCAATACACTTTCATTTCCTTGGAAAATTGTTTACAAACAATATTACCGTTTGCCGCATGATATGCTTTTGGTTTTAATATTCCATTGGAGTCAGGGTACATAAAAATGATATGTGGCCATCGCCTCACCTTTATAAAATTTCCGAACTGAGTATTAATTTTGTCAGAATTTTTGTAATAGTCTTCCAAATAATCGATTGCTGCGCTCAAAAACTTGTTAATCGTCACTTTAGATTTACAGCCGTCGTGTCCACCCTGACCAAGTAGAATAACTGAACCCACTTTTCCTGCTAACTTTTTCACCAAACTTAAAAAGTCATTTGCAGAAGCGTGATTTATATTTTCATTTATACTAATAAGTGGCGTACGAGGTCCACAAAACGGAGTTTTGTCAACGAGCATGTCTAGTATATTTCCGCCACCTGTTCTGCATTCTGTCCAGTAGAATTGATCAACACCTACACATAATTCCTTGAACTTATCATCGTAGCGTTCCAGTAAAAATCCATACGTTGGATCGGACCTTAGGGTCAAAATAAAACCTCGTGACATTTTTCTCACAAAAGAATCACCAACAAAATAAATTTGAGAGAATCGATTGACAACTTCACAAGCTTGGGCTGCTGTGTAGTTCCTTCGTCGACATGAAGAATCAAATGGAATCCAATCACTTATTTCAGCGTGATATATCTTCCTGGTATCGACGCAACTAAAATGTAATTGTTTTGCGTTCTATAAAATTTAAATTGGACAAGAGGAATTACTAACCATTACCTACCTGGGGCAGTCACAAATGTTCCCACATTGACCATCATATATGTCGCTGCAACAGGGTTTTTTACTTTTTGCATCGCACCAACTTCCAGCTGGAGCTGCCCACGCATTTCCTTCCGGCTTTGACTGAACACTAGAAATTGAATATTGAAACATTATTTTGAAAACTTCCTAAACTGGCGTTTTTTTGGTAACCTTAAAAATGATTTTCACGGTTTTTAAATGGGATTCAACTCAAAAACACTCAAAGTTATTTACAAAATTCGTAAACATTTCTGATAAAAATGAATTTATATTGGTGCCCGCGCTTGTGTGGTTATATTGCTTATCTTCCCGACCAAAATGCGGCGTCACATTTACTAATCAACATCCCATTGTCAATAAAGATGTTAGCAACAGTTGACATAAACATCGAAATAATATAATTACAAACTTCCAGCAAAGCAACTTGGTGGAAAGTATTCCATCAAGTGGGAAATCGTTGAAACCAGCTTTTCAAAGCAATTTGGTTGGCAATTGTGAATAAAACTGAGATCTAGGATTGAGAGTCATTTTTGAATAAAAATTTTCTTATGTTATTCCGACTCTGTGGATTGCCATGTTTTGTTGAGGGAAATACTGAAATGTTATCAACAATACGATAAATTATATTCGAGATAAAGACTATTCTGCAATGTGAAGTTTAATCAATATCTCAATTGATCTACTGCAAGCCTGGACAAAACTACAAAGGCAAAAAATCTAAGAATTTTCATGAAAGTATTTACTTATTAAATCCACACTTGTTATCATCTCTCCATAATCGTGTATGTATTCCTCGTTTAATGCGAAATTCAGCTAAATAGGAATCCAATTTTTTTTCTTCATTCAGTAATTTCTCATATTCTTGCTCACTTACATTATAACTATAGATCTTTTTCACCCACTGACCATTGCTCAAATTATACAAGATGTTTTCACAAAACAGATGATTGTATGTCAAGTGTACTGTTTGGTTCTCTGTGTAATCTTCATGCAACACAAGTTTCGAAATAGCAGGTGGACTATAAGATAGATAAATGAAGTATGAGGATAGACAAACAACTACAATCCCAAAAATAAAGCGATAGCTGGAAACCAATCGTTGTGACATTGTATACTTTCTAAAATGGTAAAAACCGAATTTTAAATAGGTGTAGTGGTAGGACAATATGATTAATCAGAAAAAAAATTATAGTATATGAGTAACGGTTAAAAGTACTGTTTGCGGTATTTCCTTGGCTAGGTAGTTGAAAATTAGAATCCCATTCAACCTTTCACTAATATTATTCTAGTTGCCGGTATACAAATCAGCTACTAAATATTGCTATCTCTAATACATTGGTTGCGTCTATTACTCGGCGTGATACGAATACGACAAATATCTACAATAAAAAGAAAATAGCATTCGTCGCGGATGCTTGATCATTAAGAAATTTTTAAGATAGAGATTTGATGATTACCTATGTAGATCTACAGCTTTTCGATCTTATCGACAAGAAGATCGATATTAAATATAGATATTTGTAACTGCAGATATGTATAAATCGAAATCTGCTCTGTGATAAAAATTATATCTGCCCAAAAACGTGTTACGTCTCTTAAACGTTATTAGTACTCAATGTATAGCTCACTTTTTGCATCGCACCAGCTTTCAGCTGAAATTGCTCACGCACTTCCTTCCGACTTTCTCTGAACCCTAGAACGTGATTTGATATTTTATGCTTCGATGCCTAGAAAACTGAATTAAAACTTGATCGCCTGAGCAATGTAGTTTCAGATAGCATTGGCAGGATTTTTTGAAGTTTACACTCATTATATAATACCGACAAAGTTTACTAAAAGTTATTAGGCTAGCTGACTTCGCAAGAAATATTTTAAAACATATTTTTGAAAACTTCCCAAACTGACGTTCATTTAGTAACATTGAAAATTCTCTTCATGGTTAATAAATGAGGATTAAATTCGAAAAACACTGAAAGTTATTCCTAAAAAAATCCTAAACATTTCTACTAGAAATGAATTTATATTGCTACCCGCGCTTGTATGGTTACCCTCGTTATCGAAAGACCGCGTCGCATCTATTCATCTAGACCGCAGCATTGTCAATAAAGATGTTAGATACTGTTGACACAAACAAACCGTTTGGGCAAGCTTATTATTGAAATTTGGTCAGCAAAACAAATAAAACAGAGATACAGGATTAGGAGTAATTTTTTGAAAATATATCCATTTGAGTTTTTTTGACTCTGCGGATTGCCATGTTTTATTGAATTTAATATTGGGATGTTGTCAGCAATACGATAAATTATAATCGGGGAAAGGACTATTTTGCAATATCAAGCCTAATCAATATCTCAAATGATGTACTGCAAGTCAGGACGAAATTCACAACGACCTAAAAATCTAAGAATTGTCATAAAAGTATTTACTTATTTAATCCAAACTGGTTATCATCTCTTCATATTCGTGTACGTATTCCTCGTTTAATCCGAAATTCAGCTAAATAGGAATCTCATCCCTTTTCTTCTTGCAATAATTTCTTATATTCTTCCTCATTTTTATAAAAACTATAGATCTTTTTCACTCATTGACAATTTCTCAAGTTATACAAGATGTTTTCACAGAACAGGTGATGGAATTTCAATTTCACTGTTTGATTCTCTGTGTGATCTTCATGCAACTCAAGTTTCGAAATATCAGAGTGACTATAAGATAGATAAATGATGTATCAGTAGGGTTTTGTTTTTTATCAATTCTAAAAAAAACATCGTGTTTTAAAAACAAGGGCTTGTTTTAAATCCTTTTTTTTCTGTATTTTTTATTGAAATACTCATTGTATCGCCGCGAAACTACGCCAAAACGTTGCATTATGGCAGCTACACACGCAGCCGGAGTTAAAAATGTACGTAAAAATTCTTATTTTGACTTCTACTTCTATTAAGTACATTTATGACCACTTTTGTATCTCTTCATAAGATTTTAACCGGAATGTTTATCCGAGTTATCAGAGAGACGTTTTGAGTAAGAAAAATCATGAATCTTAGCTCACGAGCCTATACTACAAGAGCAATTAGATCAAGGGCAGCCTTCGGCAACAAGAGGGGGTTGCGATAATGAAGAATATGGTTACTTCGGCGGCAATCTACTGATATAAACGATGAGACACCCTAGCATAGCCTATGCTAATTGTAAGAGTCATCTGATGCAAAGACGCCACAACTAATCTGTTATGAAGCCATAATATGGATTTCGAGTTCATGTATTGGCATTTTTTGCATAAAATAAAAAATAAATGTATTATTATTACGGTGAAGACTGTTCGGTTAGTTTATGCTTAGCATACTTTGTTTTCAAGGTTGGAGTGATAGAGTTTTTGAAGGTTATACAAATTCATTTATTCGATCGCATTTCAATTTTTGCGAGGTGGTTTCGTAGTAGCAGGGCGTTCACGTAATGGCTTATCGGTTGCGTCTTATTTGAGAAGCTTGAGAAGGTGTGTATGAGTCGCTATCGATATTTGTGGCGTTTTGACGGATTTATTTCAAATACGGAGCGCTTGGCAAGTTTTTACATCCATTTTTCTTCAACCTATTTAATACAAAAAAATCAAATAGTACAGCCATTTTGAACAAAACAGGCGAAAAAACAGTTGATTTAAAACAATTTATTATTCGAAATCTTTGATGAAATTATGTCAGCCCAAGATCGCTTAAACCTTTTTTACGCTACTAGTGCTCGAACGTATGTTCAATTTGACAAATACAATGTCCACAATTCTACAAAAATGACGAATTTGAGCGCTAATAACATGAAATGTGTCTAAATAAAGTTATTTTTTTTGCTATTTTTATCAAGACATTACTTGCTCGGCCTTGGATTTGGACCTAGGGTTTGAAAACTGGCTTTTTTTTTATTCACGTTTGTCGATGATCCTTAAATCCGTATATCTCCTCGGAGAAGGTTACTGTTCACAATGAATTTCATCTTTAACAACGGGTGTTCCAACTCGATGAGTTCACCTTGTGCATTAACTATGTAGTTTTTAGATGTAGATTCCAATAAATTTCTAATTCATTTAGCATTGTGTATAAATAAACGGATAGGTAATTTTAACCAATACTCTATAATTAAAATGATAATTGGAATGGAAAATAGCAAAACACGTCTTATTTTTGATTATGTACATTTGTTCCGAATGCCACTGGTAAATATATGACACGTAAGCATGTGTGGATTAGAATTTGACGAATGGATTTGATTGAAATATTGACCTCGCAAATTTTTTTTTGCTGTGGAATCCCTACGGTTGTAATGGAAGGCTGTCTTGATTGCCTATTTTAAATTTTTATCTTAAAATGTAGGTACGTTGAGGACACCAACCTTGACTGAACCAAACATTTGCAAACAAATTTCCTTACTAAAAATATGTATTTACTAGTATAATTGACTACCTCGTTTAACTCAGCAACAACTGTTCATTGAAACATGTGAATGTAGTTTAACAATAAATAGAGAACTATGCATCCGGTAACTTTTCAATTAAACGGGTTCCGAAATATGTTTTTTTTTATCACCATTGTTTTTTTGGTTAATTTGTATCATCACATTTTCTCACTTTTCGAATTGTATTCGGACCGGAGTTTGGAATCAGCATGAATCTATAAATCCATTTTCTGATTAAGTTGCTGAAAACTTAGGATTTGATTTCATTGTAAGTTTGGGTTATCCATATTTGTTGGGCATTCTCAAGAACGTCGGCAAATTGTAAAACTCAGTGAAATGTACATTTCATTTTTGCCTATTGCAAAACTGTTATAGAAAAATGGAATTAAAAATGAGAATGCAATCTATTGCGTTGGTATGACGTTTAAGTCAATAAATACTTTATTTATTCCTTAAACATATAATTAAAATCCTATAATAGCAACAGAATTTTATTATCTGTAAGTGTCAATCACAACGTCCTGTAAAAATAACAAAAACTATGATCAACAACGCAAATTCATTCTTGATGTTTTGTTTTACTTTATACCGACCGGGAATTAAAATTCTATCATCTCCATGTCTTTTACCTGGCCATGTTGAAATTATAGACGAAGTGATGATAACTGACCTTGCGATTCACCAGCAGGGTCTACTTAAGCAAAGAATAAAAAAAACATTTCTGATATTTTAACTAACATAAAGGATTACAATAGTCAAAAAACATAACCTTTTGTACACTTCCCTTTTACATCGTTTAGTGTCGAACTTAAATTTGAGCTTTGCTGTTTCATCAGAGATTTCGACGGATAAGTTTTGTCTCTTAATTAATGATGTGTATCATAGGCATATCAAAATGCTACGCTCACATTCGTGAATTTTATATATTGCAATATATTTTATATATTGTTTTATTTGAGCCATTGTCATTTTTATGTTTTGCAAAAACAAAAATAGTTTGCATTATATTTACAAATTCCCTGCAAAGAAAGTGAGTGTTCTCTGTATCTTTCTCTCACACTACTTTATAATTATTATCTGTGACCCAATTCTGGTGGCCACAGCGTTTAAACAAGGCCTAGCTCAAAGGTTGTCTTTAAGAATTTTATCATAATGAAAACAATTCATAAATTAACTAACCAAGTATAACTAACCATCAATAAAGTGTTTATTTAATTTTTTAAAACGTCGCTATACAGGTTTTGGGGTAGCATTTTACGTCCGCATGCAATTGAAATCATGAATGCGTCTTCATCTTGCTTTGACTCACATCGACGTTTGCGCAAAGAGTTGGAGATGTTATCTAGCTTTTTCAACGCCCATATAAATCATAGTGTGAAAGAAAGTAGACATTGAATGCATAGCCATTGGAAGCTATAGCAAATAAAAGATGAGAATCTTATATTATATGATAACTTCAACAACGAAACGGTCGCATCGTGGTTGATATTCGTCTGTGAACCAAAATGTAAATTCACCAGATAAGAACCACGAGAAATTTTAGCTGGTATTGTTAAGTTTAACTATACAATATAAACCAACCTAATGTTTTATTCACGAATCGTAACACCTTAAAACATACAAATCATTCCCCGAGACGGCTATGAAAACGACAAAACTAACAATCAAGTATATATGATTAGATATATGACATACTTTTGCGTTTATTAAAACAACATAATATAAAAAACAGATATAATATGTACAATTGCTTGTAAATAAGCGTGATTAGATTACGGGTGATTCGAAAATAGGCCACGGTGCGTATCCGGTGACAGGAAATTAGACACACAGGCAGGAAAACAGCAACATGAGTATGAACGCGTTACTACAGATACAGCAACATGTTCAGTAACAGCATGATATAAAAACGAATCTTATTCATCATATTACAAGTTTTACCAAATTTTTTAGGAGCGTTGATAAGATTTTTTGAGTCTGTTATTGTCTATATATATACATATTTATACATCTGTATGTATGTGTACGTGTGTACACAGAAAAGATTTTTCTGAATTTCCTGAAAAAATTAGAGACACATAAATGGGATGCTATACATACTTTACACCGACGTAATAGTTTAACAGCTGATGAATGTGTTAACTATGCTGTTATGTTTTATTCATCAGATGCGCAAAGCAAGTTGGTAAACGTGTCACTGACAACAATATTAAAATAGTTTTTCAGAAAATCTAATTGAAACACAATTTTCTACAAAATATGTACAAATGAGTGTACAGACCTTATAATAAGGTGGTTCACTTCAGTACACAATACCAAATTGGCACAGCTTTTGAAGTACTCATTGTACATTGCATAAACGTATTGATAAAGAGTCAATACCTAGACCCAAAACACGGAGTATCCTCTCAAAAAAGGCAGACAAAAAGACTATAATCAAATATTATGATCATACAAATTAATATATTACAAGATACGTAGTTCAATTGTTCAACTGTGATATGTAATCAAGGTAATTGAGTAAAAGTTGTACTTTCATAATATTTGCTCCTAGACCGTGATGTGCTCCATCATAACTATAAACTCCTGATGTAAGACTGTAAAAATCGAGTACAGGAATATTATGAGCATCGCAATACACTTTCATTTCCCTAGAAAATTGTTTACAAACAATATTACCGTTTGCCGCATGATATGCTTTTGGTTTTAATATTCCATTGGAGTCAGGGTACATAAAAATGATATGTGGCCATCGCCTCACCTTTATAAAATTTCCGAACTGAGTATTAATTTTGTCAGAATTCTTGTAATAGTCTTCCAAATAATTGATTGCTGCACTTAAAAACTTGTTAATCGTCACTTTGGATTTACAGCCGTCGTGTCCACCCTGACCAAGTAGAATAACTGAACCAACTTTTCCTGCCAACTTTTTCACCAAACTTAAAAAGTCATTTGCAGAAGCGTGATTTGCATATTCATTTATACTAATAAGTGGCGTACGAGGTCCACAGAACGGAGTTTTGTCAACGAGCATGTCTAGTATATTTCCACCACCTGTTCTGCATTCTGTCCAGTAGAATTGATCAACACTTACACATAATTTTTTGAACTTATCATCGTAGCGTTCCAGTAAAAATCCATACGTTGGATCGGACCTTAGGGTCAAAAAAAACCTCGTGACATTTTTCTCACAAAAGAATCACCAACAAAATATATTTGAGAGAATCGATTGACAACTTCACAAGCTTGGGCTGCTGTGTAGTTCCTTCGTCGACATGAAGAATCAAATGGAATCCAATCACTTATTTCAGCGTGATATATCTTCCTGGTATCGACGCAACTAAAATGTAATTGTTTTGCGTTCTATAAAATTTAAATTGGACAAGAAGAATTACTAACCATTACCTACCTGGGGCAGTCACAAATGTTCCCACATTGACCATCATATATGTCGCTGCAACAGGGTTTTTTACTTTTTGCATCGCACCAACTTCCAGCTGGAGCTGCCCACGCATTTCCTTCCGGCTTTGACTGAACACTAGAAATTGAATATTAAAACATTATTTTGAAAACTTCCTAAACTGGCGTTTTTTTGGTAACCTTAAAAATGATTTTCACGGTTTTTAAATGGGATTCAACTCAAAAACACTCAAAGTTGTTTACAAAATTCGTAAACATTTCTGATAAAAATGAATTTATATTGGTGCCCGCGCTTGTGTGGTTATATTGCTTATCTTCCCGACCAAAATGCGGCGTCGCATTTACTAATCAACATCCCATTGTCAATAAAGATGTTAGCAACAGTTGACATAAACATCGAAATAATAGAATTACAAACTTCCAGCAAAGCAACTTGGTGGAAAGTATTCCATCAAGTGGGAAATCGTTGAAACCAGCTTTTCAAAGCAATTTGGTTGGCAATTGTGAATAAAACTGAGATCTAGGATTGAGAGTCATTTTTGAATAAAAATTTTCTTATGTTATTCCGACTCTGTGGATTGCCATGTTTTGTTGAGGGAAATACTGAAATGTTATCAACAATACGATAAATTATATTCGAGATAAAGACTATTCTGCAATGTGAAGTTTAATCAATATCTCAATTGATCTACTGCAAGCCTGGACAAAACTACAAAGGCAAAAAATCTAAGAATTTTCATGAAAGTATTTACTTATTAAATCCACACTTGTTATCATCTCTCCATAATCGTGTATGTATTCCTCGTTTAATGCGAAATTCAGCTAAATAGGAATCCAATTTTTTTTCTTCATTCAGTAATTTCTCATATTCTTGCTCACTTACATTATAACTATAGATCTTTTTCACCCACTGACCATTGCTCAAATTGAACAAGATGTTTTCACAAAACAGATGATTGTATGTCAAGTTCACTGTTTGGTTCTCCGTGTAATCTTCATGCAACACAAGTTTCGAAATAGCAGGAGGACTATAAGATAGATAAATGAAGTATGAGGATAGACAAACAACTACAATCCCAAAAATAAAGCGATAGCTGGAAACCAATCGTTGTGACATTGTATACTTTCTAAAATGGTAAAAACCGAATTTTAAATAGGTGTAGTGGTAGGACAATATAATTAATCAGAATAAAAATTATAGTATATGTGTAACGGTTAAAAGTACTGTTTGTGGTATTTCCTTCAGGTAGTTGAAAATTAGAATCTTATTCAACCTTTCACTAATATTATTCTAATTGCCGGTATACAAATCTGCTACTAAATATTGCTATCTCTAATACATTGGTTGCGTCTATTACTCGGCGTGATACGAATACGACAAATATCTACAATAAAAAGAAAATAGCATTCGTCGCGGATGCTTGATCATTAAGAAATTTTTAAGATAGAGATTTGATGATTACCTATGTATATCTACAGCTTTTCGATCTTATCGACAAGAAGGTCGATATTAAATAAATTAAATATAGATATTTGTAACTGCAGATATGTATAAATCGAAATCTGCTCTGTGATAAAAATTATATCTGCCCAAAAACGTGTTACGTCTCTTAAACGTTATTAGAACTCAATGTATAGCTCACTTTTTGCATCGCACCAACTTCCAGCTAAAATTGCTCACGCATTTCCTTCCGACTTTGTCTGAACCCTAGAACGTGATTTGATATTTTATGCTTCGATGCCCAGAAAACTAAATTAAAACGTGATCGTCTGAGCAATGTAGTTTCAGATAGCATTGGCAGGATTCTTTGAAGTCTACACTCATTATATAATACCGACAAAGTTTACTAAAAGTAATTAGACTAGCTGACTTCGCAAGAAATATTTTAAAACATATTTTTGAAAACTTCCCAAACTGACGTTCATTTAGTGACATTGAAAATTATTTTCATGGTTATTGAATGAGGATTCAATTCAAAAAACATTCAAAGGTATTCCTAAATAATCTTAAATATATTTAGCAGAAATGAATTTATATTGCTACGCGCGCTTGTATGGTTATATTGTATAGTCCAGTGGTTCCCAAACTTTTTTGACCATCGCCCCCCAACAGTAGTTTGTACAACTTCATCGCCCCCCGGCACTACAAAAAATGTAAAGTCAGAAACGAATATATTACTGACCAAATAAGAAGACAAATCATAGTTTATAACTTTATAGTGTTTTTTAATGAGCTTGATGAGCTTGGTGTTCTTCAGCGAGTTTTTTATTATAACTAAAATTACCCAGTTTATTGATGGAAAGGCGATTTCGTTGTTTTGATATTCAGATTCAGATATTTTATTTCGTCGTGCATGAAACATTGTCAACAAATAATAATAAAGTCAAATAAATCAAAAATACACAATGTTTCGCAATTGACGAGGAGTCGCGAAAGACTATTAAGTCATCGTGTCAGCGACACCTATATGCTGGATTACAGCAACAGATATAGCAAAAGACTTGGGTTTATCACGTACAATACGGTACTAAAAAACATAGAAACAACAACAACGGATGATAAATAAAATACGGAAATATGAAGAGCCATGAGGACTTTAATTAAGGAAACCGGTACCGCTTGACGAGCGCAAGGGCGCCATCAAGCGAATGCGATATACCTCAATGTACACAATTAAACGAGATTAACGCTTATTAACATGACTAAGCACTTTGAAAACTGGATCGGCGTGCCCAGCAACGTTAGTTTCAATTTGACAGAACTTTACTGGCTTAATGAACTGATGCATGCTGAAGCATGCATTTCTTTCACATTTAGGTTATATGATAAAAAGTTGTCGAAAGTGAAAAACAGAACTTGGCACATACAGAGTAAATGACGATGCGAATTTAGAATACAGTGGAAGAACACGATTGCATCCCGGTATGGTACCGGTAACGGTTCAGGGAATATACGACTAGAAGAAGATCAGACACATGAAAAGGCAATGTTTTCAGACTACTGGCAAAAATAAACATCAAGGTAATGATTTTTCAATGCATGTTTGAAGGAGATGTAGTTCATTGATCGAATACTGTCAGTGAGCGTGTTCCATAACTTGACACCAACGAATTTGATGGAGTTTTGAGTAAGCTTGGTGGAAAAGCGCTCCACAAAGTAAGAGCCTTTAGCAGATGACCGTGTCCCATAGGAGTGAATACTGCTCTGCTTTGAAAAGTAGTTAGTGAATGCTGCAGGGAGTTTATTGTTATGGTGTTGATGCATTAACTTTAACACTTCAATTCTATGTATATCTACAAGTTTAATAATTCTTAGTTTATTATAAATAGGACTTAGTTGTGTGCGATAAGCAACATCAGAAATAGCGCGAATGGCCCGATTCTGCATAATTTCTAATCGGTGCAATAAAGATTTATCAGCAGAGCCCCATGCAACTACGCCATATTGAATATGGGACTGGAATAGGGAGTAGTAAACCATGCGTAATGTAGGTAGCGATGTAAATCTTTTAAGTTTATATAATATCCCAACCGACTTGGATAATTTAACGGCCAGGTTTGAAATTTGTGTATCCCATTTCAATTTGTTATCAATATATATGCCAAGGTATTTATAAGAAATAACGTTTTCAAGTTGTGTACCATCAATTTGGATTGACAGACCATTTAGAGATTTACGCCTATATGGTGATATTAACAATGTTTTAGACTTTTCTATATTTATTGTTAGTTTGTTAGATCTCATCCAATTAGCCACCTTTGCAATTTCAGCGTTTGCTCTTGATTGAAGAGCTGCATGGGATTTGTCGCTGTCGAGGAGGCTAGTGTCGTCAGCAAACAATTTGGTTGAGAGCGAAGAGCAGTGAACTATGTCATTGACATATACTAGGAAAAATAATGGGCCCAATATACTACCTTGTGGAACTCCGTGAGTCACTGGTAAGAGAGAGGAACAATAAGTTCCCACTTTGACATATTGTGATCTATCGCTTAGATAACTAGTAATTAGTTTATTTGCTTGTCCCCTGATGCCTTAATGATTCAGCTTGTAAATTAAAATGTCATGATCCACAGTATCAAAAGCCTTTTTTAAATCTAAAAATGTTGCGCTAACGAACTCTTTTTTCTCTAATTTATCATAAACATAAGATATTGTATCTAAAATGGCGTGGGATGTCGAATGATTATTCTGAAAACCAAACTGAGATCTGTTTATAACATTATATTTAGTAAAAAAACTAATAAGTCGCTTATGGATCAAGCGCTCAAATATCTTATCAATCGATGAAAGGATTGATATCGGTCTATAATTTGGAACACATTTCTTATTTCCAGATTTGAAGAGGGGGATTACTCGAGCAATTTTGAGACACGAAGGAAAGATTCCTAACGAGAGAGAACAATTAAAAAGTTCAGCTAAACATGGCGAAATGAGGTCAGCAACAAGTTTAAGGAACCGTGCTGGAATATTGTCTGGACCTACTGCCTTCCTATCTTTCAGATTTTGTATTTCTATTATCACTTCGTTTGAATCAGTCAAACTCATGAAAATGGACTGGCTTACACGATTGCGAAGAAAATGTTTGAAGCTAGTCATATCATTAGAAAACTTGTCTGAGAGACTGGACCCAACCGTTGAAAAGTACTTATTGAATTCGGTAGCGATTGAAATACCATCTTTAGTGATACAGCCATTCTCTCGGAAGATTTCATCAACATTTGATTTGGATTTATTATTTGTATGTGTAATTTGGTCAACTATCTGCCATGTTGTCCTTGGATTACCTTTGTTTTGGGCAATAAGATTTTGGTAATAAATTTGTTTTGCTTTATACAATGTTTTTGACAAAACATTTCTATAATTTTTGAAGTAGGAGCGTTGAGAGCTGTTACCTTTCAGAAAATGGGATTTGAAAATCTTATTTTTGTGTCGAATACAGCTATTTAACCCTTTACTCAACCAGGGCTTTAGTTTTAACCTTTTCTGTCGTCGTGAAAGTGGCCGAAGGGGAGCATGGCGATCAATTAGGGTATTGATTGATAGTATAAATTCTTCAAAAGCACTATTGTAGTTCAGGGCATTCAATTGAAATGTATCAAACAAGTTATCAAAAATGCTCTGTGCATCTGTGCGAAAAGGGTCAATCGAGAAGTTTGACATGTCCCTAGAAATTATGCAATCATTTTTATGAATAGGTGTTACACCACTAAGAGAACACATTATTGGGAAATGGTCTGTTATATCTGATAGAACAACATAGGAATTAATTTTCAAATTTGTCAAATTGGTGTACATGTGGTCGATCAATGTTGCAGAAGTTTGACCTACTCTAGTGGGTTTGGTTATCAAGGAGAAGGCATTATGAGAAATGAGCATATTAACATAATTGATAATTTGGACATTACTGGATGTTGAAAGCAAGTTAATGTTAAAGTCACCGACTATCAAAAAGTGTTTCTTAGCCAATTTAGCTAAAGATATTTCAAAAATATCAGTGAAATAAGTTATGTCATTACGAGGATGTTTATAAATAATGCCAATAACCAATCTGCTAACAGTATTTGCCAAACTGATCTCAAACCACAAATTTTCGCAGTTGGAATAGACGATATTATAATCTGTAATTTCATTAAACGTAACGTCATCCCTGATAAAAGCAGCAACACCACCTGCTTTAGTGGCAGATGGGGCATGAAGGAAATTATAGCCATCGGTGGTATTGAAGACATGATTTTGGGGTAATTTAGATTCGCTTATAGCAATTATATGAGGAGGTGATGGCAAATTTGATAATAGTGTAGTCAAATGATCTAAATTCTTTTGAAGGGAGCAAATATTCATATGAAAGATCACCAAATCAGATGATGTTTGAATAGAGTCCAAATTTACAACCTCTAAATTGTTGCACAGAAGATTATCACAGGAGAAACCTGATTGAGAATAACTACAGTGACCAGCCATTTAGATGACTAAGATTATATGAAAGTAATAATAAACAGATAGAAAACATATTATTTGACCAAGCCATGTATAGAAATAAAAATACATGAACAAAATTAAATAAACAAATAACCTTACTTGATTAAAGAAAGGTCATCGTCAGTTATAATGGGGATGGTGTTAGTCATTTGATTCTTTTTTATAAGTACTCTTCCATTGTGAGTCCATAAGTACTTATAACCACATTCATTCTTCAAGTTTCTGGCTTTGAAGAATAATTCTTTATTGGTATCAGTGAGGTTTTCAATTACAAATATTTTGGTAGATCTTGCAAGATGTGGAAAATCATCTTGAATGTTCGATGATCTGAGCTGGCGACGATTTTTCAAAATTTGGTGTCTTGTTTTTCTGTTTATGAAGTTTACAATGATTGGCGATGGTTTTTTGTTGTTATATTTGGACATCCTGTGGCAGTTCGAGATGTCGAATGAACGCAGCGGAACATTAATTCGGGCTGCCACTTTAATGACCAGATTTTCACAATTTTCATCAGCTGCATATGGAATGTTATGAAATTCAAGATTGTTGAGTCTGGATCTGCGGTCTTGGTCTTGTTGGCGTTCTGTTAGAATATCAATTTCTTCTTCAAGATTTTCAACAATATTTTCGAGTTCACGAATTTTTTTGTTATTTTTAGCAGTAACGTTGTTTAGTTCCTTATAGTTGGCATTTAACTCGTCAAATTTTTTGGAGATGAAGTCTTGGCTTCTTTGATAGCAATAGTAGCGCGGCTGAAAACCCCTTTTTCATCATATAATAGGTCGGAAATTAGGCGGGACAAAATTTAGGGTTGCCAATCTTTTTCGGATCGCATATATTTTTTGAAAGTTAAAAACGGAACAGCGCGTGAAAACTTCGACAATTCGTGAATTCAACTCAGTCGTCTTATTAAAAAATCATTACAATGACATTTAATGTGACACTGTCTTGTTGCTGCATCACGCTTGATAGCTTTACGACGCTAAGATCGGAACATTTTCTAAATGGGCATCACTAATCTCAGTTTATTGCTTGTTCTTTGTAATGTTCATTTTCGAAAATAATTGTTTGCACAAATATGTACTTCCAAACATCGAAGTGAATATTTTCGCAAGATTTGTGAAATTTGGATAAACATTTTCTTTAAGAGGATACATTCTTACAAAAATTATGCAGTGGTGAATCTTTCGAATAGAATATGAATTTTAATTCCTTATTGCATTGCAATATATTCGACTATTTACTGCGCCATTGAACCCCTGCTTTCAGCATCAACTTTTCTTCGTGTTTCTATTTGTCTAATTATAATTAAATTGTAAGCTCGTTACACAAGTAGCTGTTCAATAGAATTTTTAGGATATAACAAAATTTAGTCTGAACGTGTCTCACGATAAATTCTGCTACGTAAACAAATGTAATTTACTCCTCGAGCGTAGATTATAAATAAAATTAATTCATCGTCATAACCGCCGTTTGGATGTTTCCCCGGGCATAGACTTCCTTGTTTACCTCGTGACATTGCCCAAGATGCAAAAATAAACGTAACAATGTCCCCCTTTCGCATCCGCTCAGACACACTCACTGAGACAGATTTTCAGGCGTGGTCGTGAACATTACCTCATTTTCGCGTTTTTGAATTATATTCGTTAGTTTTTAGTTGTTTTTCGGAAATTTAAATAATAATCAAATAAGTCAATGATTACTTTGTCTTCCTAAAAGTGTAGAAATAGCTGTGATAGACTAGGCTAAAAATTCTTTACCGATACTTTCAAAAAACAGATTGTTGAATGGTATGAATTAGAATGATTGTTTGAAACAAATACCCCATTTTACAAGCAACAACTCGCGGAACTACTCTTAAAATAAGCACCGAAATTTTTTAAAATGGTAAATTATATAGGAAGAATTTTCCGCGGTCAAAGGTCGGGGAAAGGTCCATTCAGTGAATCGTCCCGGGCCAGATTATTTTACTCCGGCCGTATTTTGCCGACCACTGGGATAGGCAAACTACCGTACCTTATTGCGAAGACGAGTCCAGCAATCCTCTCGCGTGTGATAATCGCCCACGTGATTCAAGCCAGCTGCGAATGCACACAGAGTACAGAAATAAGTGCACGATGCACCGAACGAAAACAGGTTTTGTAAAATCGCCCCCCTATCGCCCTCTTCGACCTTTTCGCCCCCCTCTGTATCATTTTCGCCTACCGGGGGGCGATATCGCCCACTTTGGGAATCACTGTATACCAGGGGTGGCCAACCTGCTTTCGATCGCGATCGATTAAAATCTTCAAAAATACCTCGCGATCGCCTAATCGGTAATAAGGCCATACACAAAAACGAAGGAGCACTGAATACGCAGATATTTGCACACACACATACAAAAATTTTACCGCTGCCATTAGCTCAGCTCTGCGGTCGCATTATCAATGAAATTGCCACAAAAATTTGCATTTTTATGTTTCATTCAATTTGTTAATTTGGTGTTTCATCATTTATCTTCGTATCATACACGTTAGATCTAGGGCCTGTCCTATTTTTAGTCGTGAGTGTTTTCAATTCCTCAAAAAGTGTCTATGTATTATATAAACAGCGAATAATGAATATTCTCAAACCATAATTGTTATTTTTCAGACTACAGTATCTAATTTACAATTTTCTTTGAGTCGATTCTTTGCTCGCTTGGAATTAGAGAAAAAAATTAGGCATTCTGGTGCCACAGCTACCGTTGCGAATAAAATTTATCAAACTACTTTTGGGTGAGAGACAATAACTTTTGCACAGTTCAGAAATTGTTGCAGAATCGTTTGCCAGTCAAGACAGATGGTATTCAGTTCGTTCATTTCTAAAACTTGGCAGCAGTGAAAGTTGCATTTGTCGTATATGATCTGCTTGTCCATACCAAATTACTGCATGTGTATATGGTATTTTGCGCATGTATACAGCCACTATATTCTTCCCATTTTAAACACACAACAGGCGCTGTATGAAACAGTGCCAAGGCAATTTTTGGGGGTATGTTATTCAACTTACTCAACATCAGACGCGATCGACTACTCGAGACATGACGATCGACCGGTAGATCGCGATCGACGTGTTGGCCACCCCTGCTGTATACCATCGTTATCAAAAGTCCGCGTCGCATCTATTTATCTAGATCGCATTGTCAATAAAGATGTTAGATACTGTTGACACAAACAAATCGTTTGGGCAAGCTTATTATTGAAATTTGGTCAGCAAAATGAATAGAACGGAGATACAGGATTAGGAGTAATTTTTTGAGAAGATAATTATTTAAGTTTTTTCGACTCTGCGGATTGCCATGTTTTATTGAATTTAATATGGAGATGTTATGAGCAATACGATAAATTATAATCGGGGAAAGGACTATTTTGCAATATCGAGCTTAATCAATATCTCAAATGATGTACTGCAAGTCATGACAAAACTAAAAACGGCCTAAAAATCTAAGAATTGTTATAAAAGTATTTACTTATTCAATCCAAACTTGTTATCATCTCTCCATATTCGTGTACGTATTCCTCGTTTAATGCGAAATTCAGCTAAATAGGAATCCAGTCCTTTTTCTTCTTTCAATAATTTCTTATATTTTTCCTCATTTTTATCAAAACTATAGATTATTTTCACCCATTGACAATTTCTCAAGTTTTTCAAGAAGTTTTCACAGAACAGGTGATGCAATTTCAATTTCACTGTTTGATTCTCTGTGTGATCTTCATGCAACACAAGTTTCGAAATATCAGAGTGATAGCTATAAGATAGATAAATGATGTATGAGTAGGGTTTTGTTTTTTATCAATTCTAAAAAAACATCGTGTTTTAAAAACAAGGGCTTGTTTTAAAACAATTTTTTTCTGTATTTTTTGTACTTTTCATTGAATTATCACTGCATGCATCGCCGCGAAACTACGCCAAAACTTTGCATTCTGGCAGCTGCACACGCAGCCGGAATTATAATTTTAAAAGGGTAAGTAAAAATTCTTATCCTGAATTCTACTTCTATTGAGTACATTTATCACCACTTTTGTATCTCCACCAAAGCCATAAGATTTCAACCGGAATGTTTACCCGAGATATCAGAGAGACGTTTTGAGTAATAAAAATCATGAAACTTAGCTCACGAGCCACTACAAGAGCAATTAGATTAAGGGCAGCCTTCGGCAACACGAGTGGGTTGCAATAATGAAGAATATGGTTACTTCGGCGGCAATCTACTGATATAAACGATGAGACATCCTAGCATAGCCTATGCTAATTGTAAGAGTCCTTTGATGCAAAGACGCCACAACTAATCTGTTATTAAGCCATAATATGGATTTCGAGTTCATGTATTGGCATTTTTCTCCTAAAATAAAAAATATATGTAATATTATTACGATTAATACTGTTCGGTTAGTTTATGCTTAGCATACTTTGTTTTCAAGGTTGGAGTGATAGAGTTTTTAAAGGTTATACGAACTCATTTATTCGATCGCATTTCAATTTTCGCAAGGTGGTTTCGTAGTGGCAGGGTCGTTCACGTAATGGCTTATCGGTTGCGTCTTACTGCGCAAACCACTGAACTATACAGCTTGAGAAGGTGTGTATGAGCCTCTATCGATATTTGTGGCGTTTTGACGTATTTTTTGCAAATGAGGAGCGCTTGGCAAGTTTTTACATCCATTTTTCTTCAACCTATTTAATACAGAAAAATCAAATAGTACAGCCATTTTAAACAAAACAGGCAAAAAAAATTGATCTGAAACAATTGTTTTAAAACAATTCTTTTCGAACAAATCCCTATGTATGAGGATAGAAAAATAACTACAATCCCAAAAATAAACCGACCGCTGAAAACCAAACGTTGTAACATTGTATATTTTTTGGAATGGTAGAAAGAGAAATTAGATGTTGTGGAAGTGACAATATATTTAATCATAAGAAAATTGTTATATTTATGCATAGCGACAGCGTTTTAGATCTTATGGACCAAAATGGAGTCGGGTTTCATCTTTCCGGTATCAAATTAAATATATGTAACTGCAGATATTTATTATTCGAAATCTGCTCTGTGATGAAATTATTTCAGCCCAAGAACGTATTGCATCGCTTAAACCTTTTTACGCTACTAGTGCTCGAACATATGTTCAACTTGACAAATACAATGTCCACAATTCTACAAAAATGACGATATCGAGCGCTAATAACATGAAATGTGTTTAAATAAAGTAATTTTTTTTGCTATTTTTATCAAGACATTACTTGCTCGGCCTTGGATTTGGACCTAGGGTTTGAAAACTGGCTTTTTTTAATTCACGTTTGTCGATGATCCTCAAATCCGTATATCTTCTCTGGAGAAGGTTGCTGTTCATAAGTAATTTCATCTTTTTCAACGGGTGTTCCAACTCGATGAGTTCACCTTGTGCATTAACTATGTAGTTTTTAGACGTAGATTCCAATAAATTTCTAATTCATTCAGCATTGTGTATAAATTAACGGATAGTCAATTTTAACCAATACTCCATAATTAAAATGATAAATGGAATGGAAAATAGCAAAACACGTCTTATTTTTGATTATGTACATTTGTTCCGAATGCCACTGGTAAATATATGACACGTGAGCATGTGTGGATTAGAATTTGACGAATGGATTTGATTGAAATATTGACCTCGCAATTTTTTTTTGCTGTGGAATCCTTACTGTTGTAATGGAAGGCTGTCTTGATTGCCTATTTTAAATTTTTTTTCTTAAACTGTAGGTACGTTGATGACACCAAACCTGACTGAACAAAACATTTGCAAACAAATTTACTTACTAACAATATGTATATACTAATATAATTGACTACCTCGTTTAAATCAGCAACAACTGTTCATTGAAACGTGAATGTAGTTTAACAATAGATCACTAAGCATCCGGTAACTTTTCAGTTAAACGAGTTCTGAAATGTAGTTTTTTATCACCATTGTTTTTTTGTTTTGTTTAATTTGTATCATCACATTTTCTTACTTTCGAATTGTATTCGGACCGGAGTTTGGAATCAGCATGAATCTATAAATCCATTTTCTGATTAAGTTGCTGAAAACTTAGGATTTGATTTCATTGTAAGTTTGGGTTATCCATATTTGTTGGGCATCCTCAAGAACGTCGGCAAATTGTGAAACTCAATGAAATGTACATTCCATTTCTGCTTGCTGCAAAACTGTTAGAGAAAAATGAAATTAAAAACGTGAATGCAATCTATTGCGTTGGTATGACGTTTAAGTCAAAAATACTTTATTTATTCCTTAAACATATATATAATTAAAATCCTACAATAGCAACAGAATTTTATTATCTTTAACTGTCAATCAGAAGGTCCTGTAACAATTACAAAAACTATGATCAACAACGACAAATTCATTCTTGATGTTTTGTTTTACTTTATACCGACCGGGAATTAAAATTCTATCATCTCCATGTCTTTTAGCTGGCCATGTTAAAATTATAGACGGAGTGATCTTAACTGACCTTGCGATTTAACAGCAGGGTCTACTTAAGCAACGGATAAAAAAAAACATTCCTGATATTTTTACTAACATAAATGTTTTTAATAGTAAAAAACATGATCTTTTGTACACTCCCCTTTTACAATGTTTAGCGTCGAACTTGAATTTGAGCTTTGCTGTTTCATCAGAGATTTCGACCGATAAGTTTTGTCTCCTAATATGATGTTTATTAGGCATATCAAAATGCTACGCTCACATTCGTGAATTTTATATATTGTTTAACTTGAGCCATTGTCATTTTTATATTTTGCAAAAACAAAAATAGTCTGCATTATATTTACAAACGCCCTGCAAAGAAAGTGAGTGCAAAGATAGAAATATGACATACTTTCGCGTTTATTAAAACAACATAATATAATAAACTCATATAATATGTACAATTGCTTGTAAATAAGCGTGATTAGACTACGGGTGATTCGAAAATAGGCCATGGTGCGTATCCGGTGACAGGAAAATGAGACACACAGGCAGGAAAACAACAGCATCAGTATGAACGCGTTACTACAGATACAGCAACATGTTCGGTAACATAATGATATAAAAACGAATCTTATTCATCATATTACAAGTTTTACCAAATTTTTTAGGAGCGTTGATAAGATTTTTTGAGTCTGTTATTGTCTATATGTATATATTTATACATCTGTATGTATGTGTACGTGTGTACACAGAAAAGATATTTCTAAATTTCCTGAAAAAATCAAAGGCACATGAATGAGATTCTATACATGTTTATACTTCACACCAACGAAATAGTTTAACAGCTGATTAATGTGGACCATGATGTTAAGTTTCATTCACCAGTTACGCAAAGCAAGTTGGAATGAATATATTAAAAATATTATGATATCACTGACAACAATATTAAAATCGTTTTTCAGAAAATCTAATTGAAACACAATTTTCTACAAAATATGTACAAATGAGTAAACAGACATTATAATAAGGTGGTTCACTTCAGTACATCCTACCAAATTGGCGCATCTTTTGAACCACTTAGTACATTGCATAAACGTATTGATAAAGAGTCAAAACCTAGACCCAAAACATAGAGTATCCTCTCAGAAAAGGCAGCAAGCAAAGTCTATAATCAAATATTATGATCATACAAATTAATATTTTACAAGAAAAGTAGTTCAATTGTTTAACTGTGAAATATAATCGAGGTAATTGAGTAAAAGTTGTACTTTCATAATATTTGCTCCTAGACCATGATGTGCTCCATCATAACTGTGAACTCCAGATGTAAGACTGTAAAAATTAAGTACAGGAATATTATGAGCATCGCAATATACCTTCATTTCCCTAGAAAATTGTTTACAAACAATATTACCGTTTGCTGCATGATATTCTTTTGGTTTTAATATTCCGTTAGAGTCAGGATACATAAAAATGATATGTGGCCATCGCCTCACCTTTTCAAATTTTTCGAACTGAGTATTAATTTTGTCAGAATTCTTGTAATAGTCTTCCAAATAATTGATTGCTGCACTCAGAAAATTGTTAATCGTCACTTTAGATTTACAGCCGTCGTGTCCACCCTGACCAAGTAAAATAACTGAACCAACTTTTCCTGCCAACTTTTTCACCAAACTTAAAAAGTCATTTGCAGAAGCGTGATTTGCATATTCATTTATACTAATAAGTGGCGTACGAGGTCCACAGAACGGAGTTTTGTCAACGAGCATGTCTAGTATTTTTCCGCCACTTGTTCTGCATTCTGTCCAGTAGAATTGATCAACACCTACACATAATTCTTTGAACTTATCATCGTAGCGTTCCAGTAAAAATCCATACGTTGGATCGGACCTTAGGGTCAAAATAAAACCTCGTGACATTTTTCTCACAAAAGAATCACCAACAAAATATATTTGAGAGAATCGATTGACAACTTCACAAGCTTGGGCTGCTGTGTAGTTCCTTCGTCGACATGAAGAATCAAATGGAATCCAATCACTTGTTTCAGCGTGATATATTTTTCTGGTATCGACGCAACTAAAATGTAATTGTTTTGCGTTCTATAAAATTGAAATTGGACAAAATGAATTACTAACCATTACCTACCTGGGGCAGTCACAATTGTTCCCACATTGACCATCATATATGTCGCTGCAACAGGGTTTTTCACTTTTTGCATCGCACCAACTTCCAGCTGGAGCTGCCCACGCATTTCCTTCCGGCTTTGACTGAACACTAGAAATTGAATATTTTAAAAAATTTTGAAAATTTCCTAAACTGGCGTTTATTTAATAACCTTAAAAATGATTTTCATGGTTTTTAAATGAGGATTCAACTCAAAAACACTCAAAGTTATTTACAAAATTCGTGAACATTTCTAATAAAAATTAATTTATACTGGTACCCGCGTTTGTGTGGTTATATTGCGTATCTTCATTACCAAAATGCGGCGACGCATCTACTCATCAACACCCCATATTAATAAAGATGTTAGCAACAGTTACATAAAAATCGAAATAATAGAATTACAAACTTCCAGCAAAACAGCTTGGTGGAAAGTATTCCATCAAGTGGGAAATGTTGAAACTAGCTTATCATAGCAATTTGGTTGGCAATTGTGAATAAAACTGAGATCTAGGATTGAGAGTCATTTTTTGATTAAAAATATTCTGATGTTATTTCGACTCTTCGGATTGCCATGTTTTGTTGAAGGAAATATTGAGATGCTATCAACCATGAGATAAATTATATTCGAAGAAAAAAATATTCTGCAATGTGAAGCTCAATCAATATCTCAATTGATCTACTGCAAGCCTTGACAAAACTACAAAGGCAAAAAATCTAAGAATTTTCATGAAAGTGTATTTACTTATTAAATCCACACTTGTTATCATCTCTCCACAATCGTGTATGTATTCCTCGTTTAATGCGAAATTCAGCTAAATAGGAATCCAATTTTTTTTCTGCATCCAGTAATTTCTCATATTCTTGCTCATTTTTATTAAGACTATAGATCTTTTTCACCCACTGACCATTGCTCAAATTGTACAAGATGTTTTCACAAAACAGATGATTGTATTTTAATTTCATTGTTTGATTCTCTGTGTGATCTTCATGCAATACAAGTTTCGAAATACCAGGAGGACTATAAGATAGATAAATGAAGTACGAGGATAGACAAATAACTACAATCCCCAAAATAAAGCGATCGCTGGAAACCAATCGCTGTGACATTGTATACTTTCTGAAATGATAAAAACAGAATTTTAAATAAATGTAGTGAAAGGGACAATATAGTTAATCATAAGAAAATTATAGTAATGTGTAACGGTACTGTTTGCGGTATTTCCATCAGGTAGTTAAAAATTAGAATATTATTCTATCTTTTACTAATATTCTTTTAGTTACTGGTATATAAATCTTCTACTAGATATTGCTATCTCTACTATACCTTGGTTGCAGTTATTACTCGGCGTGATATGATTACAATAAATCTTAACAATAAGAAAGGAGATAGCATTTGTCGCGGATGCTTAATAATCATCAGGAAATCCTCCAGATATAGATTCGATGATTACCTATGCAGAGCTACAGGTTTTCGATCGTATGGACCAGAATGAAGTCGGGTTTCATCGTTCCGGTATTAAATTGAATACAGTATAGGTATATATCTGTATATATAGTATAGATAAATGCAGATATGTATAAATCAAAATCTGCTTTGTGATAAAAATTATGTCAACCCAATATCTTGCTATATCCCTAAAACGTTATTAGTTCTCGAACATATATCCATTTGGCAAAATACGGAATCAAAAATTTTACAAAAATTGCGCAATCGAGCGCTAATAACATGGAAGGGGTTTTATGATATAACTCACTCTTTGGTGCAAGTATTGACAAAAGTAAGCCATATACATCGGATTTAAATAAAAATGCAATATAAATGCAAGCCTGCAGCCTACTTTGATGACCTACCTAAACAAATGTCAATTCGTTGACAGACCTTTCTTTTATATATCTGTGGGTGAATAATTGATAGATAGGTAATCTGATACCGGGATCATAAACCGACTGGGCCGACCGGTAGTGGCAGAAATAAATTTTGCTAGTTCAAGCTGCATTATGTCGGTACATTCCAATATTGCTTGAGCTTTGTCGGATTTTGTCCTTTCCTCACGTAGTACCGTTAATTGGAATCATTTTGGCTAACTTCGCCATTATGTCTGAATTATCTGTGATACCTCGAAAAAAAAAATTACCACTTGCGCTGTATCGCATACATACGCGCTTTCATCAAATGCAAGGGGAAAATAATCTGACTCGTTTTTTTTTGCAGATAGATAGTTTATTTGAATACTCCATATTATACACAAATTTAAAATGGAGAATCCTGGAGGGCGAGCAAAACCTTTAAAAAAGTCCAATGCATGGGAGATATCATGTGTTCACCAGCACAGACACAAAAATCAATTACAAAAAATACAGACCTATAGTAAAAACGAGGTTTGTGCCAGAAATAATTAAACAAAAGATATTCGAATGTTTTGAACTTTCGGGCTGTTGTACTCTTGAAACGCCTATGCTATTGTAGTAATAATGATCAATCCAATGGTACGGTATATGCCATATGCCAGCAATACGCTGGGCATAATTACTTTGCGGTCTGGCAGTCTACAGTTTTAAGCAGAGGATAAAAAGAACTATTTCTGATATTTTTATTAACATAAAGAATTACAGAGGTCAGAACACATAACCTCTTGTGCAATGCTTTTTACATCGTTTAGACTTTAGAACGTCAAACTTTTATTTGAGCTATGCTGTTTTATTAGAGATTTCGACGTCTTGATTTTTTCAACGTTTTCTAACAATTTTACATATTGATGACTGTCATCTATTCTTGCAGCTGTGGAGATAAGTTTGATACAAAATACTTTTTTTATTCGACTCCATAGAAACCTTGATGTCTCGAAAATTTCAGAGAAAAAAAACATGTTTATTTTACGGTTCAGTTTGGGTACGCAATATGATGTTTATTGGGCAATTCACAATGCCATGCTTTTATTCATGAATTTTATATATTGCAATAGGTTTCATAATTATATTGTTTTATTTAAGCAATTGTCATTTTTATGCAACAACAAAAATAGTCTGCACTCTGCATTATATTTACGAACGATCGGAAAAGAAAGTGAGTTTTCTCGGTATCTTTCTCTCGCACTACTTTATAGTCATCTGTGACCCAATTCTGGGGACCAAAGCTGTTGAACTAGGCCTGCTTCTGAATCAATAGTAATTTTTAGTCATTTGGTCATTGTGGCTGAAGGCATTCGATCCCTTCCTTAGTCTGTTGATGAATGCTAGCAGACTGATATATTAACAATTTAATGCAGCTTGACTCGTGTTTCAATATTTTAGCATGAAAATTCAGCTTCCACAGGACAAAGTCCAAAAATAATGCAGTAATGTTATCAAACATAAAATATTGGGTTCCGGTTATATGCTAATCAGTAATTACAATGTAGAAACTGCGGTAACTGACATTGAATTTGGTGCTTCTCTGACAGATTATTATAACAAACTGTGTAAACGAGAACATAACAATTAATTAGCTTTTCGTCAAAACAAGATGCAACTGTCAATCATTAAAGACACTGCTGCAAACCGTTGCAGTAACAGTCATAATGAAAACGATTGATAGATTGGCTAATCCAAACATAACCGACCGAAAATAAAAGCTTGCTTAGCTGTTTAAAACGTCGCTAACCAAGTTCTGGGGTGGCATTTTCCGTTCGCATACAATTGAAATCATGAAAGCGTATTCATCATGCTTTGACGCACATCGACGTTTGTGCAAAGAGTTTCATATTGTGTAATATACCGTTTTCCATATTTTCAGACGTCCATATACATCATAGTGGGAAAGGTAGTAGACATCGGATGTATTGATCGATGCATAGCAATTGGAAGCTATGCCTATTAGAAGATGAAAATTATGATAACTTCAACGACGAAACGGTCGCATCGTTTTTGTAATTTTTTCTGAAGACAAAAAATAATTACAGCTACCCCTCGCTTTCTGTGTCTAAATTCTTTAGTGTTAATGTACCTCGTACATTAACTAAAATATAACCTTGATCTGGTTATACTGACAATTCACCAGATAAGAACAGAAAAGATTTTAGCCGATATTGCAAAGTTTGAATATACAATATAATCCAACCTAATGTTTCTCACTGAAATCGTAACACCCTGAAACATACAAATAAAAATTCCACCATATGACTCAATCTCAAAGTAAGTTAGTGAACGTGTTCCTTTATGTTTCTTAAAAACAGAGTGATTGGATAAATCAAAAATATTATTATGTCACTGACAACAATATTCAATTCGTTTTTCAGGATATCCTATTATTACACAATTTTATACAAAATGTACAAATGAGTGTACAGACCTTATAATAGGTGGTTCACTTCAGTAAACCATATCAAATTGTCAGGTTTGTCAATAGAAAACGTCCCATGTGGTGGGATGGAACAGCACACATTTGTTTCCCCCGTGGGACACGTGGGACAAGAGTACGCTTGGGATACGTAAGACAAATGTGACAATTTTATATGGGATTACGTTTTGTGTGTCAATAAAATTAACATTATGTCCTCAGTGGTGCGGTTTAAACATGATAGTGAGGTAACGTGGTATCACGATGTTGCGCATACCGCGTAGTATTAAAAAAAATTCATTCTAAAGCGCGATCAGAATTCTAGCTTTTCTGGGAAACTGGTGGGTCGATTCGGATAAATCCTGTCTGTGAACGTATCCACATAACCTAGTAAATTTAAATTGCGATCGGGCCTGAGAAAAGAGGCTATCTATGAAAATAGTTACTCCAAAACAGAATGATACTGGATTGCCATAGTTAGGCAAAATAACTGTCGTTTTGAATATCTCTTCGTGCATGTAGTCCTATTTGTAGACAATTGACCTAAATATTCATAAATTCAATTATTTTTTATTGAATTGTATTCCAATGGACGTTTCCCCGGGAATCGACTTCTTTGTTTACTTCCGTAACATTACCTAATCAACAAGATGCAAAAAGTGACGTGGCAATAGACGTTTTAGCAGCTGCTCAGACCCTTTTTCATTCACAGATTTTCAGGCATGGTTGTAAACACTATCTCATTTTTGCGTTTTTGCATGTTATTTGCTAGTTTTTAGTTGTGTTTCGAAAATTTAAGTTTGCCTCTTAGCAGATTTAGCTTAATTACAGTAATCAAAAATTAGTCTTGAAATAGATGCGATAAAGGCTAAACTTACCCACCTATACATTTAAATGACAGGTTGTTGAAAATTTTCAATCAAAATAATGGTATTAAACATATAAACCAGTTTATAGGCGCCAACTCGCGAAACCACTTCAAAAAAAGTACTAAAAATTTTGTAATGGTGCAGTAGAGTATTTTTCGGGCGTTGAAGGTCAGGAAAACATCCAAGGAAATCCCATGACATGGTATGGGGTGGGACATAAAATATGTCGCATGAACAAGCCTGCAAATTGGCACACCTTTGCAATCATTTAGTACATCTTGGATTTTACACAACTTTATCATCAAATCAATAAAAAAAATACGTGTCGGAAAACAATCTGTTTCAAATTGTATTTCAGAAGCAAACAACGTCGGTTGAAATTTAGTTTTTCGCATTGGAGAAAAAGTTTTGTCAGATGTTCACGAATTCAAAAAACTGCCTTGAATAGTATATTTACACTTCATAAATTGCATAAATGTATCAATAAAGGGTCAATACCTAGCTCCAAAACATGAAGTATCCTCTCAGAAAAGGCAGCAAGCAAAGTCTATAATTAAATATCACAAACCATACAAATTAATATATTACAAGATAGGTAGTTAAATATTTTCAAAACTGTGACATGTAATCAAGATAATTGAGTGAAAATTGGACTTTCATCTTATTTACGACTAAACCATGATGTGCTCCATCATAACTATGAACTCCTGATGTGAGACTGTAAAAATCAAGCACAGGAATATTATGAGCATCGCAATACACTTTCATTGCCCTAGAAAATCGTTTACAAAAAATATTACCGTACGCCGCATGATATGCCTTTGGTTTTAATATGCCATTGGAGTCAGGATACACAAAAATAATATGTGGCCATCGCCTCACCTTTTCAAAATTTCCGAACTGAGTATTCATTTTGTCAGAATTCTTGTAATAGTCCTCCAAATAATCGATTGCTGCACTCAAAAAATTGTTAATCGTAACTTTAGATTTACAGCCGTCGTGTCCACCCTGACCGAGTAGAATAACTGAACCAACTTTTCCTGTCAACGTTTTCACCAAACTTAAAAAGTCATTTGCAGAAGCATGATTTGCATATTAATTTATACTAATAGGTGGCGTACGAGGTCCACAAAACGGAGTTTTGTTAATGAACATGTCTAGTATATTTCCGCCACCTGTTCTGCATTCTGTCCAGTAGAATTGATCAACACCTACACATAATTCTTTGAACTTATCATCGTAGCGTTTCAGTAAAAAACCATAGGTTGGATAGGACCTTAGGGTCAAAATAAAACCTCTTGACATTTTTCTCACAAAAGAATCGCCAACAAAATGTATTTGAGAGAATCGATTGACAACTTCACAAGCTTGTTCTGCTGTGTAGTTTCATTACCGACATGAAGAATCAAATGGAAACCAATCACTTATTTCAGCATGATATATCTTCCTGGTTTCGACGCAACTAAAATGTGATTGTTTTGCGTTCTATAAAATTTAAATTGGACAGAAGGAATTACTAACCATTAAATACCTGGAGCAGTCACAAATGTTCCCACATTGACCATCATATGTGTCGCTGCAACAGGGTTTTCACTTTTTGCATCGCACCAACTTCCAGCTGGAGCTGCCCACGCATTTCCTTCCGGCTTTGACTGAACACTAGAAATTGAATATTTTAAAACATTATTTTAAAAACTTCCCAAACTGTCGTTGATTTAGTAACCTTGAAAATGATTTTCATGGTTATTCAATGAGAATTCAACTCGAAAACACTCAAAGTTGTTTACAAAATTCGTAAACATTTCTGATAAAAATGAATTTATATTTGTACCCGCGCTTGTGTGGTTATATTGCGTATCTTCATTACCAAAATGCGGCGACGCATCTACTCATCAACACCCCATATTAATAAAGATGTTAGCAACAGTTACATAAAAATCGAAATAATAGAATTACAAACTTCCAGCATAACAGCTTGGTGGAAAGTATTCCATCAAGTTAGAAATCGTTGAAACCAGCTTATCATAGCAATTTGGTTGGCAAATGTGAATAAAACTGAGATCTAGGATTAAGAGTTATTTTTTGATGAGATATTTTATTATGTTATTTCGAGTCTGCGGATTGCCATGTTTTGTTGGAGGAAATACTGAAATGTTATCAACAATACGATAAATTATATTCGAGGGAAAGACTATTTTTCAATGTGAAGCTTAATCAATATTTCAATTGATCTATTGCAAGCCTGGACAAAACTACAAAGGCAAAAAATCTAAGAATTTTCATGAAAGTATTTACTTATTAAATCCACACTTGTTATCATCTCTCCATAATCGTGTATGTATTCCTCGTTTAATGCGAAATTCAGCTAAATAGCAATCCAATCCTTTTTCTTCTCTCAATAATTCCTCATATTCTTTCTCATTTTTATCAAAACTATAGATCATTTTCACCCATTGACAATTTCTCAAGTTATACAAGACGTTTTCACAGAACAGGTGACTGTATTTCAATTTCACTGTTTGATTCTCTGTGTGATCTTCATGCAACACAAGTTTCGAAATATCAGAGTGACTATAAGATAGATAAATGATGTATGAGGATAGACAATTAACTACAATCCCAAAAATAAACCGACAGCTGGAAACCAATCGTTGTGACATTGTATATTTTTTGAAATGGTGAAAAGTGAAATTTAAAATAAATGTTGTGGAAGGGACAATATAGTTAATCATAAGAAAATTGTTATATTTATGCGTAGCTACAGCGTTTTAGTTCTTATGGACCAAAATGAAGTCGGGTTTCATCTTTCCGGTATCAAATTAAATATTTGTAACTGCAGATATTTATTATTCGAAATCTGCTCTGTGATGAAATTATGTCAGCCCAAGAACGTATTGCATCGCTTAAACCTTTTTTACGCTACTAGTGCTTGAACATATGTTCAATTTGACAAATACAATGTCCACAATTCTACAAAAATGGCAAAATCGAGCGCTAATAACATGAAATGTGTTTAAATTAGGTTATTTCTTTTGCTATTTTCATCAAGACATTACTTGTTCGGCCTTGGATTGACCCTAGGGTTTGGAAACTGGCTTTTTTTTTTATTCACGTTTGTCGATGATCTTCAAATTCGTATGTCTCCTCAGAGAAGATTACTGTTCATAAGTAATTTCATTATTTTCAACGGGTGTTCCAACTCGATGAGTTCATCTTATGCATTCACTATATGTAGGTTTTAGATGTAGATTCCAATAAATTTCTAGTTCATTTAGCATTGTGTATAAATTAACGGATAGTTAATTTTAACCAATACTCCATAATTAAAATGATAAATGGAATGGATAATAGCAAAACACGTCTTATTTTTGATTATGTACATTTGTTCCGAATGACACTGGTAAATATATGACACGTAAGCATGTGTGGATTAGAATTTGACGAATGGATTTGATTGAAATATTGACCTCGCAATTTTTTTTTTGCTGTGGAATCCCTACGGTTGTAATGGAAGGCTGTCTTGATTGCCTATTTTAAATTTTTATCTTAAACTGTACGTACGTTGAGGACACCAAACCTGACTGAACCAAACATTTGCAAACAAATTTACTTACTAACAATATGTATGGACTAGTATAAATGACTACCTCGTTTAAATCAGCAACAACTGTTCATTGAAATATGTGAATGTAGTTTAACAATAGATCACTAAGCATCCGGTAACTTTTCAGTTAAACGAGTTCCGAAATGTAGTTTTTCTATCACTATTGTTTTTTTGTTTAATTTGTATCATCACATTTTCTCACTTTTCGAATTGTATTCGGACCGGAGTCCGGAATCAGCATGAATCTATAAATCCATTTTCTGATTAAGATGCTGAAAACTTAAGATCTGATTTCATTGTAAGTTTGGGTTATCCATATTTGTTGGGCATCCTCAAGAACGTCGGCAAATTGTAAAACTCAATAAAATGTACATTTCATTTCTGCCTATTGCAAAACTGTTAGAAAAAAAAAATGGAATTAAAAACAAGAATGCAATCTATTGCGTTGGTATGACGGTTAAGTCATTAAATACTTTATTTGTTCCTCATACATATAATTAAAATCCTACAATAGCAACAGAATTTTATTATCTGTAAGTGTGAATCAGAACGTCCTGTAAAAATAATAAAAACCATGATCAGCAACGAAAAATTCATTCTTGATGTTTTGTTTTACTTTACACCGACCGGGAATTGAAATTCAATCATCTCCATGTCTTTTAGCTGGTCATGTTAAAATTATAGATGGAGTGATCTTGACTGACCTTCAGATTTAACAGCAGGGTCGACTTAAGCAAAGGATAAAAAGAAGTATTTCTGATATTTTTACTAACATAAAGGATTACAATAGTCAAAAAACATAACCTTTTGTACACTTCCCTTTTACACCGTTTAGTGTCGAACTTGAATTTGAGCTTTGCTGTTTCATCAGAAATTTCAACGAATAAGTTTTGTCTCTTAATATGATGTTTATTAGGCATATCAAAATGCTACGCTCACATTCGTGAATTTTATATATTGCAATATATTTCATATATTGTTTTATTTGAGCCATTGTCATTTTTATGTTTTGAAAAAACAAAAATAGTCTGCATTATATTTACAAACACCCTGCAAAGAAAGTGAGTGTTCTCTGTATCGTTCTCTCACACTACTTTATAATTATTATCTGCGACCCAATTCTGGTGGCCATAGCTGTTAAACAAAGCTCAAAGGTTGTCTTTAGGAATTTTGTCATAATGAAAACAATTCATAGATTGACTAATTTAAGTATAACTAACCGCCAATAAAGTGTCTGTTTAGTTGTTTGAAACGTCGCTAAACACGTTTTGGGGTAGCATTTAACGACCGCATGCATTGAAATCATGAATGCGTCTTCATCTTGCCTTGACTCACATCGACATTTGCGCAAAGAGTTGGAGATGTTATCTAGCTTTTTTAACGCCTATATGAATCATAGTGTGAAAGAAAGTAGACATTGGATGCATAGCAATTTCAAGCTATAGTAAATAAAAGATGATAATCTTATATTATGATAGCTTCAACAACGAAACGGTCGCATCGTGATTGATATTCGTCTGTGAACAAAAAAATAATAATTTTACTCCTCGCTTTCTTTGTAAATGTACCTGGTACATTGACTGAAAAATGAACTGAAATGGTTATACTGAAAATTCACCAGATACGAAAATTTTTAGCTGGTATTGTTAGGTTTAACTATACAATATAAACCAAACTAATGTTTTATTCTCGAATCGTAACACCTTAAAACATACAAATCATTCCCCGAGACGGCTATGAAAACGACAAAACTAACAATCAAGTATATATGGTTGGATATATGACATACTTTCGCGTTTATTAAAACAACATAATATAATAAACACATATATATATTATGTACAATTGCTTGTAAATAAGTGTGATTAGATTACGGGTGATTCGAAAATAGGCCACGGTGCGTATTCGGTGACAGGAAAATGAGTCACACAGGCAGGAAAACAGCAACATGAGTATGAACACGTTACTACAGATACAATGATATAAAAACGAATCTTATTCAACATATTACAAGTTTTACCAAATTTTTTAGGAGCGTTGATAAGATTTTTTGAGTCTGGTATTGTCTATATATATATATTTATACATCTGTATGTATGTGTACGTGTGTACACAGAAAAGATTTTTCTAAATTTCCTGAAATAATCTGAGACACATAAATGAGATGCTATACAATGTATAGTATACATACTTTACACCGACGAAATAGTTTAACAGCTGATTAATGTGTTAACTATGCTGTTATGTTTTATTCACCAGATACGCAAAGCAAGTTGGTAAACGTGTTTCTCTATTTTCTTAGGAAGATAGTGATGAATGTATTAAAAATGTTTATGATATCACTGACAACAATATTAAAATCGTTTTTCAGTAAATCCAATTGAAACACAATTCTCTACAAAATATGTACAAATGAGTGTACAGACATTATAATAAGGTGGTTCACTTCAGTACACAATACCAAATTGGCACAGCTTTTGAAGTACTCAGTACATTGCAAAAACGTGTTGATAAAGAGTCAATACCTAGACCCAAAACATGGTGTATCCTCTCAAAAAAGGCAGCTAAAAAGACTATAATCAAATATTATGATCATACAAATTAAGATATTACAAGATAAGTAGTTCAATTGTTCAACTGTGATATGTAATCAAGGTAATTGAGTAAAAGTTGTACTTTCATAATATTTGCTCCTAGACCGTGATGTGCTCCATCATAACTATGAACTCCTGATGTAAGACTGTAAAAATCGAGTACAGGAATATTATGAGCATCGCAATACACTTTCATTTCCTTGGAAAATTGTTTACAAACAATATTCCCGTTTGCCGCATGATATGCTTTTGGTTTCAATATTCCATTGGAGTCAGGGTACATAAAAATGATATGTGGCCATCGCCTCACCTTTATAAAATTTCCGAACTGAGTATTAATTTTGTCAGAATTCTTGTAATAGTCTTCCAAATAATCGATTGCTGCACTCAAAAACTTGTTAATCGTCACTTTAGATTTACAGCCGTCGTGTCCACCCTGACCAAGTAGAATAACTGAACCCACTTTTCCTGCTAACTTTTTCACCAAGCTTAAAAAGTCATTTGCAGAAGCGTGATTTATATATTCATTTATACTAATAAGTGGCGTACGAGGTCCACAAAACGGAGTTTTGTCAACGAGCATGTCTAGTATATTTCCGCCACCTGTTCTGCATTCTGTCCAGTAGAATTGATCAACACCTACACATAATTCCTTGAACTTATCATCGTAGCGTTCCAGTAAAAATCCATACGTTGGATCGGACCTTAGGGTCAAAATAAAACCTCGTGACATTTTTCTCACAAAAGAATCACCAACAAAATATATTTGAGAGAATCGATTAACAACTTCACAAGCTTGGGCTGCTGTGTAGTTCCTTCGTCGACATGAAGAATCAAATGGAATCCAATCACTTATTTCAGCGTGATATATCTTCCTGGTATCGACGCAACTAAAATGTAATTGTTTTGCGTTCTATAAAATTTAAATTGGACAAGAGGAATTACTAACCATTACCTACCTGGAGCAATCACAAATGTTCCCACATTGACCATCATATATGTCGCTGCAACAGGGTTTTTCACTTTTTACATCGCACCAACTTCCAGCTGGAGCTGCCCACGCATTTCCTTCCGGCTTTGACTGAACACTAGAAATTGAATATTTTAAAACATTATTTTGAAAACTTTTTAAACTGGCGTTTATTTAGTAACCTTGAAAATGATTTTCATGATTTATAAATGAGGATTCAACTTGAAAACACTCAAGGTTATTTACAAAATTTGTAAACATATCTAATAAAAATTAATTTATATTGGTACCCGCGCTTGTGTGGTTATATTGCGTATCTTCATTACCAAAATGCGGCGACGCATCTACTTATCAACACCCCATTGTCAATAAAGATGTTAGCAACAGTTGACATAAACATCGAAATAGTAGAATTACAAACTTCCAGCAAAGCAACTTGGTGGAAAGTATTCCATCGAGTGGGAAATCGTTGAAACCAGCTTTTCAAAGCAATTTGGGAGGCAATTGTGAATAAAACTGAGATCTAGGATTGAGAGTCATTTTTTGAATAAAAATTTTCTTATGTTATTCCGACTCTGTGGATTGCCATGTTTTGTTGAGGGAAATACTGAAATGTTATCAACACTACGATAAATTATATTCGAGATAAAGACTATTCTGCAATGTGAAGTTTAATCAATATCTCAATTGATCTACTGCAAGCCTGGACAAAACTACAAAGGCAAAAAATCTAAGAATTTTCATGAAAGTATTTACTTATTAAATCCACACTTGTTATCATCTCTCCATAATCGTGTATGTATTCCTCGTTTAATGCGAAATTCAGCTAAATAGGAATCCATTTTTTTTTCTTCATTCAGTAATTTCTCATATTCTTGCTCACTTACATTATAACTATAGATCTTTTTCACCCACTGACCATTGCTCAAATTGAACAAGATGTTTTCACAAAACAGATGATTGTATGTCAAGTTCACTGTTTGGTTCTCCGTGTAACCTTCATGCAACACAAGTTTCGAAATAGCAGGTGGACTATAAGATAGATAAATGAAGTATGAGGATAGACAAACAACTACAATCCCAAAAATAAAGCGATAGCTGGAAACCAATCGTTGTGACATTGTATACTTTCTAAAATGGTAAAAACCGAATTTTAAATAGGTGTAGTGGTAGGACAATATAATTAATCAGAAAAAAAATTATAGTATATGTGTAACGGTTAAAAGTACTGTTTGCGGTATTTCCTTCAGGTATTTGAAAATTAGAATCTTATTCAACCTTTCACTAATATTATTCTAGTTGCCGGTATACAAATCAGCTACTAAATCTTGCTATCTCTAATACATTGGTTGCGTCTATTACTCGGCGTGATACGAATACGACAAATATCTACAATAAAAAGAAAATAGCATTCGTCGCGGATGCTTGATCATTAAGAAATTTTTAAGATAGAGATTTGATGATTACCTATGTAGATCTACAGCTTTTCGATCTTATCGAAAAGAAGGTCGATATTAAATAAATTAAATATAGATATTTGTAACTGCAGATATGTATAAATCGAAATCTGCTCTGTGATAAAAATTATATCTGCCCAAAAACGTGTTACGTCTCAACGTTATTAGTACTCAATGTATAGCTCACTTTTTGCATCGCACCAGCTTCCAGCTGAAATTGCTCACGCACTTCCTTCCGACTTTCTCTGAACCCTAGAACGTGATTTGATATTTTATGCTTCGATGCCTAGAAAACTGAATTAAAACTTGATCGCCTGAGCAATGTAGTTTCAGATAGCATTGGCAGGATTTTTTGAAGTTTACACTCATTATATAATACCGACAAAGTTTACTAAAAGTTATTAGGCTAGCTGACTTCGCAAGAAATATTTTAAAACATATTTTTGAAAACTTCCCAAACTGACGTTCATTTAGTAACATTGAAAATTCTCTTCATGGTTAATAAATGAGGATTAAATTCGAAAAACACTGAAAGTTATTCCTAAAAAAATCCTAAACATTTCTACTAGAACAGAATTTATATTGCTACCCGCGCTTGTATGGTTACCCTCGTTATCGAAAGACCGCGTCGCATATATTCATCTAGACCGCATTGTCAATAAAGATGTTAGATACTGTTGACACAAACAAACCGTTTGGGCAAGCTTATTATTGAAATTTGGTCAGCAAAACAAATAAAACAGAGATACAGGATTAGGAGTAATTTTTTGAAAATATATCCATTTGAGTTTTTTTGACTCTGCGGATTGCCATGTTTTATTGAATTTAATATTGGGATGTTATCAGCAATACGATAAATTATAATCGGGGAAAGGACTATTTTGCAATATCAAGCCTAATCAATATCTCAAATGATGTGCTGCAAGTCAGGACGAAATTCACAACGGCCTAAAAATCTAAGAATTGTCATAAAAGTATTTACTTATTTAATCCAAACTGGTTATCATCTCTTCATATTCGTGTACGTATTCCTCGTTTAATCCGAAATTCAGCTAAATAGGAATCTCATCCCTTTTCTTCTTGCAATAATTTCTTATATTCTTCCTCATTTTTATCAAAACTATAGATCTTTTTCACTCATTGACAATTTCTCAAGTTATACAAGATGTTTTCACAGAACAGGTGATGGAATTTCAATTTCACTGTTTGATTCTCTGTGTGATCTTCATGCAACTCAAGTTTCGAAATATCAGAGTGACTATAAGATAGATAAATGATGTATGAGTAGGGTTTTGTTTTTTATCAATTCTAAAAAAAACATCGTGTTTTAAAAACAAGGGCTTGTTTTAAATCCTTTTTTTTCTGTATTTTTCATTGAAATACTCCTTGTATCGCCGCGAAACTACGCCAAAACGTTGCATTATGGCAGCTACACACGCAGCCGGAGTTAAAAATGTACGTAAAAATTCTTATTTTGACTTCTACTTCTATTAAGTACATTTATGACCACTTTTGTATCTCTTCATAAGATTTTAACCGGAATGTTTATCCGAGTTATCAGAGAGACGTTTTGAGTAAGAAAAATCATGAATCTTAGCTCACGAGCCTATACTACAAGAGCAATTAGATCAAGGGCAGCCTTCGGCAACAAGAGGGGGTTGCGATAATGAAGAATATGGTTACTTCGGCGGCAATCTACTGATATAAACGATGAGACACCCTAGCATAGCCTATGCTAATTGTAAGAGTCATCTGATGCAAAGACGCCACAACTAATCTGTTATGAAGCCATAATATGGATTTCGAGTTCATGTATTGGCATTTTTTGCATAAAATAAAAAATAAATGTAATATTATTATGGTGAAGACTGTTCGGTTAGTTTATGCTTAGCATTCTTTGTTTTCAAGGTTGGAGTGATAGAGATTTTGAAGGTTATACAAATTCATTTATTCGATCGCATTTCAATTTTTGCGAGGTGGTTTCGTAGTAGCAGGGCGTTCACGTAATGGCTTATCGGTTGCGTCTTATTTGAGAAGCTTGAGAAGGTGTGTATGAGTCGCTATCGATATTTGTGGCATTTTGACGGATTTATTGCAAATACGGAGCGCTTGGCAAGTTTTTACATCCATTTTTCTTCAACCTATTTAATACAAAAAAATCAAATAGTACAGCCATTTTGAACAAAACAGGCGAAAAAACAGTTGATTTAAAACAATTTATTATTCGAAATCTTTGATGAAATTATGTCAGCCCAAGATCGCTTAAACCTTTTTTACGCTACTAGTGCTCGAACGTATGTTCAATTTGACAAATACAATGTCCACAATTCTACAAAAATGACGAATTTGAGCGCTAATAACATGAAATGTGTCTAAATAAAGGTATTTTTTTTGCTATTTTTATCAAGACATTACTTGCTCGGCCTTGGATTTGGACCTAGGGTTTGAAACCTGGCTTTTTTTTATTCACGTTTGTCGATGATCCTTAAATCCGTATATCTCCTCGGAGAAGGTTACTGTTCATAATGAATTTTATCTTTAACAACGGGTGTTCCAACTCGATGAGTTCACCTTGTGCATTAATCATGTAGTTTTTAGATGTGGATTCCAATAAATTTCTAATTCATTTAGCATTGTGTATAAATTAACGGATAGGTAATTTTAACCAATACTCTATAATTAAAATGATAATTGGAATGGAAAATAGCAAAACACGTCTTATTTTTGATTATGTACATTTGTTCCGAATGCCACTGGTAAATATATGACACGTAAGCATGTGTGGATTAGAATTTGACGAATGAATTTGATTGGAATATTGACCTCGCAATTTTTTTTTTGCTGTGGAATCCCTACGGTTGTAATGGAAGGCTGTCTTGATTGCCTATTTTAAATTTTTATCTTAAACTGTACGTACGTTGAGGACACCAAACCTGACTGAACCAAACATTTGCAAACAAATTTACTTACTAACAATATGTATGGACTAGTATAATGACTACCTCGTTTAAATCAGCAACGACTGTTCATTGAAATATGTGAATGTAGTTTAACAATAGATCACTAAGCATCCGGTAACTTTTCAGTTAAACGGGTTTCGAAATGTAGTTTTTCTATCACTATTGTTTTTTTGTTTAATTTGTATCATCACATTTTCTCACTTTTCGAATTATATTCGGACCGGAGTCCGGAATCAGCATGAATCTATAAATCCATTTTCTGATTAAGTTGCTGAAAACTTATGATCTGATTTCATTGTAAGTTTGGGTTATTCATATTTGTTGGGCATCCTCAAGAACGCCGGCAAATTGTAAAACTCAATAAAATGTACATTCCATTTCTGCCTATTGCAAAACTGTTAGAAAAAAAAAATGGAATTAAAAACGAGAATGCAATCTATTGCGTTGGTATGACGGTTAAGTCATTAAATACTTTATTTGTTCCTCATACATATAATTAAAATCCTACAATAGCAACAGAATTTTATTATCTGTAAGTGTGAATCAGAACGTCCTGTAAAAACAATAAAAACCATGATCAGCAACGACAAATTCATTCTTGATGTTTTGTTTTACTTTACACCGACCGGGAATTGAAATTCCATCATCTCCATGTCTTTTAGTTGGTCATGTTAAAATTAGAGATGGAGTGATCTTCACTGACCTTCAGATTTAACAGCAGGGTCGACTTAAGCAAAGGATAAAAAGAAGTATTTCTGATATTTTTAATAACATAAAGGATTACAATAGTCAAAAAACATAACCTTTTGTACACTTCCCTTTTACACCGTTTAGTGTCGAACTTGAATTTGAGCTTTGCTGTTTCATCAGAAATTTCAACGAATAAGTTTTGTCGCTTAATATGATGTTTATTAGGCATATCAAAATGCTACGCTCACATTCGTGAATTTTATATATCGCAATATATTTTATATATATATTGTTTTATTTGAGCCATTGTCATTTTTATGTTTTGAAAAAAAAAAATAGTCTGCATTATATTTACAAACACCCTGCAAAGAAAGTGAGTGTTCTCTGTACCTTTCTCTCACACTACTTTATAATTATTATCTGCGACCCAATTCTGGTGGCTATAGCTGTTAAACAAAGCTCAAAGGTTGTCTTTAGGAATTTTGTCATAATGAAAACAATTCATAGATTGACTAATCCAAGTATAACTAACCGCCAATAAAGTGTCTGTTTAGTTGTTTGAAACGTCGCTAAACAGGTTTTGGGGTAGCATTTAACGACCGCATGCAATTGAAATCATGAATGCGTCATCTTGCCTTGACTCACATCGACATTTGCGCAAAGAGTTGGAGATGTTATCCAGCTTTTTTAACGCGTATGTGAATCATAGTGTGAAAAAAAGTAGACATTGGATGCATAGCAATTTCAAGCTATAGTAAATAAAAGATGATAATCTTATATTATGATAGCTTCAACAACGAAACGGTCGCATCGTGATTGATATTCGTCTGTGAACAAAAAAATGATAATAATACTCCTCGCTTTCTTTGTAAATGTACATGGTACATTGACTGAAAAATGAACTGATCTGGTTATACTGAAAATTCACCAGATAAGAGCTACGAAAATTTTTAGCTGGTATTGTTAGGTTTAACTATACAATATAAACCAAACTAATGTTTTATTCTCGAATCGTAACACCTTAAAACATACAAATCATTCCCCGAGACGGCTATGAAAACGACAAAACTAACAATCAAGTATATATGGTTGGATATATGACATACTTTCGCGTTTATTAAAACAACATAATATAATAAACACATATATATATAATATGTACAATTGCTTGTAAATAAGCGTGATTAGATAACGGGTGATTCGAAAATAGGCCACGGTGCGTATCCGGTGACAGGAAAATGAGTCACACAGGCAGGAAAACAGCAACATGAGTATGAACACGTTACTACAGATACAATGATATAAAAACGAATCTTATTCAACATATTACAAGTTTTACCAAATTTTTTAGGAGCGTTGATAAGATTTTTTGAGTCTGTTATTGTCTATATATATATATTTATACATCTGTATGTATGTGTACGTGTGTACACAGAAAAGATTTTTCTAAATTTCCTGAAATAATCTGAGACACATAAATGAGATGCTATACATACTTTACACCGACGAAATAGTTTAACAGCTGATTAATGTGTTAACTATGCTGTTATGTTTTATTCACCAGATACGCAAAGCAAGTTGGTAAACGTGTTTCTCTATTTTCTTAGGAAGATAGTGATGAATGTATTAAAAATGTTTATGATATCACTGAAAATATTAAAATCGTTTTTCAGTAAATCCAATTGAAACACAATTCTCTACAAAATATGTACAAATGAGTGTACAGACATTATGATAAGGTGGTTCACTTCAGTACACAATACCAAATTGACACAGCTTTTGAACCACTGGGTACATTGCATAAACGTATTGATAAAGAGTCAATACCTAGATCCAAAACATAGAGTATCCCCTCTCCAAAAAGGCAGCTAAAAAGACTATAATCAAATATTATGAGTACAAATTAAGATATTACAAGATAAGTAGTTCAATTGTTCAACTGTGATATGTAATCAAGGTAATTGAGTAAAAGTTGTACTTTCATAATATTTGCTCCTAGACCGTGATGTGCTCCATCATAACTATGAACTCCTGATGTAAGACTGTAAAAATCGAGTACAGGAATATTATGAGCATCGCAATACACTTTCATTTCTCTGGAAAATTGTTTACAAACAATATTACCGTTTGCCGCATGATATGCTTTTGGTTTTAATATTCCGTTAGAGTCAGGATACATAAAAATGATATGTGGCCATCGCCTCACCTTTATAAAATTTCCGAACTGAGTATTAATTTTGTCAGAATTCTTGTAATAGTCTTCCAAATAATCGATTGCTGCACTCAAAAACTTGTTAATCGTCACTTTAGATTTACAGCCGTCGTGTCCACCCTGACCAAGTAGAATAACTGAACCCACTTTTCCTGCTAACTTTTTCACCAAACTTAAAAAGTCATTTGCAGAAGCGTGATTTATATATTCATTTATACTAATAAGTGGCGTACGAGGTCCACAAAACGGAGTTTTGTCAACGAGCATGTCTAGTATATTTCCGCCACCTGTTCTGCATTCTGTCCAGTAGAATTGATCAACACCTACACATAATTCCTTGAACTTATCATCGTAGCGTTCCAGTAAAAATCCATACGTTGGATCGGACCTTAGGGTCAAAATAAAACCTCGTGACATTTTTCTCACAAAAGAATCACCAACAAAATATATTTGAGAGAATCGATTGACAACTTCACAAGCTTGGGCTGCTGTGTAGTTCCTTCGTCGACATGAAGAATCAAATGGAATCCAATCACTTATTTCAGCGTGATATATCTTCCTGGTATCGACGCAACTAAAATGTAATTGTTTTGCGTTCTATAAAATTTAAATTGGACAAGAGGAATTACTAACCATTACCTACCTGGAGCAGTCACAAATGTTCCCACATTGACCATCATATATGTCGCTGCAACAGGGTTTTTTACTTTTTGCATCGCACCAACTTCCAGCTGGAGCTGCCCACGCATTTCCTTCCGGCTTTGACTGAACACTAGAAATTGAATATTATAACATTATTTTGAAAACTTCCTAAACTGGCGTTTTTTTGGTAACCTTAAAAATGATTTTCACGGTTTTTAAATGGGATTCAACTCAAAAACACTCAAAGTTATTTACAAAATTCGTAAACATTTCTGATAAAAATGAATTTATATTGGTGCCCGCGCTTGTGTGGTTATATTGCTTATCTTCCCGACCAAAATGCGGCGTCGCATTTACTAATCAACATCCCATTGTCAATAAAGATGTTAGCAACAATTGACATAAACATCGAAATAATAGAATTACAAACTTCCAGCAAAGCAACTTGGTGGAAAGTATTCCATCAAGTGGGAAATCGTTGAAACCAGCTTTTCAAAGCAATTTGGTTGGCAATTGTGAATAAAACTGAGATCTAGGATTGAGAGTCATTTTTTGAATAAAAATTTTCTTATGTTATTCCGACTCTGTGGATTGCCATGTTTTGTTGAGGGAAATACTGAAATGTTATCAACAATACGATAAATTATATTCGAGATAAAGACTATTCTGCAATGTGAAGTTTAATCAATATCTCAATTGATCTACTGCAAGCCTGGACAAAACTACAAAGGCAAAAAATCTAAGAATTTTCATGAAAGTATTTACTTATTAAATCCACACTTGTTATCATCTCTCCATAATCGTGTATGTATTCCTCGTTTAATGCGAAATTCAGCTAAATAGGAATCCAATTTTTTTTCTTCATTTAGTAATTTCTCATATTCTTGCTCACTTACATTATAACTATAGATCTTTTTCACCCACTGACCATTGCTCAAATTATACAAGATGTTTTCACAAAACAGATGATTGTATGTCAAGTTTACTGTTTGGTTCTCCGTGTAATCTTCATGCAACACAAGTTTCGAAATAGCAGGTGGACTATAAGATAGATAAATGAAGAATGAGGATAGACAAACAACTACAATCCCAAAAATAAAGCGATAGCTGGAAACCAATCGTTGTGACATTGTATACTTTCTAAAATGGTAAAAACCGAATTTTAAATAGGTGTAGTGGTAGGACAATATAATTAATCAGAAAAAAAATGATAGTATATGAGTAACGGTTAAAAGTACTGTTTGCGGTATTTCCTTGGCTAGGTAGTTGAAAATTAGAATCCCATTTAACCTTTCACTAATATTATTCTAGTTGCCGGTATACAAATCAGCTACTAAATATTGCTATCTCTAATACATTGGTTGCGTCTATTACTCGGCGTGATACGAATACGACAAATATCTACAATAAAAAGAAAATAGCATTCGTCGCGGATGCTTGATCATTAAGAAATTTTTAAGATAGAGATTTGATGATTACCTATGTAGATCTACAGCTTTTCGATCTTATCGACAAGAAGGTCGATATTAAATATAGATATTTGTAACTGCAGATATGTATAAATCGAAATCTGCTCTGTGATAAAAATTATATCTGCCCAAAAACGTGTTACGTCTCTTAAACGTTATTAGTACTCAATGTATAGCTCACTTTTTGCATCGCACCAGCTTTCAGCTGAAATTGCTCACGCACTTCCTTCCGACTTTCTCTGAACCCTAGAACGTGATTTGATATTTTATGCTTCGATGCCTAGAAAACTGAATTAAAACTTGATCGCCTGAGCAATGTAGTTTCAGATAGCATTGGCAGGATTTTTTGAAGTTTACACTCATTATATAATACCGACAAAGTTTACTAAAAGTTATTAGGCTAGCTGACTTCGCAAGAAATATTTTAAAACATATTTTTGAAAACTTCCCAAACTGACGTTCATTTAGTAACATTGAAAATTCTCTTCATGGTTAATAAATGAGGATTAAATTCGAAAAACACTGAAAGTTATTCCTAAAAAAATCCTAAACATTTCTACTAGAACAGAATTTATATTGCTACCCGCGCTTGTATGGTTACCCTCGTTATCGAAAGACCGCGTCGCATATATTCATCTAGACCGCATTGTCAATAAAGATGTTAGATACTGTTGACACAAACAAACCGTTTGGGCAAGCTTATTATTGAAATTTGGTCAGCAAAACAAATAAAACAGAGATACAGGATTAGGAGTAATTTTTTGAAAATATATCCATTTGAGTTTTTTTGACTCTGCGGATTGCCATGTTTTATTGAATTTAATATTGGGATGTTATCAGCAATACGATAAATTATAATCGGGGAAAGGACTATTTTGCAATATCAAGCCTAATCAATATCTCAAATGATGTACTGCAAGTCAGGACGAAATTCACAACGGCCTAAAAATCTAAGAATTGTCATAAAAGTATTTACTTATTTAATCCAAACTGGTTATCATCTCTTCATATTCGTGTACGTATTCCTCGTTTAATCCGAAATTCAGCTAAATAGGAATCTCATCCCTTTTCTTCTTGCAATAATTTCTTATATTCTTCCTCATTTTTATCAAAACTTTAGATATTTTTCACTCATTGACAATTTCTCAAGTTATACAAGATGTTTTCACAGAACAGGTGATGGAATTTCAATTTCACTGTTTGATTCTCTGTGTGATCTTCATGCAACTCAAGTTTCGAAATATCAGAGTGACTATAAGATAGATAAATGATGTATGAGTAGGGTTTTGTTTTTTATCAATTCTAAAAAAAACATCGTGTTTTAAAAACAAGGGCTTGTTTTAAATCCTTTTTTTTCTGTATTTTTTATTGAAATACTCCTTGTATCGCCGCGAAACTACGCCAAAACGTTGCATTATGGCAGCTACACACGCAGCCGGAGTTAAAAATGTACGTAAAAATTCTTATTTTGACTTCTACTTCTATTAAGTACATTTATGACCACTTTTGTATCTCTTCATAAGATTTTAACCGGGATGTTTATCCGAGTTATCAGAGAGACGTTTTGAGTAAGAAAAATCATGAATCTTAGCTCACGAGCCTATACTACAAGAGCAATTAGATCAAGGGCAGCCTTCGGCAACAAGAGGGGGTTGCGATAATGAAGAATATGGTTACTTCGGCGGCAATCTACTGATATAAACGATGAGACACCCTAGCATAGCCTATGCTAATTGTAAGAGTCATCTGATGCAAAGACGCCACAACTAATCTGTTATGAAGCCATAATATGGATTTCGAGTTCATGTATTGGCATTTTTTGCATAAAATAAAAAATAAATGTAATATTATTATGGTGAAGACTGTTCGGTTAGTTTATGCTTAGCATTCTTTGTTTTCAAGGTTGGAGTGATAGAGATTTTGAAGGTTATACAAAATTCATTTATTCGATCGCATTTCAATTTTTGCGAGGTGGTTTCGTAGTAGCAGGGCGTTCACGTAATGGCTTATCGGTTGCGTCTTATTTGAGAAGCTTGAGAAGGTGTGTATGAGTCGCTATCGATATTTGTGGCATTTTGACGGATTTATTGCAAATACGGAGCGCTTGGCAAGTTTTTACATCCATTTTTCTTCAACCTATTTAATACAAAAAAATCAAATAGTACAGCCATTTTGAACAAAACAGGCGAAAAAACAGTTGATTTAAAACAATTTATTATTCGAAATCTTTGATGAAATTATGTCAGCCCAAGATCGCTTAAACCTTTTTTACGCTACTAGTGCTCGAACGTATGTTCAATTTGACAAATACAATGTCCACAATTCTACAAAAATGACGAATTTGAGCGCTAATAACATGAAATGTGTCTAAATAAAGGTATTTTTTTTGCTATTTTTATCAAGACATTACTTGCTCGGCCTTGGATTTGGACCTAGGGTTTGAAACCTGGCTTTTTTTTATTCACGTTTGTCGATGATCCTTAAATCCGTATATCTCCTCGGAGAAGGTTACTGTTCATAATGAATTTCATCTTTAACAACGGGTGTTCCAACTCGATGAGTTCACCTTGTGCATTTATCATGTAGTTTTTAGATGTGGATTCCAATAAATTTCTAATTCATTTAGCATTGTGTATAAATTAACGGATAGGTAATTTTAACCAATACTCTATAATTAAAATGATAATTGGAATGGAAAATAGCAAAACACGTCTTATTTTTGATTATGTACATTTGTTCCGAATGCCACTGGTAAATATATGACACGTAAGCATGTGTGGATTAGAATTTGACGAATGAATTTGATTGGAATATTGACCTCGCAATTTTTTTTTTGCTGTGGAATCCCTACGGTTGTAATGGAAGGCTGTCTTGATTGCCTATTTTAAATTGCCTTAAACCTTACGTAAATTGCCTTAAACTGTACGTACGTTGAGGACACCAAACCTGACTGAACCAAACATTTGCAAACAAATTTACTTACTAACAATATGTATGGACTAGTATAATTGACTACCTCGTTTAAATCAGCAACGACTGTTCATTGAAATATGTGAATGTAGTTTAACAATAGATCACTAAGCATCCGGTAACTTTTCAGTTAAACGGGTTCCGAAATGTAGTTTTTCTATCACTATTGTTTTTTTGTTTAATTTGTATCATCACATTTTCTCACTTTTCGAATTATATTCGGACCGGAGTCCGGAATCAGCATGAATCTATAAATCCATTTTCTGATTAAGTTGCTGAAAACTTATGATCTGATTTCATTGTAAGTTTGGGTTATTCATATTTGTTGGGCATCCTCAAGAACGCCGGCAAATTGTAAAACTCAATAAAATGTACATTCCATTTCTGCCTATTGCAAAACTGTTAGAAAAAAAAAATGGAATTAAAAACGAAAATGCAATCTATTGCGTTGGTATGACGGTTAAGTCATTAAATACTTTATTTGTTCCTCATACATATAATTAAAATCCTACAATAGCAACAGAATTTTATTATCTGTAAGTGTGAATCAGAACGTCCTGTAAAAACAATAAAAACCATGATCAGCAACGACAAATTCATTCTTGATGTTTTGTTTTACTTTACACCGACCGGGAATTGAAATTCCATCATCTCCATGTCTTTTAGTTGGTCATGTTAAAATTAGAGATGGAGTGATCTTCACTGACCTTCAGATTTAACAGCAGGGTCGACTTAAGCAAAGGATAAAAAGAAGTATTTCTGATATTTTTACTAACATAAAGGATTACAATAGTCAAAAAACATAACCTTTTGTACACTTCCCTTTTACACCGTTTAGTGTCGAACTTGAATTTGAGCTTTGCTGTTTCATCAGAAATTTCAACGAATAAGTTTTGTCGCTTAATATGATGTTTATTAGGCATATCAAAATGCTACGCTCACATTCGTGAATTTTATATATTGCAATATATTTTATATATATATTGTTTTATTTGAGCCATTGTCATTTTTATGTTTTGAAAAAAAAAAATAGTCTGCATTATATTTACAAACACCCTGCAAAGAAAGTGAGTGTTCTCTGTACCTTTCTCTCACACTACTTTATAATTATTATCTGCGACCCAATTCTGGTGGCTATAGCTGTTAAACAAAGCTCAAAGGTTGTCTTTAGGAATTTTGTCATAATGAAAACAATTCATAGATTGACTAATCCAAGTATAACTAACCGCCAATAAAGTGTCTGTTTAGTTGTTTGAAACGTCGCTAAACAGGTTTTGGGGTAGCATTTAACGACCGCATGCAATTGAAAACATGAATGCGTCATCTTGCCTTGACTCACATCGACATTTGCGCAAAGAGTTGGAGATGTTATCCAGCTTTTTTAACGCCTATGTGAATCATAGTGTGAAAAGAGGTAGACATTGGATGCATAGCAATTTCAAGCTATAGTAAATAAAAGATGATAATCTTATATTATGATAGCTTCAACAACGAAACGGTCGCATCGTGATTGATATTCGTCTGTGAACAAAAAAATGATAATAATACTCCTCGCTTTCTTTGTAAATGTACATGGTACATTGACTAAAAAATGAACTGATCTGGTTATACTGAAAATTCACCAGATAAGAGCCACGAAAATTTTTAGCTGGTATTGTTAGGTTTAACTATACAATATAAACCAAACTAATGTTTTATTCTCGAATCGTAACACCTTAAAACATACAAATCATTCCCCGAGACGGCTATGAAAACGACAAAACTAACAATCAAGTATATATGGTTGGATATATGACATACTTTCGCGTTTATTAAAACAACATAATATAATAAACACATATATATAATATGTACAATTGCTTTTAAATAAGCGTGATTAGATTACGGGTGATTCGAAAATAGGCCACGGTGCGTATCCGGTGACAGGAAAATGAGTCACACAGGCAGGAAAACAGCAACATGAGTATAAACACGTTACTACAGATACAATGATATAAAAACGAATCTTATTCAACATATTACAAGTTTTACCAAATTTTTTAGGAGCGTTGATAAGATTTTTTGAGTCTGTTATTGTCTATATATATATATTTATACATCTGTATGTATGTGTACGTGTGAGAAAAGATTTTTCAGAATTTCCTGAAAAAATCTGAGACACATAAATGAGATGCTATACATACTTTACACCGACGAAATAGTTTAACAGCTGATTAATGTGTTAACTATGCTGTTATGTTTTATTCACCAGATACGCAAAGCAAGTTGGTAAACGTGTTTCTCTATTTTCTTAGGAAGATAGTGAATGAATATATTAAAAATGTTTATGATATCACTGACAACAATATTAAAATCGTCTTGCAGTAAATCTAATTGAAACACAGTTTTCTACAAAATATGTACAAATGAGTGTACAGACATTATAATAAGGTGGTTCACTTCAGTACACAATACCAAATTGGCACAGCTTTTGAACCACTTGGTACATTGCATAAACGTGTTGATAAAGAGTCAATACCTAGACCAAAAACATGGTGTATCCTCTCAAAAAAGGAAGCTAAAAAGACTATAATCAAATATTATGATCATACAAATTAAGATATTACAAGATAAGTAGTTCAATTGTGCTACTGTGATATGTAATCAAGGTAATTGAGTAAAAGTTGTACTTTCATAATATTTGCTCCTAGACCGTGATGTGCTCCATCATAACTATGAACTCCTGATGTAAGACTGTAAAAATCAAGTACAGGAATATTATGAGCATCGCAATACACTTTCATTTCCTTGGAAAATTGTTTACAAACAATATTACCGTTTGCCGCATGATATGCTTTTGGTTTTAATATTCCATTGGAGTCAGGGTACATAAAAATGATATGTGGCCATCGCCTCACCTTTATAAAATTTCCGAACTGAGTATTAATTTTGTCAGAATTCTTGTAATAGTCTTCCAAATAATCGATTGCTGCACTCAAAAACTTGTTAATCGTCACTTTAGATTTACAGCCGTCGTGTCCACCCTGACCAAGTAGAATAACTGAACCCACTTTTCCTGCTAACTTTTTTACCAAACTTAAAAAGTCATTTGCAGAAGCGTGATTTATATATTCATTTATACTAATAAGTGGCGTACGAGGTCCACAAAACGGAGTTTTGTCAACGAGCATGTCTAGTATATTTCCGCCACCTGTTCTGCATTCTGTCCAGTAGAATTGATCAACACCTACACATAATTCCTTGAACTTATCATCGTAGCGTTCCAGTAAAAATCCATACGTTGGATCGGACCTTAGGGTCAAAATAAAACCTCGTGACATTTTTCTCACAAAAGAATCACCAACAAAATATATTTGAGAGAATCGATTGACAACTTCACAAGCTTGGGCTGCTGTGTAGTTCCTTCGTCGACATGAAGAATCAAATGGAATCCAATCACTTATTTCAGCGTGATATATCTTCCTGGTATCGACGCAACTAAAATGTAATTGTTTTGCGTTCTATAAAATTTAAATTGGACAAGAGGAATTACTAACCATTACCTACCCGGAGCAGTCACAAATGTTCCCACATTGACCATCATATATGTCGCTGCAACAGGGTTTTTCACTTTTTGCATCGCACCAACTTCCAGCTGGAGCTGCCCACGCATTTCCTTCCGGCTTTGACTGAACACTAGAAAATGAATATTTTAAAACATTATTTTGAAAACTTTTTAAACTGGCGTTTATTTAGTAACCTTGAAAATGATTTTCATGATTTATAAATGAGGATTCAACTTGAAAACACTCAAGGTTTTTTACAAAATTTGTAAACATATCTAATAAAAATTAATTTATATTGGTACCCGCGCTTGTGTGGTTATATTGCGTATCTTCATTACCAAAATGCGGCGACGCATCTACTTATCAACACCCCATTGTCAATAAAGATGTTAGCAACAGTTGACATAAACATCGAAATAGTAGAATTACAAACTTCCAGCAAAACAGCTTGGTGAAAAGTATTCCATCAAGTGGGAAATCTTTGAAACCAGTTTATCATAGCAATTTGGGAGGCAATTGTGAATAAAACTGAGATCCAGGGACGGTCGCTGCGCTACCCGCGAGGGGAAATGTAAGGGAGATATTTGAGTATAAACGAGCGTATGTTTCATTATGAGTTTGTTGGATGCACCAGGGTCGTTGCGCCGGACGAATGGCGGAAATTCGTCCGGCGCGTAGCCCCCAGCCACTTTAGTTCATTCAGTAGTTTGAATAACACGTCATAAACTTATCACTCTTGATGGATGTCGATTTTTATCAATTTTAAGGTCCGTGATCACTCGACCGTGACGAAATTTTATAGGCATAAACTTTACTCCAACTACCTTGTATAACCCAAATATGAGACCCCTGTCTATTACCGTTCTCGAGATATGGCAGAAAATCACTGGACCGTTACTGAAGGCTACTAGAAAAAAAATTTTGCTGATACGTGATTGGAATGATTTTTCTGATCATGCCCATGCCTTTAGATTCTTGATAAAACCTCTCTGAAGCCGGCAAAAGGCCAAAATCACTAGACCGTGACGGAGGCACGGGAGCAAAAAAATTTCTTGAAAAAAGTATTAAGCTAAACTTTCTCAACCTACCTATGTATTTTTTTTTCTCAATATCTCAATTCTTGAGCGCAACATTCCGAACTCACTGGACCGTTACGGGGACGGGGAATCCCCAAAGTTCGGGTGGTGATATATTCTATTAATTAGTCCCTTCGATATTTGTGCATCGCTTTGCCCGAAAACCGATTCCAAGTGCTCCTATTCGCCCAAAAACCATATTACCTAAGTGGGCGTGGCTTTCTACACGTTTTTTCGCCACTGGGGGGGCGGGGGCACATCCCCCACCCCCAATCATGTCTGGATAAATTCCCAATGCTCTGGCAAACCCTTTCCCGGCCCGGAAACGCAGCCAAAGGGCTTCTAAACCCCAAAATCATACTAGCGTGACTTGATTGGCAGCTTATTGACCAATAACAAGCCCCGTGCCACTAAAAACCCGTTTTGGCCCACTTCCTTTGGCCCGATCGCTCCCAAAAATTTTCTGTGTCCGTTTGGTAACTGTCCCCCGCTACATGCCAAATTTCGTCTCGATCTGCCCGCCAGTTGTCTGGGAAATGGTAACTCGAGTGGTCTGCCCTACCTATCTTCGACTAGCCCTTTCCGACTTACGCGCAAAGATTTCTGACCATTACTGTGCATACGCACTAAAGTGCTCTGTGTTGCCTGACCATCCAGGGGAGGTCGCTACGCTACCCGCGAGGGGAAATGTATAGAAATATTTTTAGTAAATTAAGAAGCAGATGTTTGTTTGAAGTTTGTTGGAGGACTCGCGTCGTTGCGCCGGACGAATGGCGGAAATTCGTCCGGCGCTCTGCCCCCGACCCCTTCAGTCCATCAAGAAGTTCAAATACCACGTAATAAACTGATCACCCCTAACCGGAGTCCAATTTTTCCAATTTTAAGGTCCGTGATCACTCAACCGTGACGAATTTTTTTTGACACAATCTAGACCTCAACTACCTTGTATGACTCAAATATGGCACCTCTACCTTCTACCATTCTTGAGATATAACATAAAATCACTGGAGCGTGACTGAGGAGATGAGGAAATAAAATTTCTTCCAAAATAGATTCATATAATTTTTCTTAACATGCCCATGCCTTTACTTTCTTAATAGGTCCTTTCAGAGGCCTGCAATAAGCAAAAATCACTAGACCATGACTGGGGAGTGAGAGAAAAAAAATTTCTTGAAAAAAGCGTTAAACTAAATTTTCCCAACATACCTATCTATTTTATTTCTCGATAGCTTCGTTTTTAGGTGCGCAACCTTCTTACGCCACTGGAGGGCGATTGGGAGGGGGAATTCCCAAAGTTCAGGTGGTGAAATATTCTATATATAAGTCCCTTTGAGATTTGAGCATCACTTTGCCCAAAAACCACTTCCAAGTGCTCCTAATAGCCCAAAAACCATATTACCTAAGTGGGCGTGGCTTTCCACACGTTTTCTCACCACTGGGGGGGGCGGTGGCAGTGCCCCCACCCCCAATTACACTTGGAAAAAATCCCAATGCTCGGGCAAACGCTTTTTGGCCCCGGAAACGGAGCTAAACGGCCTCTAAACCCCAAAATCACATAGCGTGGCTTGATTGACAGCTCAATGTCGCGCATCCTTTAATTTTTCCACTAGAACCCCGTTTTGGCCCACTTCCCCTAGTCCGATCGTTCTGAAAAATTTTGTGTGTTAGTTTGGTAACTTCCACCCGCTACATGCCAAGTTTCGTCCCGATCGGCCCTCCAGTTTTCTGGGAAATAGTCAATCTCACAGTGCTATCGCTTTATAATGGAGCTATTTGTCTTCTGTGCAAAGACTTCTGATTTCAACTGTGCATAACGCACTAAAGTGCTACCCTTTTGCCTAACCATCTAGGACTGAGAGTCATTTTTTGATTGAAAATATTCTTATGTTATTTCAACTCTGAGGATTGCCATGTTTTGTTGAAGGAAATACTGAAATGTTATCAACAATACGATAAATTGTATTCGAAGAAAAGAATATTCTGCAATGTGAAGCTCAATCAATATCTCAATTGATCTTCTGCAAGCCTGGACAAAACTACAAAGGCAAAAAATCTAAGAATTTTCATGAAAGTATTTACTTATTAAATCCACACTTGTTATCATCTCTCCATAATCGTGTATGTATTCCTCGTTTAATGCGAAATTCAGCTAAATAGGAATCCAATTTTTGTTCTTCATTTAGTAATTTCTCATATTCTTGCTCATTTTTATTAAAACTATAGATCTTTTTCACCCACTGACCATTGCTCAAATTATACAAGATGTTTTCACAAAACAGATGATTGTATTTCAACTTCATTGTTTGATTCTCTGTGTGATTTTCATTGAATACAAGTTTCGAAATAGCAGGAGGACTATAAGATAGATAAAGGAAGTACGAGGATAGACAAATAACTACAATCCCAAAAATAAAGCGATCGCTGGAAAGCAATCGCTGTGACATTGTATACTTTCTGAAATGATAAAACAGAATTTTAAATTAATGAAGTGAAAGGGGCAATATAGTTAATCATAAAAAAATTATAATAATGTGTAACGGTAAAAAGTACTGTTTGCGGTATCTCCTTCAGGTAGTTAGAAATTAGAATCTCATTCTATCTTTTACTAATATTCTTTTAGTTACTGGTATATAAATCTTCTACTAGATATTGCTATCTCTACTATACCTTGGTTGCAGCTATTACTCGGAGTGATACGATTACAATAAATCTTAACAATAAGAAAGGAAATAGCACTTGTCGCGGATGCTTAATAATCATCAGGAAATCCTCCAGATAGAGATTCGATGATTACCTATGCAGAGCTACAGGTTTTCGATCTTATGGACCAGAATGGAGTCGGGTTTCATCGTTCCGGTATTAAATTGAATACACTATACTATAGATAGATATCTGTAGTATATATATCTGTATATACAGTATAGATAAATGCAGATATGTATAAATCAAAATCTGCTCTGTGATAAAAATGATGTCAACCCAATAACTTGCTATATCCCCAAAACGTTATTAGTTCTGGAACATATAGCCATTTGGCAAAATACGGAATCAAAATTTACAAAAATTGCGCAATCGAGCGCTAATAACATGAAAGGGGTTTTATGATATAACTCACTCTTTGGTGCAAATATTGAAAAATGTCAGTCGTATACATCGGATTTAAATGAAAATGCAATATAAATGCGAGCCTGCAGCCTACTTCAATGACCTAAACAAATGTCAATTCCGCTGTTAATTGAATGTTTATTTTGTGATGTTGCGATAAACAGAAGATCTTTAGCGGCAAATGTAAACCTTGATTAAAGGATAATATTATTTCCAATTATCAGAAATTTTACTACCATATGGTCTATTAATCATCACAAAATGAAACCGTCGACACCATGCATAATTACTTTGCAGTCTGACAGTCTACAGTTTTAATATCAGAATACCAGCACATACATGTCTGCTTGAAATTAGCATAAGCTGAATATCCTGTACGGTCGTTGAATGTTTGTATGTTGATTTCTTTGAAAAACCAGATATATATAAAACAGACCAGCAAAAACACACAAACCAGCGTTAACAGCAGCTAGTTTTTGAGTTGCAATTTAGGATTTTCAGAGATAACTCCCACTTTGCGGGCAACTGTTCTGGCAGATATACTGTCAAACACGAGTTTCTTCTCAGGACAAACTTCGTTGACAATGGCTAATATGCATTCTTTCATGAACTCGACAAATGGTTTCATTCGTTTAGCGATGAGCGAACTAACAACCAATGTTGCCTTTGTAACTGATTCGATCTCTTTTTGTACACCTTATTTTCTTTAAAAAAAAAACTATTTTTTCTGATCAAGTCCACTTTTTAGATTCTTCATGTTTAATTTTCTCTTTTCTCCAACATATTCTTCGTATATGCTATGACAAATTTTGTAAATTGTAAATTCATTCATCACAAAATAAACTAAAATAAATAATTACAACTAACGGTAGGTTCGGCAAGTAAACGACTCCAGCTGACTCCTGCTTCGCTTGCGCCATTCATTACAAAACAAACGCCGCATAACAGCCATTGTTACAACATAAATATATGTGCATACAGTCATGTTTTATGAAAGAAATTTATTTTGGAACACAGTAAGGTCGTCCAAAGGACTAAAAAAATTTGTTCGCGAACCGCAGTTTGTGGACCACTCGTGATCTGATTTGACATTTTTATGATCGCTACACCCAATCAGTCATGTGTTGTCTGATATGTCTTTCCACTACTGCATTTGATTACTTTTTAAAATGTCCAGATTTGACTAGTTTTTTAAATATGTTTAGAATCGACAAATTGCATTGCTTCTTGCTAAAGAGAACTTTAAAAGCAAAGTTATGAGTGCAAGTACGCCATATTTGAAATGCTCAATTAAAAGTATGCTAACTATGGATATCGAGCTCATGTCGAAATATCCCGGTAAGATATCAATTTTTAGTGGCCGTTACTTGGAGACGGAATGACAACTTGAGGTAATGAAGTTACGACGCTGATTATCCTTCATTTCTAGAATCACTTTTACTATAAGTGCTGTAAAACATTTAAAAGTAAATAAAATATCAACACTTAACAGTTGCTTTTTCGAATTAGTCATTTTTTTGGCAATCCTAACTTGATCACCCAGAAAGTAAAAGATTGTGGCATTTTGTTAGATCTAGTAATATGACTTTTTTACTGGATATGTGAAGGGTATTTTCCCGAGCTATTAGCAATGTGCTGAGCTAGAGACGCAATATTTTATTAACAAATCAAGTAGATTGTTGGACCCCAGCTTGTGGTTTTATTCGCACGCTTTTACATACATTCTCTCTTTTTTTTCTTCTGAGATGCTTTCGATGTAATGAAATGTGTCCGATCGAAACATGAGTTGCTTCATGTTTAGTATATTTATCAGGTTTATTATTAGTTTTGTAATCATCAAAATAATTGTAAATTGTATAGTTTTCTCCTGAACTTGTTAACGTTGTTTGGCTTTTCACCTTATAATGAAAAAAAAGTTGTGAACGCAAACCCAAAATCAACAGACATTGGAAACTGGAGAATATCCAAGTCATGATCCCAGTACCTCGTGGGCTTTAAAATCCGTGGAGACTCCCTGTATGCTCACTCCACGCGGTAACCTTCAGTAAAAGGCGAAAGATTTATGCGAAAAATGAAGCGAAGCCACAGCGGCTGCAATGCCCTTTTTAAAGGTAAATCAAGTCAATAGTTAATTTTTTTCACTATAAATTTTTGTGTTATGACGTCATCAAAATTAAAAGTTGCGCACCATCCGTGTTTGAGTGCGCAATCGCTGCGTTCTAGTGGTCCATGTGTCCATATACGTCTAGTTTTTAGTGCATCAAATATCCAATATAATAGGACTGAGAAAATAAAATTATGTTGCATAGTGTTACACTCAGTTATATATTTATTTGGTATAGTTATTATATAAATTCCCGTTTTCAAACAATACCGGACATATATATAAATAGTGATTGTTTTCTTATATAATTGACATTTAAAATTCATCCAGATGATGAAAGCTGGGTAAATGTGCTTCAGTTACGTTTCCGATATAATTTAAAAAAGCAATGCTTATGAGGGAAACATTGCAGACCTATGTTTTAAAGTATTAACGTTGTCAAGTATTAACGAAAGAAAAATTTTAGGCTCAATTTTCCGTAACTTTTTCAACACCCTGTATACTGCAACTATTCTGTTACAACGAAAATTACCCCCAGGTTTTGCGACAACAGAAAACTATAATAAGGACACAACAATACACGAGGAAATTTCACACTGTCGACAGTGTGACAAACCAGCTAAAAGGGAAGTTTCTCAATAGCAACTCCAGTGGTATGAATGTGAATATGGCGCCTACACAAATAAAACCCAATTTTAGCCATGGTCGTCTCAGCTGTTTTATCTTGCTCCTTGTTTTATAACGATAAATCGCTAGCTTTGTGTATATGCCAGTGCCGTTTTAAAATATCAATACACTAATAACAACATCATTGCATTGAAAAATTTAACTGTTAAAAAACGTCAGTCGTGAAATGTTTGAATGACATTTTACCGTAACTCAATACTGCTAACTGAATAGCCTTCTCAGTCGGTAATGTTCTAAGTAGCATTTCATCTTAACTTCTGTTAATTTTACGTTACTTTTTCAACACCCTGTATATACGTTTACAGTTTTTCCAGTTTGACATAGCTCTGTTTAGCAGTTATTTTGTTATTGACGTTTCTGTGAGCAGTCTACATTCGCAGTTAATTTGTATGTGTATTACCATATATATATTAGGATTTTTTGCCATGTCGCACGACACGTGTGTCGGCCTGATTACTACAACCCCAGCAACGGTTGTTCCTGAAGCACATGCCTGTTCTCAAGGGTGATGAAATTTTTGATCAGAAGAAGGACAGCCAAAAGGAAAGCGGAATGCATTCTCCTCGCAGACAATGGAAGTAAAATTTTCGAAGTGAGATCATGTGAGTAAATTAGTACCTGCATTTCCTTCTCTGAGTACTAATGGTAAAGATGGCCAATATATTTCGACGGGTCAACTGTTATGACATGGCCCAGTTATTTATGGCATTTTGAACTGTTTGCCAGTTATAAACAATGGAATTATGACACTGCGGGAATGAATTGGCTACTTGTATGACAGGGCATGCTCTTAATGTGTTGAAAGATTTGGCAGATATGAAACGTACTAGCGATCGTAATATTGTGGCACACTTTAGTCATGTCTTTGAAACCTGTTGGGAACGAGAGCTCTTATCGTTCTACATTTCACTGTCGTAGAATTAAGCCAAGTGCAACGCCAAGGGATTACGGTAGCAAGTTTAAAAAGAGCTTGTTATACTTGCTTACCCAAATTTTGATATTGCTGGTCAAGGTGATATTTTGAAATCACAGTTTCTTGCGGGTTTAACCGATGAATGGTTAAACATGCCAACATGCAACAGCCTGATAATTTCGAGAAGGCTTTGTCTCTTGCGAAACTGTATTACTCTGTTGATACTAACCACTCTGAGAGAAAAGACATGCCTAAACCGCGTATTGTAGCAGTGAAACAGAGTAATACCGGTAATATATCTAACCAGCAAAACGACATAACTTTCGAAGGCAGTATAGTCGAGCACCTTTTAGCAAAATTGGATAAAATCAGAGGATAGGTTAAGCCACTCTCTAGCAACGATCGCAATTTTGATAGCATACCGCGCAATCCATGTTCTCGCTGTTATAAACATGGTCATTGGGGTAGGGATTGCAAAGCATGTTTCAATTGTAAGTACACTGGTCATCTTAAACGGGATTGTCCTCATCTTTAAAATCCCGCTGATCTTGCAACAGATGCGCCTTCTTCGACCCCAAACTTAAATGACACTCAGCGGACTTGAGTTCCTCAGAGTCCACTGAATTGATGACGGACCAACGAACCAGAATATAGACCCTAATATTTGCTCCTTTAAATATGTCATGCAAAAGTACTTGTAAACTATCAACCGTTTGATTTTCTTGTAGATAGTGGTACAACGACTACTCTTTTAACATTTTCATCTTCGCGGCGATAGTTAGGAAAGATGCACAACTGGCTCCGCTTGAAGAATCTCTGGCTGCAGGGCATGATTTATCACCACTGGATACATTGAAGGTTGATTTAGTCTATTGGTTCTTTTGCATCGCGACGCAATGTGAATGTTGTCCACCTGGGCATGAACAGAAAGAAAATAAATTAGGATGCATTTATAAAGATATATCAAGTACAACCATCCGGTGATAATTTATATTAATCTTTTACAACGATGCATGACCTCATTAAATTTTGCTATATTTTTCATCACATCTTGCCGTCCCATATTGCTTCCTACTCAAAATGATCAAGAAATTGTGAACAAAAACAATTGCCCAAACGGACGTTACTGAACTGTAGAACGAACAAATCATAATCTCGATACATTCATGTCTTGAAAAATCATAAATACTCATGGAATGCACCACCTCTCCGCAGAACTCTTCAGGAAATGACGAAACGTTTGTGCGAAATATGAAGGGAAGCCAGAGCGACCCGAAAGTCTTTATTGAAGATTGGTCAATTAGACTAGTTGAGCTCCCGATTGTGGTTTGTAAATTTTGTATCCCATTAGATGCATTGGATCTAATGAGTTAGTCCCGATTGTTATTCAAATTTCTTCTATCCCAGTCAAATAATCAAACGTATTAATTCCGTAATAATTCAATCAAAATTTATTGAACATTGTATAACTGTTTACAAATTCTCGGATTTTTTTACATCTTTATGAATTGTTATCTCAAAAATAGTAAGAAAATTTTGAACACAAACTCCCTACAGACATTTTTAATTTAGAAAGTAATTACATAGTGTGATTAAAAAATTCTTAAATATTTTGAGGAAGACTGCGAATGAATAGAAGCAAGAACAACTAGAGTGCATTGCTAAAGGGTGAATTCTAGACAAGTTTCTTTATTCCACTCAATATTTTTTAAATTGAGTATACTATACTATAGTGATCATTTATGATAATTGAAAACAAGCAATCTTTACTGGTAAACCTAACAAATTTAATAAAGGTAATTGAGTAAAAGTTAAACTGTCATAGCATTTGCTCCTATAGACCGTGATGTGCTCCATCGTAATTGCTGTGAACACCAGATGTAAGGCTGGAGAAATCAAGTACAGGAATATTATGAGCATCGCAATATATTTTCATTTCACTAGAAAACTGTTTACACACAATAATACCGTTTGCTGCATGATATGCTTTTGGTTTTAGTATGCCATTGGAGTCAGGATACATAAAAATAATATGTGGCCATCGCCTCACCACTTTGAAGTTATTTCCAAATTGTGTGTTATTTTTATGTGAATCTCTGTAGTAATCTTCTAAGTATTTAATTGCCGGACCGAGAAAATTGTTAATCGTCACTTTGGATTTACAACCGTTATGACAACCCTGCCCGACTAGCAAAACTGAACCTGCTTTTCCTGCCAATTTTTCCACCAAACTCAAAAAGTCATTTGCAAATGCGTGATAGTAATATCCATTTACACTGATAAATGGTGTATGTATTCCGCAGAAAAAAGTTTCGTCAACGAGCATTTCCAATATATTTCCGCCATCTGCTCTGCATTTTGTCCAATAAAATTGATTAAAACTTACACATAAGTTTATCAGTTTTTCATCGTAGCGTGCCAGTAAAATTCCATACGTTGGATCGGACCTAAAGGTCAAAACAAAACCTCTTGCCATTTTTCTCACAAAAGAATCACCAATAAAATATATTTGAGAGAATCGATTGACAACTTCCCAAGCTTGTGCTGCTGTGTAGTTTCTTTGCCGACATGAGGAATCAACTGGAATCCAATCACTTATTTCAGCGTGATATATCTTCTTGGTATCGACGCAACTAAAAGGTAATTATTTTGCTTTCTATAAAATTTAAATTGGACAGAAGGATTGACTAGACATTACATACCTGGGGCAGTCACAATTGTTCCCACATTGACCATCATATATCGTCACGCTAATAACCGAATTGCGTAGGTCATATTTGACGAATTTGAGTTTTCTTGTTAAAACCCATCTATATGTTGTTGCGCACCAGCATGTTGAATTAGTTTTTATTAAACGGATAATAAAACGCTTTTACTGGGAGAAAAAAAACGCTTTGCCTAAGTCATGGATGTGACATACGCAATTTTGCAACGTTTCTAAAGCGATACCATCATACGATATTATGACGTCATACCCATTACATCGAGGTTGTCTTCAGCAGACATCGCCGTAGAAGCCTGCCGTTAGGTTGTGCGCCGTTATTAGATGTTGGTGTGGCTTGTCATTATATAGCCATTAAAATGAGTGCTTCACTTCTGAGAAACCTTAATGCGAATGAAGTTATTATGAGGATAGAAAATGAAGATTCAGGTGGGTCTGTAGGTCTATATTTAATTTTTGCAAAGTTTCGTTAGTCTACGTACCAACTAAAAATGAGTTGAGTAAGGGACGTGTCAAGTATTTTATTCTTATAGATGACATGCTTGAAACCCAAAGTGTGTCAGATTCAGACCCAGACTTTGTTTTTATTCAAGAGTTTGATGAGGATGAAGAAAATTGGCAAGGTGCTAAGTCTAAAAAATTATCCAACTACGCTCAACGCAGTTCCACAGTGGTTAGTCCTGTTTTGTTTTCAATTTATTTAATATCATCATTGCCGATAACGTTACACATCATGTTTTCATTATCTGTTTTAGACGTTGGGTAAAAGGAAACGCGTAAAACGGGCGCGCCCCTTTGGATGGAAAAATAATATTTGCAAAAGGAATCGTCTAGCTGGATTAAATTACAAAAGCCGAAAAGGAAAGCAAAATATAGCAAGAAAAATGGGGATGCCGTGCAAATCCACGTATTGTCGAAAACCCAGCTTACGGCAATGTGCGAGTCTGACAGAAGATGAGAGACAGTGGGTTTTCAAAAATTTTTGGAAAATGGAATCGTGGTCTGAAAGAAGATCATATGTCAGGGCTTCAGTATCGAAAGTAAACGATATTTAGAAACACTGATATTATGTCACGATTTCCGCATCTCATTCAATTAAATTTTTATTGTTTTGTAGGTTACCACCAAGCAAAGGAAAATTGCTGAAAATATGTCAAGAAGAAAGTCATCTTTTGAATACCATTTACAATTACAAAATGGAACATGCATTCTGGTGTGCAAAAAACTCTTTTCGGCTACAATTGGCATTAGCCAACGAACTTTGCTCTCGTGGCTGGAAGGTCCCGCACCATTCATAAAGTTTTTGGACCCGCATCGTCCAAGAAAAGGTATGTAGCAAAGAGAGCAATAAATGCACAATGTAATATTCATTTAATATTCATTGAATAATGACTGAAACATTCATTTTCTATTTTTTTAAGGTAAAACTTCTTTTATCCAAAGGCAAGATATGGATTTCATTATAAAATGGTTACATGCACTACCTACATTGCCATCTCACTATTGCCGTTCTAGAGGTACCTATAAGAATAAAAAGTAACTATATCCCGGAACGACTGTTTCAAACCTTCATCGTTTATATTCTGAAGAGGCAACAAATTCTGAAAGACGGGTTATTAGCATCGCAGAGTTCAGGGACATATTTAACAAAGAAAATATTTTTCATCATTTCGGCCTAGAAAGGACCAATGTGATATTTGTGTGGGATTTTCGCATGGAAATATCGACGACGGGGAGTATAGAGCCCATGTAATATCAAAAGATGTGGCAAGAGCTGAAAAAAAATGCCGACAAAGAATCAGCTGATGGGAGCAGATCCGTTTGGACTATGGACTTACAGGCAGTCCTGATTCTTCCCAAAACTCACGCCAGTTCGATGTATTATAAAACCAAACTTCAGATGCATAATTTTACTCTTTATAATTTGCAAACAAAAGAAGGATTCTGCTATCCATTGGAAGAGCACGAAGGCGATTCAAGTAGTGAAGTTTTTGCCTCGCTACAGTTCTCTCATTTCAACCAATGTGTTACAGATCATCCTTCAATAAAAGAACTAGTGATATGGAGTGACAGTTGTGGCTATCAAAACCGTAATGTAATCGTCGCAAATACATATTTAGATTTGGCACGGAAACATAAAATTAAAATAACGCAGAAATTTTTAACAACTGGACACACTCAGATGGAAGTGGATGCAATGCATTCCATGATTGAGAAAAAAGTTTTGGCCGACGTCATTACGTCACGTGATTATCACGTAATCATGCAGTGTGCAAGGTCTCGGCCATTTCCATACCAGGTCAAGTCAGTACAACATCAGGATTTTAAGAAAATGACGTGGAAATACTTTGCCAGTATACGCCCTGGAAATACAGCAGGTGATCCAAAGGTGCATCATCTCCGAGCAATACAGTATACTTCCACAATTCACCTCAAAACTACGTTTATGGATGAGTGGGAATTACTTCCACGCAGAATGCATAAACCCGAAAAACCATTCCAATGGATAAATTTGTTTCCAGGTCTACTTAAGATAAGCTGTAGAAAATTTTGTGATTTACAAGAAATGAAGAGAGTGCTGCCAACATACGCACATTGCTTTTATTACAAAATTTTACACCATTTATAATAAATAACTACCATATTTTCAAAGAAGAAATGCAAAGTTACGTTAGTTTTCGCTGAGTAGTTAATTTTACAAAAGTTTTTTTTTCTTCTGTTTTTTCAATGAATTCTCCATTGTTTGTTGAATGGCATTGTATGGTTGTGTTGACAAGGTTAAAGTTATGATCGAATCGTATTTTGAATGTCGTACACACCTGCAATTCAGCGCTCTTTTTTATTTTTTTATACTTTATAATCAATATCTATGAAAAGTCTCAATGTTGGTGGGTGTTTAGAGCGCAATAAATTGTTGAAATATATATTTCAAAAATAAAAAATAAAATGTTATTAAAACAGATAAGCTGTTTTGGGGTTTGGACATTGTAGAGACTGTAAATTACATTCGTTTTTTGAATGTTCGCTTTCGAGGAATGATAGTTCCAACAAAGTTGCGAAATTGCGTATGTCACCAAGTCATAGGCGCATTTCTGCGTAAGTCACAGTGCGCCATTATGACGTCACATGCCTGCGTCATACAAATTAATTTAAATCCGGCTACCACTAAAATAATGAACCATGGGAAATTATTTACTCTACATGGCAAAACAATACCTAGAGGAAGTTTTTTACGTTTTCCTCGAAACTGCTAAAAATGACTTACGCAATTCGGTTATTAGCGTGACGAATGTCGATGCAGCATGCAACAAGGTTTTTCGCTTTTTGCATCGCACCAACTTCCAGCTGGAGTATTTTAAAACATTATTTTGAAAACCTTCCAAACTGGCGCTCGTTTAGAAACCTGAAAAATGATTTTCATGATTATTAAATGAGGATTCAACTCAAAAAACACCCAAAGTTATTTATGAAAATCATAAACAATAAAGTCAATAAATTGTAAGCAAAAGTTGACATAAACTTCGAAATAAGAATTACAAACTTTCAGCAATCCATATTGGTGGAAAGTTTGTTTTGCTTATGTTTTTTCGACTCTACGGATTGCCATGTTTTGTTTAATTTATTACTGAGATGTTATCAACAATACAATAAATAATATTCGAGGAAAAGACTATTCTGCAATGTCACGCTTAATCAATATCTCAAATCCTCTACTGCAAGCCGGGACAAAACTAAAAACGGGCAAAAAATCTAAGAATTTTCATATATATAAGTATTCACTTATTAAATTCACACTTGTTATTGTCTCTCCATAATCGTGTATCTATTCCTCGTTTAACGCCAAATTCAGCTAAATAGGAATCCAATTCTCCTTCTTCTTTCAATAATTTATCATATTATTCTTCCTTATTTTTATTAAAGCTATAAATCTTTTTCACCTACTGACCATTGCTCAAATTATACAAGATGTTTTCACAAAACAGATGATTGTATGTCAAGTTCACTGTTTGATTCTCTGTGTGATCTTCATGCAACACACTCTTCGAAATAATAGAAGGACTATAAGATAGATAAATGAAGTATGAGGATAGACAAATAACTACAATCCCCAAAATAAACCGATCGCTGGAAACCAAACGTTGTAACATTGTATATTTTCTGAAAAGGTGAAAATAGATGTTGTGAAAGGAACAATATAGTTAATCATAGGAAAATTATAGTAATGTGTAAAGGTAAAAAGTACTGTTTGGAGTACTTCCTTCAGGTAGTTAAAAAGTAGAATCTTATTCTATCTTTTACTAATATTATTTTAGTTACCGGCATATAAATCTCCTACTAGATATTGCTATCTCTACTACCTTGGTTGCAACTATTTCTCGGTGTGATACGATTACAACGAATCTTAACAATAAGAAAGTGGATAGCATTCGTCGCGGATGCTTAATTATCAGGAAATCATACAGATAGAAATTCGATGATTACCTATGCATGGCTACAGGTTTTCGATCTTATAGACCAGCATGAAGTCGGGTTTCGTCGTTCCGGTGTTAAATCAAATACAGTATAGATATTTGTAACTGCAGATATGTATAAATCGAAATCTGCTTTTCTACGTTATTAATACTCGAACATATAGTCATTCGTCCAAACATTATAGAGTATCAACAATTTTACAAAAATTCGAAATCGAGATATAACTCACTCTTTGGCGCAAATATTAACAAAAGCCAGTCATATACATCGGATTTAATTGAAAATACAAGATTAATGCAAGCCTGCAGTCTAACTTGATGACCTAAACAAATGTCAATCCGTTGACAGACCTTTATTTTATATATATGTGGGTGAATAATTGTTAGTTAATCTGATACTAGAATCATAAACCGACTGGGCCGACCGGTAGTAGCAGAAATAAATTTTTATAGTTCAAGCTGCATTCTGCCGGAACATTCCGATATTGCTTGAGCTATGTCCTTTCCTCGTGCAGTACCTGTCATCGGAATCAATTCGGCAAAATTCAAATTTTCGTCCAAATTATCTGAGATACCTTGAATAAAAATGACCTCATGCGCCGTCTTGCATGCAAATTGACATCGTTAGCACAGAATCGGTTAAAATTCTGATGCAAAATTGGATATCAGAGGATTCCCAGACAATCAATAACCACAGGTTTACAGATACAAAGCATAAGAACTCTGCAATTCAAGAATCCCGCTGCACACTAACGCAAATGTATTTCTGTAATGTTTCCTCTGACCACAATCAGACATCCTCAAACATACAGTTTCCAACATATATATAACGGTACGCCCGAAGTGAACCAAGATGGCGGACACCGGAACGAAGTATGCGTACCAGATTGTGGTTAGCCATAATTTATTACAATTTTTTCATTCTATATTTATTACGAGTTCGAGGACTAGACAAGTGACTCCCGTAGTATTTGTTCCTAAAATTATGCCCTAACTCTAACCTGCTACACATACCACGTTCCGGTGTCCGCCATCTTGGTACGCATACTTAAGGAGCGCCCATGGATTTGTTCACTTCTAACGTATTTGATAAATTTAATTATCTGAGAAAAGTATTTATAGGATAGGCTTTACATATTTTTTCTAAGATTTTTTAGTTTTTCCTTATCACATATAATTATATGCACTTTATAGTTCTTCCCGACTTTAAAACATATTAAAGAAAATCAGATTCGGAAATATTCGGATCGGAACGTTCTGTTTCGAAAATTAAATATTCGAAACGTACATCCCTAATTCTGACGCTTAGCACGATGCGTCACATCGCCGAGCCGAACATACGTGAACAGGGATTGCATCTTTCTCCCGTAAGTGCATATAAAATCCACTGTATCGAAAATAATAATACGTACCGTCGTGGGGCATTACTGACACCACATTAATTCTCATCTTATGCCTAACTGGCTAATAATTGTCACATTTATTAATGTTAAGTTCTCAATTTCATGTGGCAAAGTCTGTAAGAATCAAATCATGCTTGATTCGGTAGAAGCATACCAAGTTGAACAAAAATTCAGCGTTGATAAAGGCAGCAAGAGTGCTAAACAGTTCATTAACTCAAGAGTCGGAAAAATCGGTGAAATCGAAGTGATAAAAACACGCTGTACATCCCCCAACTTCTGTCATTTGTCAGACGTTTGACACATTCTAAAGGTGGCGTTTCTTGGCTGGGCTTTCTATAGAAGATCTCCAAAGAAGAACTTTGGAGTTCGTTTTTTGTGAATTTCGGTTATCGAATTTCCTGACGAATAAGTCGTTTTCTAGACCCAAACTTTTGGCCTGATTTTTTTTTTGGGGGGGGGGGGGGGCGTCTTACTGGGCGAGTATGATAATTTTCATTTTTTTTTTCAATTGGGACCATAAAATATCTTCCGCGATAGAATCGGTCCGCGGCAAATCGCAAAATTTGCAAATCGCAAAATTTGCAAATCGCAAAATTTGCAAATCGCAATTTTGGGTGCTACCTGTAGTATATATATATACGTACCAGTGCATTTTACCTTAGGATTCTTTGCTTTACTGCCTTCATATTGCTATGTACAGTACTACAACGCCGTAAGTGTTGTACAAACAGCTCATATTTGTCGAATTCACAAAAATTCAAATCGAAACAAAATAAATTAGTACAAAGTATTTTCTGAGTAGTATTGCTTTTATTCCGTCAACACAACCGCAGATTAAAATGATCACAGCTGTTTAATCAATGATAAAGCAGGTCGATGAATATGTATTTTTGATTTATTAATAATTTAATTATATTTCAATGAGTACTAAATCAAGTTATACCTTCTGGAAATTTATACCAGATAATAGGATTTTTCTAATGGCGATAACCAATTCGCAAGATCACAAAAAATATGTATCAAAATTAAATATAATCGGGCAATATATTCTCATTGGGTTCCATTACATTTGAACCCACGTACATTTGGACCCATGGCAATTGCACCTGTATGCTATTGCACCTATGGAATTTTTTTTGTTTTTCGGATAGTTGAACCCACACTAACCCTAACCCATGGGTTTTAGCACCCGCATATAGATTGAACACGTGGATATACACATGGGTTCAAATGTACGTGGGTTCAAATGTACGGTCACCTATATTCTCACATTAGTATGTTCGCAGATTGCCGTGGCATTTTAAAGAAGTAATGCTTTCATCTTGTTGTAAGTCGACGCAACCGCGAGTTACCATATTAAAATAGAAAGACCTTTTCAAATTCTCGTCGTTCTCAAGGATTGAATATTGTGCGCCAGAAAACGCCATTATACACTAAAAAAGTCGACTTTTTTAACGAACGCGTGTTTGCGTCGAATTACCGATTTTGAAATTTGTCTGTCTGTTGTGTTTGGTTTTATTGCTTCTTCGCACAGAGTACGGTTGCAATAAACGCACCTTGAGTCTGCAGGTTTTCGCTTGTGAGAAAATAGTCCGCGACCAAAAATGGTTGGGAAACGCTGGTTTAGATGGATCGGCGTTCTCGCTCTGTGAATCTGGAATTTCAATGCTGTGAATTGTGAAGCGTGATCGCATATTCACGCCATAACCATCTTCTATGTCAGCATATATTCTCGCTAAATCACAAATTTCCCTCAACATGTGTTTTGTGCCACGAGGACACGATAATTACCTCATTGTTGTCAAACAACCATGGCACTTGTGAGAAACGAGTTATTACATAAACATGTGTAACAAGATGCTGAGATAAACAAAGATTTTCCTGATCCTGACCGACTATGATATGTATAATAATTAATGTAAAGTATATTTGATTCAGTTTTTAAAAATAAATTTTACTCTGTGGGATATTATCGCTGACTTAATTTTTTTTTACAGTGATATCTTTAAAATAATGAGTGACAGCATTGCGACGGAGCGAAATAATAGTTGTAGCAACATAATTGTACCTATTTATGTCCACGGATTGCGTTGGTATTTTGGAGCAGAGACACTATTTATATTGTCGCAATCGTAGATTAAATTGATCACTATTAATTAAAGCAACACATTTCGTTTCTGGAGATTTCGAAATATGTATATTTAATTGAATTGTACTCTCAGGGCAGGGGCGTAGCCAGAAATTTTCAAAAGGGGGGGTTCTGACATTTTTATTTTTTTTTACATTTTAGAATGGAGAGGTTTCGACCCGCAAAACCACCCCCTGGCTACGACACTGTTTCAGGGATTTAAAAAAGCAGATCTTGGGATTTTCAAATTGGCGATAACAAATTCACAAGAGCGCAAAAATATGTATCAAAACTAAATATAATCAGGCAGTTTATCTCACATTATTATGTCCACAGATTGCCGCATTACCTCGAAAACAATTAAATTAAAAGACAAGTTTGAATTCCCGTAGTTGTCATGGATTGAATATTACGCTACAAGAAAAAGTCATTATGGGTTATTTTAACGAATGCACAAACACCTCGACCGCTCAGAGGCCGTTGCATGGTAATTTGAGATTCCGATTTTACTGCTGCCTGTCCTATTGGGAGGTTATATGCAAAAACCCATTTTTTCAGGCTTAAAAACGAGCGTCGTCTTATTCACCGGGAAATACGGTATTTGTAAAATTTAAAATTGATTGATTGTAAACTCAGCCAACCACTTGCCTGCTCCGAATCCGATGCACAAAATTTCATGTGGCACTGATTGCTCTTGGCATTTCGGTGGTGACCCCTACGCAAGGCATCGGTCCTCCACACCAGTGTGAACGGCATGATTTTGCTTTCAGCAAATTTTCATGAAAAAATAATACTTTACTCTGACTGGTACAAGGGCAGAAAGTCATGGTTCGCCAATTTTTTTGCACCACCAGCTTTCCTCACCCAGGGATGAATAGGAAAATCCTTATCTATTATTTACAAGATGCTGTATTTTTGATAAAGGAATTCAAATGAAAATTTTAATAACTTTATTTAAAGCTTTCATTTCAATGACTCACCTAATACAAGATTAGCGTATAATAGTATCAACTTGCATAAATGATTAATTCTACATTAACAGAAATTGCATCATTAGCACAAATAAAAACAAAGAATAGGCTACTGGAACATAAGACTATAAGGCACAAAAAGCAAACCACCATGGAGGCATTTGCAACAATATACACGCTGGATCACAAAAGACAGCTACATATATTATGGAAGCTGATAACGGCCAAATTAATGTAAATAAAGCATTATTCAGGTTGCTATAGGTAGAAAAAAAAAACAATTCATATGACATAATTATGCTAATTTTGTATTGCTTCAGCAAACCTGCCTGACACAAAAACTGTCAGTATTCTGACATATACTTGTTTCATAACACGATAATTGTTTTAGTAGTTACAAGCGCAGAGGATGGCCACAATGTCATGATTCTGTGCCTATCATATGTATAGGTTCATATTAATATTCATAAATGACTTATGGAGCTGTATTGCGAAAAAAGTTCACTCAAAGCATGTAAGATAAATCAACACTACATGAATATAGTAACACTTTCCAATTAAAATATGAGTATACACTCTAAGTGCTTAGAAAAAAATGTTCAGGAATAAATTGAGGTTACTGCACTTATATATATGCACTTTCAATAATATTTCAGAGCACCAAGAGAAAAACAAAGAATACTGCAAAATGCACTATGAAAAGTTGAAACAAAATAACACTAAGAGAAGATTGATAAAATTAGGTATGGGCAAAATAAAATTAAAAGCATAAATTTTCACAACCAATGCTGCTGAAAATCATATAATATCATCGAAAAATGTATACAAAGGAATGTACTCTCCGAACTTAAGTATTATATAAAAATTATTAAAAAATCAGTAAACACAAAGTACCAGAGATTAATATAAGATGTAACTGCAAGCTACTTTGGTTAGATCATCATTTTGAAGTGTTCTATATGAAAGAATGAATGTTATTTATACTTGTTGATAATCTAACATATTTCATGCAAACTTGAGTCAAATTGTGAAATGTATAGAAATATTCAGGGCTTCTTTAAAAAACATAAAACATGTTAAGATATACCAGGTTTGCATAATAGCATAGTCCATTAAAATAACTGCTTATTCGATGTTGGCATTTCACGCACATACTACAAATTTTCTAATGTAGCCTACACCTTGTTCTAACTCGTATTTTGTAAAACTTGAAAGTTAATACAGTACAGTTATGCATTGCAATATTAAAAAATCCTAATGATAAGGTTGAGATTTTTTGATTGTCTGAAATTAACTTTCAAATAAGTATGTCAGTCTACTAGGCTAAAAACGTTGGTTTAGCCAGCTTTCCCAAGTCGTCTAAAAACTTCCTTCTTCACACTTTCAATATACAAAACTTGCTGGCTAGGAAGAAAACGTTCAATGAGAGAGCGAGGAATCATTCCGCCTATATCTACGTTGATGTACAAACATAAATTGGATTTGTTTGGATTGTTTTTGTATCTGCGTACTGCATAACCGGTCGGATGGTTGTGAGCACGAACATATTTGGATGTTATGGGGCGTTCCGCAACTTCAATATTTCCAGCAAGTATCCATGAGATTCTGTCGAACTCAGCATCATCACTAGGTATATGTTTTTTAAAGTAATATAAATCCAAAAACTCTCTGGAAGAAATCATCCCCATTCCAGCAGAATGTGTTATGAATATACCGATCATCATTTCATCAGATATATTACGAATGCACTGGAAATCTTTAACACTATTGTCCCACCTCAATCGTTCTTCTCTGATTAATGGAGGTCTCATAACATCATATATTGCATCATCTGGCGCATCAATTACACATTCAAATTTGTATAAGTGACCATTAAAATGAGGCGATTTTCTGTATGCAATGCTCATACCATCACGAGGTTGCATTGAGGTCCAGCTCTGTGTGTCTATGTGATATTTCATCACTTCTGCTTCAATCTTACTGGCCTGCAATTCATAGAATGCCATTTTGGAAACTAACTTAGATACAGGTAAGCAGAATTACACAGAATAAGGTACGATAATTATTAGAATTCAACCACGGCAAAACAATGACTCTTTTCTACGCCTTTCCCAAGAAGCAGTCTTGAAACAAAATTTTCCAGTCAAGCATTTGTTTGTTTATACGCGCATGTACAACTGAGTTCCACGCGGAAGTTGATATTATCACAGAAATTTTTTTTAACGGATTCAATTTCGTATAATAATTTACTTTTTTCATCTGTGTTAATATCATTTTTTCCCTATTTTTTGCACGATTTTTGTCTTTTACTAGTTGGAAAAAATAAACTCGACTTCTCATAAAATCAGACACGATAAACATTTGATTATAAGAATACAGGGTAAGAGTGAGTAAGGCGAATATGGAAGAAATGTTGTTAGCAGAATCAATGACATTAAACAACATGATAGGCAACTCTGACGTCACTCCATAAGACTACATGCGAAAGATTGTATTTCATGATACGCTCCAATGCACATATTTCTCGTCGCCTTTCGCGACGGTTTTCCGCTTGCTTTTGCTACTCGGCGTCTTCTTTACGTGTAGTACCTGCCTTTTTGCGCCTGTAACGAAAGAAAATAATCTCTATATCTGAGAAGTTTTGCTCATTTGGAAAGCTGGAATGGCAGACAAGCTGTAAAGAGTAATTCTGAACATCATAGACGTTTTTTTTATCAGAGAATATTACAAACGCGATAGCGTAAAGATTTGTGTGAAACATTTTGCAGATAATGACAAAGTTCAAAGTTAGTAATTTTAATGTTTGCGCTTAAACATTGAAATTTCATTTAAAGAGGGTGTCATACAAAACAGCAAAACTGTTTTTACTTTTCTCAAAGGTGCTGTGATACAATTCCATAACACAAAGTTTGCACCTATCGAACTTGTTTTAGTAGGTGAATTTATTAGACATATTACATATTCAGTTAATCGTAGGTAACATTACTGGTACATAATGCCTCGTAGATAGGTTTGTGTCTAAATTTAGGAATTTAGCTCATAGCCCGCTAATTAATATTATCTTCTATGCAGGAGATTGCAGGGCTGATTCAACTTGCAGCCTTACCAATCACCTGACGATGCTCATTTAGTTTGTCTCGAGCAAGTCTTCTTGAAAGACTTGTGTGAATGGAGACTACCTATATGTTTTGCCTTCCTCCGATTTTAGAAGACAAATTCAATCTGGGGAATTTTGCATATAATTCTCATTGATTGTTGGCTGTTTATGATTCCTATTAAATGTGAATTCTGATTATATCAAAGAGTTAAAACATTTTTTACGTAATTTACGGGCACTTTTTTCTTGTCAATACTCCAAGCTGAGGTAATAAGCAAGACAATACATTCATGTCATCTGAAAGCAAAATATAAACACTAATTAAAAGTTTGACACATTGAGATAATACATCATGACAGAAAATACAAAGATACAGTATGTATGACCATCACATGGTAATTAAAATTAAAAAAAAAATTAATAGAGGCTGTGGAGTATGAAAAGTTCAAGACAAAGAAAAGAACAAAAGTTCATAGCTCATGAACTCTCAATTCTGCCTCCATTGCTTTGTGAAGGCCAATATATTCCGAGTGGCTGAATTGGTTTACCTTTATGATAGCAACGGTTTTGTATTTAATATAGCGAGATTTTTTTTCAATTTAATTGAAGTGATATTATTTCCCAAAGGAATGCTTGAATCGTCTAGAATAGATCAGTGGTGTCAAACTCATGGGTTTCGAGAGCTGCATTGCATGTTGGAAATTGTAAAAAGGGCCGCAAACAGTTTTTGATAATGTATACTCGAGAGATATTTTTCAGATAGTTTTAGTTTGTGACATATATTGTGATGCAACTAATCAGTTGGATTAAGTTTTATTATTTTCTTTAATTTCAAATGCAATTACATATTAATATTTGCATTCCACTATTATTGCAAGTTACTGTATTTATTACAAAAAATCATAAAATTCCATGTACAACCATCAAAATCATTTTTGAACAAGCCTTGGTTAAGGAAAGAATAAAATATACACTAAAAATGACTTAATCTAAATATATGAACCTAAAATTAACAAAAATACTACAGTATAAACTCAATGTTTTTTTTAATTACATTTGTCCTGACGTTTGGCATCTTCTTTGTGTCACCAGCATACTAAGGCCAGGCTGAAATGATTTTATAGTACCAACTCTAACTAACGAGGTCACATGATCATGGGTTAATCTGTATCTTTGCAAAAGTTTAATTAATTCCAGTAATGCAAAAAACTTACTTTTATCATTTCATGTATAGATCAGTAAAAATAAAAATGACAGATTTTTTCGACAAAACATTTCACGCTACATTGCATGGCATAGGATTGCTTGAATTATTATTGATATTGATTTTTAGTAACTAAGTCGTTGTATATTTATATTAATATTCAAACACATGGAAATTTTCTGTTCGGAGTTGGTCTTCGAATTTGTCATATTGACTGCTGAGCTTATTGTGTTTTTTCATTGTACTGATGGAAATATGACAAATTTAACAATGTGCTTCAGAATTTTGTGAAATGCAGAAATATTGCAACTCCCATTTTCTTCGAAAATGCCACCTTCTTCGTGTACTTTAATTTAATCACTCAAGTGTTTTATTCAGTATTCTTTTGCTAGCTTGATGTGTATTCTTAATTGAGTCAAAATGTGAACAAAAAAAATTAACTTTCTAAAACTACTTTCAGTAAATTGTTTTCTGTGTGAATATTCAATTTCACTTTAAAAGGTTTGAAAAATCTTTTACATTCAAATAAAAAAAAAATTCCAAAATACTATTACAATTATTGTTAAGCGTTCGAGGGCCGCACTGGAAGTTCTCTGGGGCCGCGAGTTTGACATCCCTGGTCTAGATTGAAGTTGTCTAAAATATATAACATTATTTTATCATGAATCATGATTATACCCTTTCCTGAATTTCTTCTATAGTACTACCAAAATTTGATGAACCAAATATAACACAGGTGTAGTCAGTGAACCGTAATCCTCATTTTTCAAAGCTGTTTTAAGTATGTCTGGCATGTTTTGTGCCTTTTTACAAAGAAGACCGCTTATGCAATCTTACGCTTTGGAATTTTTAGTTATTTCCCTCAAGCCCTGCAGGATGTAGGGGCCATACACAACTTTACCGGAGGGTCAAATGTCTTTGCATTCCTCCATAGGTTGTTCTTCTATTGCAAACATTTATGGAGTATTCTAATCATATTTCTTGGAATCAAACTGTCACTGATATGTCGCCAGACTTCTGATATCTCCCCTTCAGCTACAGTTGTCCTGTGAATAAATAATAGGAAATTGAGGTTAGACGAATAGTTGAAAGTTTTGTTTTATGTCGGCCTAATTTCTTGATTGATATACTCACTATTATTGCTATTGCCTCTTGTGCTGCAGGAGTCTCACAATGCTTAGACAGGTCTGTCCACAACTTTCACATCTGTAGGAGAGGAGATGTATTAATTTTCGTTAAGAATAAATAAAGCAGTCTATATGATTCAGAATGGAAAAGCTAATAAACCCAATATCTTATGTTTTTTGTAAAAAATGTTTTACTGAATTTGGTATATAAACCAACTAATAAAGGGGTTTAGTCAGAAAATTATAAGCATTCGTGGCTCCAAATACTTGAGAGATCAGACTATACAATATAGACCGGTATGAGTGAAATTTTAGGTGAACTTGTTAACCCGTTGATTCAATACGCAAATAAAAGTGAATGAGCAATAGTATGTTACAGCAATAAGTATATATCCTCACTGATTAAAAAAATCTAAATGGAGGTGCATGAACTATTTGAAACCATAAGGGGTAAGTAAATATGCAATTCCGGCAGATGGCCAACTACGTACCGTACTGAATTATAAACTTCGTAGTATTTGACAAAAGCTGGCTTTCCCGCATGTACTTAACAGTGCGATGCCCGGGTGTGATATACAACAATAGTATTTACCTTACTTTTTTCCGATTTCTTTTTACCTCCAATTTTCCACATATCATTAAAAACCACAACAATTGTCGAAGCAGGCTCGAACACCATTCGTGCTATGCCTTGAAAGCAACACACATCCGCTCGTTTTCGTCTCGTCAAGTATGTGCATTGGAGCGTGCTATCGAATACGATCTTCGGCCAAAAATGCCGGAGTTGCGCATCATGTTGTTTAATGTCATTGGCAGAATCAACCTAAATATAACACTGAAAAGTTTCCAGCTGATGCTGGAGGTCAGTAACATTGAATAGGAGTTGTACCACGAACATCAGGATAATGTTGCAGCTGAACATTACTTATCTATCTGCCGATCCCCACTTCACTTGTATATGTTAATTTACTTAACTTTTATAATATATGTGGTATATATTATTGTAGGGTTACCATATTTTTGTGACTTCAAAGTGGAACATCTCTAAAGACAACAACCCCTTAGCTGTGATTTTGTAACTTTACATTTTCCGATTCTACTACATAGGCATACATTTAAAGCTATCCCGGCTGTCTTCATTGACCATATTGTCATCGGAATTCATGCGCATATTTTCTGTCCAAATATCAGGTTCAGTTCGAAAAATAGAAAGGAATTGACGTTAACGATACCGGTACAAATAATTCGAATTTAGACTACTTAGTATTGGTTTTACATGCGATACGTTTTCTAACAATGTTAGCGGGAAACGATGGAACAAACGCATTCACCTTCAGTAAGTAGGCTAGCGCTGCGCTACGCAGAAACAACAGTAACGAGAACATGTTCGTGTATTATGCTGGATGGCTGAACGCCAAAGCGGGACTTTTGGCTGACTTGTCAGGACGGCGGGAAAAGACGCTAAAAATCGGGACTGTTCCATACGCTTTGGTCCCGCCTAAATAGGCCGCGAGCCGAGGCCCTGAAAAACGCCTAGAAAGTGAGTTTCGTAGCGCACATCAGGTAACTACCTGAAAATGATTTTAAAATGTTCCTTAAAAATTTAGTAACAAATATTGCCTTGTTCCCACTTCCAAAAGTTGCACGTTTTACGGAAAAGACGCTTTTACTACAAGAAATATGTGCTACGATCTGTCCTATATTCTCCACATTTTCGGCACTGAACAATGACTTCTGCATGACGTAACAATTGAATTAAACCAGCTGTTAGCGAGCGGATGAATATTAGTTATTTCTGCTCGACCTTGCGCTGAGTTGGGCAGGCTTTCCATAGCCCTGTTTAGTTATTATTAGTTGAGTTATGCTAAGACGTTGTTGAAAAATGTATAAGTAAATTATTAAACACTTGTAGATCCTTACCACGGATATGGGCCGTGAGACGAAACCATGAAAACGCCCAGAAAATGAGTTTCGTAGCGCACATCTGGTAACTAAATAAATTCTTCAGTTTTGTGTGAAAACGAACATAATGAACGCATTACAGCTTGTTCCACAATCCTGGTGCGAAATTGAATATAAGAGGTTCCCGGAAATTCAATAACCATAAGTTTACAACGCATACATAAGAACTATACAATTCGAGAGCCCTACAGCACACTAACACAAATGTATTCCTGTAATGTTTTGCCTGACCAAAATCGGACTTCCTCAGTCAATCATAATTTATTAGGTAGATTACGAAAAATATGGCATACATGTAACCAACAACAAAAAATACTTTAATTGTGTGACAGGAGTCGGGAGTGACCTCGAAAGCAGCGACACCAACAACGCCGATTCACATTTGAGAATAAATTTTATGTAATAACCACAAGCAGTTTACAACAAGAACAGCATAAAAAGCTACATCCATTTTATAGAAGCTATCAAGTATCAAACGTATTTATTTTTAAGCAATGAAGTCACAAATTAACATCGTGAGCACGAAAACACAAATAAATCAGTTATTTCTCACTTAGAAATTTACCGCAAAAGTCAAGAAAATTAAATGAATGTACAATATGTACATAACATAGTGAACAGAAATATTACAATTTACAATTAATCTTTTTTTAGTTTATGTGGTTATGTATTTGAACAAAGGCAATAATATTTCTAGAAACAGGACTACGACACTAACAAATGTCCGAAAAAAAAAAAAAATGTATGATACTTATTAAATCAACTGTAATATCTAATTCACTTTCTTCTGAATTGTTTTCGAAATCCACTATCTCAAAAATCGACTTTTCCTCTATAGGTGTACTGTGATTTCTGCAGTCAATACAAAAACAAAAATCTGTGCAATTTAAGTTGATTTTGGCACACTTTCATAAATTATTTTGACTATTTTTCTTTGCAGTTTGCCAACTCAAGAACTGATTTGAGGGCCACATGCTTCTTCAGTGAATCATTGTTGGGTGGAGAGTATAATCCTTATGTTTGACAGTGTTAAATAGACGTGCCCTGGTATCATTTACATTCTTCATATCCTCTTCAAATTCCTCAGCTTTATTTATTAATACCTCGTTAACCTCAAAAGATCTTCATAGTCGAGGGAAAAAAATGAATTGAAAATCTCAATGAAGTCTCCAACATGAATTTGATGGGCAGTTCCAATTGCAGAAAAGTGCTAAAGTATTTCAATATGAATAGCCCATCTAAGCTGTTTGCAACTATTATGATTCTCATATACCTTTAAGCTTCAAGACTTCTTGTTTAATCCATTTTATAGCACTGATAGCAGCAGGGATCAGAGCCTGCGTTAGGTCGGATTGGTGGAACATTGCCGTTTTCTTTTGTAGTACAGTATCTAAAATAAGGAAGAAAATAATATTTGGAGCAGCATGATTTTAAAAATACCCCTAAATACTAACTAATACCTTGAATACATAATGCATTTTATCTGATGTACTAAATGAGCGTAGCGTATATATGCTCATTGCATGTTCTACAGTCCAGCAGTGTTTGCATACCATTACTAGACTATATCTACACTAAATTTTGATATATCACAGTCTGAAATGTCCTATGACAGTATGAGTATGGACTATAGACTATATTTTGAAACATCAACTGTTTGTCTACAACTTCATTTCTCACCTCTCAATCATTTCCAATGCTACCTTTCTTTCCACTCCGGCATAACTTATCATTGCTTCCCAGGTTCTTGTCGACTCTATGAATTTAGATTTAGACCAACCGACATTAGTAAAATTGATTAATTTCTTCTCTTTCACACAACCGTGCATTACAGAAACAGCCATTCATTTCTATTTCCAAATATGCTGTGGCCTATATAGTAGTATAAGTCTGCTGAATAGTCAAGAAGAGTCATTAAATTAATCATAAACATTTCATGCAAGTCAGAAAATATCGTTGTTTGTGACATATTATTCTAGGTCTAGCCTTCCTTGGAGTTACCGCACCGTACCTATTTAACAACGTCTTATGAGCTAGTGCTCAACTAAAATTGCTATTTATGGCAAGGATATACAAGTGTTTAATATCTTACCTATACTTTTCAACACCTCCTTAGAATAACTGGACTAATATTACCGGTAACTGAAAAAAACTATGGAAAGGCAACGCAAAAGCGAGCAGTTGAGTACATCTGATATTCATCCGACCACTGGGGATCCACCTACAGCTGACTAACTTGACTGTTACGTCGTGCAGAAGTCTGCGTTCATTGGCCCATGATACCGGAAAAGCAGAGAAAATAAGACAGATGGTAACACATATTTATTGTAGTAAAAGCGTCTTTTCTGTAAAACGTGCAACTTTTGGAAGTGGGAACAAGGCAATATTTGTTACTAAATTTCTAAGGAACATTTTAAAATCATTTTCAGGTAGTTACCTGATGTGCGCTACGAAACTGAAAGATAAATGGCCTCGGCTCGCGGCCTAAAAGCGGGACGTATGGTAAGCCTATATTATGGTATATATATATGATGTTACACCGCTAGGTGACGTTATTGAGGCGTCCTATTTGACCTCGTATATCTGAGGCTGTAATCGATCGATCGTATTCTATCTGTGCACATGTTTTGTATGACTTGCCGTTCAGTCTGCTACTGCTATGGTGTCTTAATTTTGAAGTGCTTGGCTCTTGCAATAAAGTAGTGTTGTAATGAAAACTCAGTTCCTATTTATTAAGAACTAAAGGCCGAATACACTACAATATGGGCTTCAGTTCAAACTTGATATGTAGGCTACAACTCACAGTCCTACTATCAACCGCCCATTTTAGGACCAACGCAATATCAATAACACGAGGCATCAAATATTGAAGTAAGATTCGTGACGAAATATCTATCGACATGAATGAATTGCACATAGAAACCTGCAATTGCTTGTCAAAATATCATAAAAATGAATCAAAAAATAAAACTTGATTTAATAAACTGCGTCAGGTATTCTTGTGCTATGTGGCAGGAGTTTGCAAGGACTTTAGTATACTAAGTTCATTATCCAAACTATGCTGTAACTTACACAGTCTTTCTACCAGGCCATCTTTCTACAAACATTTCTCCACCGTTATATCGAGATGACATAAACGGAACTTGGGTGTACAATCGTAGTCAACAAAACAGTCCATGCCCAAAATAGCCCGAGGAATATTTATGTCAGCCATAGGCTGCTCATTTCTGCAGCAACAGACAATCAGTGTAAAAAAAAACACAATAAAATCAACCTGAAACCTAAAAATCAACTTTAAAAGAACTATTTCGTCATTATCATAATGATTCATACTGCTGGCCGTGGTCGACTATAAATTTACCATTACAACCGGATGAACCACGTCATTCTTGTTTCTCGCAAACTTGCCATTATATTGCGTTGCACTTCCCTAAAACATGACCATGGTCCGCCCAAAACATCGTTTATGGTCCTAGGTACCGCCTTTTTGCATTCTTCTTCCACGCTGGGATTCTATTTCATTTGCTGCACCTCGGAAGTTGCCGTCATCTATAAGCGTGTGTCACTAAACGCACTACTAACGGTTTATTAATTAAAATACTTTGTCCAACTACATCACAAAATGCATTTTAACTTTGTACGTATGCAAAGATGCACTTTTATAGAGCAAATGTTTCGTTGTGCACAGGCACAAGAAATCGCGCTGCTAGCTTAAAAAACTCATAGCAGCTACTATTACATAGTGATATTTATATATATATATATGCTTATTCATTTAAGGGCAATCAATCACCCACTATATTAATGCAATAATTTAACGAGGCTTCAATACATTATGGATGAGATCAAAGTGCTGAATATATCGGAAATATGGGTCCATTTTGAGCCTATACTAATAATATTACAGATATGGAAAACATAGCCGATATAGCTGATACCCGATCGGTGCATCTCTACTACGTAGGCTATACTGCAGTCAACCGCAATTCAATCCAATAGGTAGTAAATACCGCATATATATGCGTGGTCGCATCCACTTGTAAATAATTACATTTACCAATAGCTGTCTAAATTCCTTCATTTAATATTATTTTGGGTAAGATCTGAGGTTTGAATACATATATATAATTATATATATATATATATATCAGAAATATCGTTAAGTACATTTGACGATGCCGACATCTCCGAAATGGCCGATATTGCTAATACCGATGCAATAACAACATAATATAGTTAAAGAAGACCTCATGAATACTACTGTGATGTAGGTGCTAAATATTTTCTATTACCCAATCTATTCTGAATTAACGAGTTTTGCTAATAATAAAGCTCATTTAAGAATCAATTCAAAATGAATTAGAAACTCAAAGTTGTAATGCAACATTTTTACATAAAAACAATACAAACACAAATAATTATACACACAACTGACAAAGATACACTATTGCTTCTTCTTCATGCAAGTGGGTCGCGGTTAACTTCAAATACTTTGCATAGCACTTTCTAGTAAAAATCAAAATGTATCACGTTATTAACGTGACGTTAATATTCATTCTTGGCTATTGTTGGGTAATCAAAACTTGAAAATGAGGCTTATTCGGAGAGCAATATTAAATATTATTGTTATTATTATATTGATTTGGAATTCAACGACAAAAATTGGTGGGCGTTAAGTGAAATGATGAAAGAAGTAAAATAAAAAGTTCGCAATAGCGCGTATATAGTTGATAAAAATAAGTCATCGGTAATACAGATATCATACCAATCTTGTTAGCTCCAGGAAACTCTGTTCCTTGTGGTATTTATTCTGCTTTTCTGAACATTCGATTTGAATTTGGAACAGAAAATATTTTTCGCCCTTTCCCTAAAGTCGGTATGTCTAAAATTATATATGAAACAATTCCATAAGCTATTGGAAAGAAAAGTAATAACTACAAAAGCCTCCGAAGTTGTGAATACTGCAAAATTTGCATTGCGGAATAAACCTGCCGAGCCCAAAATTTGTTGCACGAATGAAGGCAAAACGCAAACTGTAAACACCCCAATCATTATACAAAGAGTAATTGCAAGCTTTTTTTCCATGACAATTCGGCGACGACTCCTTGGCGAAGCCGAAGAGTCCTTTGATGGCCTTCTGATATTCGATCTGGTTTTCACAACAGAGTAGACGGCGATTCCATTTATCCACGTCATTATTAGTGGAATTCCAATAACTGCAAGAGCGGCGTGGCCATTAGCAATAGAAATTAGAGATCTGGACGTGGTCATATGATAACCTACTGATGGAATTAATATTGGCAATAGCGCGACAACCGAAGATATACACCAAGTGGCTCCTATAACGTAGTATGCTATTTTTCGTGTGCTTCTGTGAGAATACTTCATAGGTCGCATCATAGCAAAGACTCGATCAAATCCCGACATTATCAAAGTTAACAGTGATACAGATACAGATAATGTGGTAATGAATCCGATTGTGTTGTAATAACCGAACGGAAGGTTTGATGAAGAGTACGAGAAGTACGTCGTTACTATTATACTGGGAAAAACAAATAATCCTACAATCAGATCGGAGAACGCAATTGACATCTTGTATAAAGATTGGTTGTTTCTTAACTTCTCGGTCTTGAGGAAAACTCCGATGACAACTACATTTGCGGTGGTGGTCAGAAGACTCATGATGACACATATAATGGATATGAAAATGATAGTTATTTTGCACCTGGAACAAAAAATAAACCAAAGTCATAATTCCACCTATATACAAATCTATATTTGCAGTCATTAATAATTTCAGTCTATCTATAAAAGGGTATATATTATTGCGGTTATTCAATTCGTAGCCTACATCTCTCCTGCCCGCAAAGTCGATATCACAAAGTAAAAAATACAACGTAAAGAAAAAATCGGTCAAATTATAAGGAACAAGCTACAAAAAATTTATAGTAACATAATAGTTTGAATTCTGGGGATGATGAACACTTTCACTTGCGCACAATTTACAAGATTGGAAGAGGAAACTGAATAGGTATTGAGTATGTATGTCAGTTATTTAATTCGGTCATTTACTTACCGCATAGGAATACACGTCCACGGAGAAAATTTATTAAAATCAGGTACTGCAGAGTTGACTCCACACCAAATATCACCACAATATGGCTGATAAATGAACATTACTTCATAATAATTTCCAGATGGCAAGTCGAACATATTAACTTGTACACAAGGATCGTCAAACGAATCATCATTTATACTTATGTTGACCAGCGGTAAAACAAGATCGTTCCAGGAGTCGCCATAAATATATTCTGTAATATTTGACTTCGCGATGTTGTTTTCATAAATATTATATCTTCTGAGGACGTCCAGTGAATGCATTAAGCAATAATTTCTGAATTTGGTTATGTTACAGAACCTTGAATAAACTAATTCTGAAAAGGGAGTATACGCAAAATATCGTCTCCCACACTCTTGTTGCAATATTGTTGAACAGTTGAAGCGATGCATCTGGTCCATAAATGCTGCAATACTAAAATCATATGAACTACGCTGGAACGAGAAAAAACTTTCACAGCAGTTCTCCCGGAATTGAACAGTTTTATCAAAAATAATTTTCGAAATGCTGCATTCGTCACTGAGAGTTACGTTCTTCGAATTTCTCCCGCTGCAGTGTGTGATTAGCAAACACGCCACTAGTAGATAGCACGACATGAATTGGAAAGCCATTGTTAGTTTTGAATTATGCAATACTACTAAAATATTTCAAAAATAATTAGTCCGCTTCCACCTTGTTACTTTTTATAGCTAATTGCATTGTCAAATTTCTGTATCATTTTCAAAATAAATGTAAATACATTTATCGTATAAAAAAAGAAGTACTCAAGAAATTCAGAAAAGCTGCACCTGTTGTTTGGTCTCACACATGACTACTATACAATCTACATTAACCACATGTTGATGTTACTGGAATAACGAGGATAACTCAATTCATATGACTCATCTTAGTGTTTATTTTGTGTTATAATCATAGTTGGAGGCAAATATTTACTAATATTTCCAGAAATAATTCCATACACACTTCATTGGGTTCACACATACCAATGATAAGATAATATTGATGAAACGGGGACGCTTATTTGCTTAGAAATTTAATAATTCATAAAGCATTTGTGCGTATAAGATAAACTTTTTAAAGATGTTTTATTCGCTACACGATACTGACTAATTCAATGGTCTATCACCAATGACCGTTTTAATATGTTAATTCGCAAAAGTAGCATGTAGGTAGGTATCGGTCTACGTTCATGCGAGTCCTCGTCGACGGGTACTTTCAGTCAATTTAGTAAGCATACAAAAACGTTGTCTTATTTTATGTACCTACACCGAAATCCATTTTAACTGATCGTGTTCGTCTTCGCCGAGGAACATGTATTTACAAACATAAAATAAACATATTTATCATTTTGACTGCTGCGAATTAGATTTCCTAGAAATCCATAAATATTAATCTGTGCTACAAATGCCATGAAGGCTTCATTTCCAGTCTATACCCATAAAACGGTAGCGTAGTGTCAAACAAATTCAAAATATTATATTCAAATATACCCTAAGTAAGATTTATATCCGGTCTAAAATACAGTGAAATCCAATTTGATATACATAATGATAATCTTATTGGCTAGTGCGATGTCACACATCTTTGTATGTAAGGTTTGTGGTGGGTTTCGTTCAATAATCAATTTCAATAGGGAAAGACCTGTATAAACTTAACTCGATGATAAACGACAGCGTTGCAAGTTTATTATACTTTTTATTCTGACGTTCCGGGAAGGACTCCGATAAAAAAAAGAGTATACGGATGATCCCACGATATTTGATGATATTTTATTGGATGATAATACACAGGAATCGTAGTTGCTCAAACTTCAGTATCCAATTTGCAATTTCTTTCAAGTCCGATTTTTCGCTCGCTTGGAATTAGAAAAAATTGGACATTTTGATGCAACTTCTACCGTTGCGAATAAAATTTATCACACTATTCTTGCAGTGAGACAATAACTTTCGCATACTTCAGGAGTTAATGTGGGATCGTCCACCAGTAAAGAGAAACGGTATTCGGCAAGTTCATTTTTGAACCATGGCATCGGCGAAACTCGCATTGTTCTATTGGGCTTGCCCAGACTCAAATATCATATATATGTGTGCTACCGATGGGTTTCTACGAGACTCACTACTTTCCCGTCTTCTAATCTATACTTTTGCGCCGGTGGATCAGTATGCATATATATAATGCAAGAGTGAATATATCTATCCTAAGTGATTCAATAGTCCCGCTGCGCACAGATACAAATATATTTCTGTAACGTTTCGCCTGACCAAGGTCAGACATTCATAGTTCAACTAAACATGTCTTGGGAAGTCTAACCTTGATCACACGAAAGTTACAAAAATATATTTGTGTTATTGTGCAGCAAAACTATTGAATCACTTATCTTATGTGATTATTGGATTTTGCACATGTACAGTACTGTATTCTTCCAGTTTTAAAACACATAGCAGGCGCACCATAACACTGGTCCAAGGCAATTTTTTGAGATACCGGTATGTTATCAAATTCATTCAACATCAGACGCGATCGACTATTCGTGATCGGCGTGTTGGCTACCCCTGATTATCCCGAATAGGTCAATGCAGTGTTCCGTATTATATTGAGTCAAACTCTTGCAACATATTCCTTGTATTGTTCTCTTCGATAAAACATAGAAGGAAGATCGGGACATTTTTTCTTTTGCATCTTTGGAGCCCCATAACCTGCATATTTATTGGCATTGCTAATAGTTTTTATTCAGCGAATGATAAATTCAAGAGCGACGCACATTTTAACAAAATGCTTTGAAAAATGTTTGTCAAGTGCAGCACTGCACCCCACAGGTGGGGCATATTCGAAAATATTTCAGACTTTTTTCTGCAAATTCCTTAAATAAATTTTCCGCATTTTGCAACGTAAAACCATTTTGTCGACATACCTACCTTTTCAAAAGAGTCAGCCATTATAGAATTGCCTGTTTAATATTTCAGATTCTTCCCACTGAATCTGAAATAAGTCTGTTCTACTTTTGGATTATGCATTATGCCTAATTTCAATCGATTGAAAATTAATTCTTAAACTTTCATTCTCAGCAACAACGTCCATAAACATCAAATACGGGCTTCCAGCGTCCAAAAAAAATCGCTGAACTGTCCAATAGAACAACAAAACCAACATATATACACCAATAACTAACCGAGTTAAATGTCTCATTCCGATTAAAATCAAATAAGTTACGAATACACCCTGAGAAAACATATATCTTTGAATCTAGAGCAGGGGTTCCAAAGCTTTTTTCAGGACGACCCCAAAGACAACTTTCAAGTGTCCAGTGCGACCCCAGGTCAATATTTATATATATATTTCATGAAACTTTAGAGCTTCTTTCACTGGACTTTTGAGTTTGGTCATGTGGTGGTATTAAGTAAAATAAGCTAAAACCCAACAGTGAAGTCACAATAAACACCTACATTTTCAATTACAAAAGCATAGAGTGATGCCTATGTGCCTATTTTACATTAAGCCATGATACAAACTGCTAAATTTAACATGGTTTGTCAAATCTTAGCTAAGTTGTACATCCATCATCTACCATACCTCAGCGACCTGGTTGGGATGCTACCTATTTATCACTCCGACCCAATTTGGGGTCGCGACCCCTGGTTTGGGAACCCCTGATCTAGAGTATATTTCATACTGGGCAAGAGGATAACCTAATAATTCTCTAGCCTCCAGCACTCAACGGACAAAAGATTGTCAGATTAGAGCAGGTTCATCTAATCCCAGGCCCAACTCAACGTTTGAACTGAATTTAGGTTGCACAAAAATAGTTTTATTCCGTAATACGAAATTCTAGGGAAAATATATTACAGATTTAAGACAAAACCAACGACTTAAATTGAAAACCTGCAACACTCAATGTCACAATTACCATTCATTTTGGCTTCCATGATAGGTTGATTTGAGATAAAAATCGGATTATGGAATATTGGTTCATACCATGATATGTCCTTTTTTGTGTATAAATAGTGATAAGCGCAAAATGTGATAAAGGTCTTTTGATGCTTCATTATCCTTTGAAAATATCTCGCGATATCAAAAGCCTCATGATTTCGTTAGTTCCTTCCAAAATTTGATTAACACGAACATCTCTCATGAATTGTTGAACAGGGTAATCTTTCAAGTATCCATATCCACCAAACATTTGCAGTGCTCTGTTAGTTACCTGTAAAGTTTTTTTTATACAGATATGGCTAGGGCTGAGGAGTTGGGAGGGAGCTAATTGTGGAGTCAGCATGTTGGAATCAAACTCCCCGATTTTAAAGGTAAACTTTCAGACTTTTAATAGTGATAATCGAAATTAAAACACAATAAGTATCAAAGGGACCTTGCCATTTTCAATACACATTCAAGAAAAAAAAAGGTTGTATACGCTCAAGTTTTTGTTTGGATTTTCTCAGTTTGAAGCTGAATTTTTTTACAATCTAAATTTGGGAACCAGAGTGAATAATTTTATCATTAGTTGTTTTCAAAAGGCTCAAGAGTTTCAATTCTTAATGGAATGGATGACAAATAAAAATTTTTAAAAACAAACCCACATCAAAACAATTATCTGTTGCATGTAACTTTGCCATTGCACACAATGAAGGTGCACATGGCAGTGATGCATCCAATGCTTTTGCAGCTTCACGGACCGTCAGTCGAGATGTAACCAGCTGTGTGGCCATTTCTGCTAACATGTATTGTAGGTACTGAAAATTAACACAAAAATCATTATCAGAACATTTTTAGATATAAAGCTACAAATAGGATTTCAAATTGAATGGCAGAAATATATATCCAATCCTGCAAAATCAGGGATAATCTTGTGCAGTTTCGAGTATAACCTGATGTACTGAAATCTATATAGATTAGATTAGGTGTGGGAAATAGCTTTTGTCTATGACTTGAAGTCAACACTGTCAAAAAAGCAGAAATTCTTGGAAATAAACTTATGTCATAGATGGAAATTTATTGCATTAATACTGATGTTTCTTATGTAGAGAAAGGGTGTATAAAGCAAAAATAGTAGGATAGAATAAACATATTTATACTGGGGAGAGAAAGGTCATTAACACCGTTTAATCAATTTGCGAACCACAGCCTTTTGTTTGGGGACCAGTCCATGTCGGGTATGGGATTAGTTAGTCCCAACTATTTGTTTCAGGCATTTGGACTTGATCGTGGAGGAAGCCGTAAACCTACCAGCGGTCATGTGACCTCCCTATGGTGGTGAGGAGTCCAGCAATCCTCTTCCACATAATTATCTCTCACGGGATTCAAACTTGCAGGGTGTCAAGAATATTCCTAGCTTAGCATGATGTGCCACACTGCCAGCCAGCGCCGAGTATATCATACAAGTTCAACACAGATGGACCAACCATACACCGGCAAACAATGATCAGAACTAAGAAGTACAAACTTGATTTTCAGCTAGAGGTTTTCCGAATGCTTGCCTAACATTCAGGTGTTCTTTTGCTGCAAGCAGTGATGAATATGCCCCCCCAAGAGAAGTTGATGCTGAAAAGCAAATAAGCAACACATAAAAGTTGCAGATATAAAATAAAACGGCTCAAACAAAATATCAATGGTAATTTAGAATGGAGACAAATTATTTTCTTATCAGGTTCCACAAATAAAAGTTTGATACAGGTTAGAAAATCCCAAGTGTCAACTGCTATTAGAATAAGACAGGTTCAAACCTATATTAATTCTTCCACCATTCAATCCTTTCATTGCAATGTTGAATCCAAATCCTTCAGGTCCGATCCTGTTTTCTTCTGGTATTATACAGTCATCAAATGTAATTACACAGGTAGGTTGATTGTTCCAGCCAAGCTATGCATAAGAGGAACAGATAATATGATTAATGCATGCTCTAAAATTGTTCCATGTTGCTCTTAGTTGCCACTCTGCCTACTTGCAGCTACACAGATATAAAATTAGCTACTCATCTCAAGAAAATCTATATACTGACTAACCAACTGTTCATAGGCCAATAAATGTTGAGGGACCATCCTCTTGCATTTTAATGAAACATTCACTTATACATAGTATTGTAGTTGTACATTTTAAGAGGTAGCAAATAATGTGAGCTGCCTTTTTACACCACTCCTCGCAATATTGTAGTCAAAGCTATCAAATTCGAGCAGCCTTGTCATATATTTAAATTAAAATTACCAACCTTTTTTTCAGGTTTTGCAAATGAGAATCCTGGTGTTTCTTTTTCAACAATAAAACAAGATATTCCTTTTGGTCCCTTATCAGCAGTTCTGCACATTACTAGATAGAGATCGGTAGCACCTGCACCACTGATAAAAGCCTAAAAGATAAAAGTAATTTGTATTGTAACTTGTAAGTAAACATTACGTTAATTGACATAAACATAACATGCAGCTGATATATTATACAAAAATTTGTATTCCCTCAATCACGCTTTGAAAAGTTACTGCTCTTCAATAGAAATCTTCTGTCTTGATTGATGATGAAAAGCAGTGCACATATTTATTTTTATTTATTATTTAAATTATTGCATTAATACACAATCAATGAAAATAATTTCATAGAAAGGAGGTGGTAAAAAGATAATCCAATAAGGAAATAATGAGTAAAATCACTATTATTTAATTTGTTTCTATACCAGGATTTCCGTAACAGGGTTTGGACAAGCAAGCATAAAGCATATTGGTTCAAAAGCATAGTTATCTTTTCAGTCCCACTAGCTTACACGGTATGAATAGCTTCTTAGGATGTAGTCAGACAAAATGGGACAACCTTATTTGAATGGTAGAAGCAAGAACTTACTTTGGATCCAGATACCCTGTAATGATCTCCATCCTTTTTAGCCACTGTGATGAGAGCAGCTGCATCACTACCAGATCCTGAAAAATAGGCCAGAATATTTTACCATTTTTTTACTCAAGAATTTCTATCAGATAATTTATAATTTGTATATATCAAAAACAGGAACAAATGTTGACAACTAATGCTGTTTGAATCCATTTTACAATTTTGAGAAGACAATTGAACAATTCTTCACTTCTTGGGTACATGTGCTGTGTCCCATTAGAACTGGTCACTGGAAAAAGTTTGACTATTTTGCCATAAATACCACTTTTATTCTTCTTACAAAGCCTACTAAATTAATTATTCACATTGATTGTGATCAACAAATAAGATCTCTTTATATATTAGCCATCTTACCTGGTTCAGTAAGACAATAGGATGAGAGAATTTTCATGGAAGTTAGAGGTGGAATAAACTTTTCTCGTTGTTCTTTATTACCAAATGTGTCAATCATCCAAGTTACCATGCTGAGAATAAATAAAAACAAATTGTCATTCACACATTATATCTTTTAGAAAAAACAAAAGTGACCAGTGAAAACATGGAACTAAATCGAGGAAATAGTATCTTTTGTAATAAGATACATATCACAGTATCAGGACATCAAATCTTTTATTTTTATACTATAGGAGCTGAATGGAAGCGAGATATTTCACTTGAGCTCAGCTAGTGTTGCAGTGTTATTTAGCAAGGAGTATAAATCATGATTTGTTTCTGTATTAATCAAATGTTGAAGAAAAAAATAGGACTGCTTTTTCTTCTAAGAATTGCAGTTTTTATTTTGAATCAAATTTAATGTTTAGTCAGCTTGAATACAATTTCAAAGCATTGAGCAAAATTCATATTAAAAAGATATTCATCTAATTTACAGATGTCCAAAAAATGAGTTTGTACAGCATTTGAAATTTGCCATATAAAGTTATTCGTTTACTGCAACTATTTATTCACTTAATAAAAATAAGAATCATTTGAAAACCAGATTTTACAAAATCATGCAAAATTTGTCATCCAAATTAAAATCAACTTGACTCATATAAAGACTAACTTATGAATAGTGATATAAGCAGTTGTTGAGACACATCCTGATGATAGTGCTTCAAAAATCACAGATGTATCTAATCGTGATAAACCTAATCCACCATATTCCGTGCTTGTATATAAACCACCGAATCCCAGTTCAGCAGTACGTTTGATCACATCAACAGGAAAATGATTCTAAAGTAGATCAACATGAATAAAAATCAAAGTCACAAATAAAGTACAAAAAATTGACTTTACTTCAAACTTTTCTATAACCAAGACTCATAATATTGGTATGTTGGAGAAGACCAATCATCAGGAATATTAAAATATGTCATATATTGGATTCGAACCAGCAAATGTATCATGAAAAATGTTGCTGGTATGCATAATCTCAGAATCTGCTAATAGTCAAGTTTTTAGTGTTATTTGAAATAGCAATTATAACTTTAAAAGTATCTGATGCCTAATTCTTATGTCCCTGCGACACACAGCATACATGTGTAATTTTTTTAATGGCATTTTACAAATCACAAAGACACTATTATTTAATATTGTTAAAAAAAACTATCTAGAATACCCTTAAATAAAATATTCCAGTTTCCTTTTTCTATTTTTAAATCGCGTATCAGGACAAGATTATTACAGTATTATCATAATAAAAATTTTGTGAAACCTCTTCATCCCACTTTTGCATATTAGGCGCTAATTCATTTTGGGCAAAGTCATAGGCGAGTTTTTGGTATTCCTTCTGTTCATCACTGAGCCCAATCGTAGCTGGAAACGCAAAAAAAATAAATTAAGAATTGATGGATCAACCAAAAGTGAGACAAACAACAATTTGAAAGTGACATGCCCCAGAGTCCTGAAGTCACAATACTATGGTATGAGAACGGTAGAATATTGACAGGGGTTAGTAAGTGTAAGTCAGTAAGTGTTTATTCCGATTTTTCGTTACAACACAACAATACATGGCAAAACAAACAAATATAGGAAAATCAGGACAGTGGTGTCCGAAGATTATATTATTCTGATAGTTGGAATGAGTGATATCTACTCGTGTATCGGTATTCTACTGTCAGACTGTGGACATAACTCACGGTCAATGCAAGATGTTGTGTAGTTTGCTGCAGAACATAACTTGATTTGCTTCAAACTAGCTTCTTTCAGTGCGATCGCTCTATGAGCCACACGCAGCGAAGTACTGATCAAAGACAACATTATATAAATTCTGGAATTCTAAACGATCAACGAAGACACGTGTACACGTTACATGCCTTTCAGCGCTATCGTACCCCAGACCTATCTGCCTGCTGTAGACTGTCAGAGGGATTTGTGTGGAGCAACGCACGATGCCGTATTTTAATCATATATTTTGATACATTTTGACAATTTACGTGAATAATTTTTTCACGAAGTTGACCCGTAAATATATGGTTGACCTATAGACACGGCTGCTGTAACGTCCTTATTTCTGAGAAATGCCCTTATTTTGACATGTGTCCTTATTTTGGTTTTATTGCTGGAGGTTCATATACCGGGCACTTAGATTGGTCAATTCGAATGATTGATTTGCTAGAAAGATACCTCATCGATTGCTACACGCATTCATGACGCACTGACGTAATAACAGCAAATTAATTGCAATAGCCTAGCCTAGTGCTCTTCAACAGTGGTTCCACGGAACTGTAGGGTTCCGCAACACATGCAGTGGGGTTCCATGAGTTTATAGGGTTCCTTGGGGGTTCCGCGTAAAGGAAAAAATGACTGCGGGCCAGTAAAGTTGAAAAAATGATTATTCTTCTTTTCCATTTTTGGATGAATTTCTAAGTGCGCAACAGCAAGAAGGACTCCTAGATATCCGTAATGATATTAATTCTGAGGAAACCTTCGAAAAAAATGGGAAGGGATATTTTTGGATTTCTGTTCACAAAGAGGGTACAGCAATTGCAAAAATGCATTAAAAATTCTGTGTCAATTTCCCAATATCTATTTGTGTAAATCAGCATTTTCTGCTTTAACAACTATTAATAACAAAAAAGAAGTTGTTTAAAGAGTGTAGACAAGAGTATGAGAAATGCTTTGAGCGCCGTGGAGCCACGATTCAAGAAGAATGCAAAGAAAATGCAAGAACAACCTAGTCATTGAATTTCACGCTTGTTACCTTCTTTCTGTTTCGTTGATGAGGTGGAAATATTTGAATCACAAATATTCCGTGTTACGAGTATTTCGTGTTTTATTTTTGTTATTTGGGGTTCCATAAAACACGAAAAATGATATCAGGGGTTCCGCAATAACGAAAAGGTTGAAGAGCACTGGTCTAGCCTACCGGTAAAGATTAGTTCGTGTAGCCTACCTATCGATATCGCTGGAGCAAACTATAGGAGAAGAACCATTCCAGTACAAAGTAAGATTAGACATTGGTCACCCGGCATGAATACATTTTGTTTATTACATTGCGTTCTTTTTTATCTTATTATTATGTTTACCTAATTTCCTTATTTTTGGGTTAATATAGATGGCAACAGAGACAGTAAAATCTATGATAGAGAGAGAGATGGATATTTATTTCCACAAACAATGAAAAACAGCCTTTCCCCGACAACAGGGGTGGTAACTTTTTTGTGGCTTTGGAGCCAGGCCACACAAAAGGGGCCAGGCCACGGACAAATTGGGGCCAGGCCTCAGAATATTTGGGGCCAGGCCAACGCAATGGTAATGTTAAGACATCCGTATTTGTTTAGTTATATTTTTGTTTATAAGTAATGTGGAAACTGGTAATGTTGAGACATGTACGGTACCTGTACAATTGAACCGTACCGTATGTTACAACCAATGACGTTACAACTCGGGAAAATGCTGTATTCGAACACTTACTCATTACAAATGTAGAGGTATAAGTTTATTTCGACTCCATAATCAGCAATAGACGATAAAATAAAAGTAACTGATTATAGAATCGGGAAAGCAAACAAAACCTCAGGTAAAGTTTGAAGCGTACATATTTTAGATGGAAAGGTATTGATAAAAGTAGTACGTGTTCGCTCACCCAATGTATTACTTATGTGAGGGGGTTACATTATTGTAGTGTTTCTACTGGTCACCATATCTAGATATTTATATTCCTCACCGCATTCATTGTCTGTTTACTGCAGCGTAAACTGGGGCCTATATGTTAAAAAAACCTCAGTGGAATGAGTTATTACTTATCGATTTTAATCGGTAAGTATGTTGATGGGTATTTGTCTATCTGTCTGTTAGATGCACACGATTGAAACTGCTCCAGGTTTTGCACGTGCATTCATCATATGTCGTACCAGAAGCCTATCGATTTTGGAAGAATTATGTCGTATAATTAGCGAGTTATTAATTAATTAGTGATGGGACACAAGGTGTCACTATGGAGTAAGAGCGCTGTTTTGGGGGATCCCCTAACTTTCGATCGATAAGTCTTCGGTCTCTAACCGATGTTCTCGTATTTATTGCTTGTTGCATACCTTTTTGTGATTGTTAATTTGTTTAGCGAATATGTGTTGTTATATAATTAATTTCAAATAACTGAAAAGTAACCATTTATACAATAAATGGTTAATATATCAAAGAATAATTCCACCAGTGACTCAAATGCTATTATTAAATGAAGTTCGTACTGATAAATTGTGTAGTTCTAACTGTATTGCATAGGCAATTGACAGGGGTTTACACACTAAGATGTTTTAGATTTGTAATACAAATTGCAGGCACAACATATCGGTAGCTGATATATGCTATTACAACCACTGGTATCCCAATATTCAGCATACAAAAAAAAAAAACTACTCTTCTCCCGGTTATACATTAACATTATCCCTAACACAAAACAAGATCCATGCATACCAGTCGATTAACTGTGTTATACATTATCCCTAACAGAAAACAAGATTCATGCATACCAGTTGATTAACGGTTTCATTTATTGAAAAATATGCAAACACCAGATTGTCAGGATACCTACATACTCTTTTTGGAAATAAGAATCATCTCCAAGGGAGTCCTTTTTGTTAGCATCTTGAGACCTACCTATTATCGATAATTACTTTAATTATATTCAGCGTAATGAATATCAAGGATAAATGTTCAATCATAAGACTGTTTTTTCAATATAAGTCATCATAGGTATATCAGAAAAGTAACTGTAGTACGAACGCATATTAGATAAGCATAAGCAAGGAAATTGTAAGACTCTTGACTGGAACTGATGAACCTCACTGGACCTCAGTGAAATGAGTTATTACTTATCGATTTTAATCGGTAAGTATGTTGATGGGTATTTGTCTATCTGTCTGTTAGATGCACACGATTGAATCTGCTCCAGGTTTTGCACGTGCATTCATCATATGTCGTACCAGAAGCCTATCGATTTTGGAAGAATTATGTCGTATATTTAGCGAGTTAATAATTGATTAGTGATGGGACACAAGGTGTCACTATGGAGTAAGAGCGCTGTTTTGGGGGATCCCCTAACTTTCGATCGATAAGTCTTCGGTCTCTAACCGATGTTCTCGTATTTATTGCTTGTTGCATACCTTTTTGTGATTGTTAATTTGTTTAGCGAATATGTGTTGTTATATAATTAATTTCAAATAACTGAAAAGTAACCATTTATACAATAAATGGTTAATATATCAAAGAATAATTCCACCAGTGACTCAAATGCTATTATTAAATGAAGTCCGTACTGATAAATTGTGTAGTTCTATCTGTATTGCATAGGCAATTGACAGGGGTTTACACACTAAGATGTTTTAGATTTGTAATACAAAATGCAGGCACAACATATCGGTAGCTGATATATGCTATTACAACCACTGGTATCCCAATAATCAACATACAAAAAAAAAACTACTCTTCTCCCGGTTATACATTAACATTATTCCTAACAGAAAACAAGATCCATGCATACCAGTCGATTAACTGTGTTATACATTATCCCTAACAGAAAACAAGATTCATGCATACCAGTTGATTAACGGTTTCATTTATTGAAAAATATGCAAACACCAGATTGGCAGGATCCCTACATACTCTTTTTGGAAATAAGAATCATCTCCAAGGGAGTCCTTTTTGTTAGCATCTTGAGTCTTACCTATTATCGATAATTACTTTAATTATATTCAGCGTAATGAATATCAAGGATAAATGTTCAATCATAAGACTGTTTTTTCAATATAAGTCATCATAGGTATATCAGAAAAGTAACTGTAGTACAAACGCATATTAGATAATCATAAGCAAGGAAATTGTAAGACTCTTGACTGGAACTGATTTAGAGGTTCAAGGGGAAATTCGCAAAATTCAATTTGGTATTTTTTCAAATTTGTTTTTAGCAACTACATCGGTAAGGTTGAGTATCTCCTACTACACAATATAAAACCAAAATTATATAGAGTCCGTTTTGTTGTCATCATAGCAGACACCATGATTTAATTTCTTCTTCTCTCCAAGCTATAAAACATCCAGCATCCAGTTTCAAACGGTACGCATTTTCCTCTGGTAGTAATAAAGGATATTAAAAAACAGCAACACACAAAAACTCGACTGCCATCCAAGTACCCCCTGAAATCTTCTTGTGAACCCCCGGGGGTTCGCGAACTCCTGGACTAGATCCTGCTTGGTCCATCCCTGATTTGTATACATCGCAGATCACTTCATTATCAAAAACTTATTAGGTTAGGAAACAAATGGGATGGGCCAATTTTTATATTCTATTTTGTTTTTACTTATCGTTGCCTATGTCCTGCTATAAAGCTCAGTACAAACAATACGTCAAACTCACATTGAAGTACGTAGAATCTGAATAAATCTTCCATCAATCATAATACATCATAGTTTTATGTACGCGATGTTTTGGAGAAGCAAAATCAATAACATGGATACTACGACAATTGTTTGCATGTTGTTACGACGTGAGCACCTGAGATGTCACAAAAATTATGTTATTTGTTAAAGCCATACTGAACAATTTTTTATCATGTGATACAATTAATACATATTAGGCATTACATGTATTTCTTTACAATGATTAGTGATTGAGGCAATATTTAAAAATAAAACCGATAGTGGCAAAAAATTCACATCTTACACTTGTATAAAAAAAAGAGTGCTTAATAGGGAACACCATTTGCAAAAAACATCTTGCGAGAAACATCTCTTGAAAATGAAATTTTTCCAAATACAGTATAAAAATAGCAAATAATCAAAAAAATTGTGAAAGAACTTGCAAATGTTATTTTAGGAAAACAAATGTACAAAATTCAGACTTGACTATTAGACACAATCTTGACTGGAACAAAAAAATGTAACCATGGAGATTGTATTCAGGTCTCATCTGTACAGTTATTGTTACAATAATGTGATCGAGGCAAATAATACCAAATCTTACCATTATACTATACCATCTATTTTAGTATTTAATCTTTGTAATGGAATCTCGTTCGGAATATATTTTTATGTCTTCTCGGAAAAACTTTTTCGCTTGATTCCTGGTTTCATTATCAATTTAATCCCTGAAATCAGATCCAGTTATGTATGTAGTAGTAAACATCACAAGGATATAATACAAATATGTTATGCATGCTTCAGGTGGATATAAAAATATAAGGAATATTAATAAGTATTTTTAACTTTG